GCGAGACCTCAATATCAAAACAACGGGTGCAATATCTCATTCATTATCTTGTGCCACAACAGGAAACCGCAGAAGTTTAGATTTGAAACCAGTTTAAGATAATTATTTATTGAAAAGGTTTTACACCCTAACCCGACAGCATTGTAAAACGTTATTTTAGGGCGACTACGTGTCCTATTATAAATACGTAACATATATAACTCATAGAGATGATGACATTCTGGTACTTATTAGTAGAAACACAGTAATCCACCACATACTTACTCGAAATGTTAAAATGTGAAAGTGGATCAGCCATTTTGCAAAAACCATGGTTGATAAAGTAAGATGTCCTGTAATGGCCGTCTAATACTGGAGGCAACCAAGGATAAATAAACCCAAACGGCGGTGATAATGGGTTGATAATATAATAAAGGTAGCAGTAGAAGAGAAGACGTGGAATACATATACTCTCACAGTGCTATAAACAAGGTTTAGCGTCATAGTAAATTTAAGTTAAAATTTCAATTTCAGTATTACTCTAATTTCATATGATACAGAGAATAAGCGAACCTACTACCTTCTAGAAGTACATATTGCTCTATAGAACCTCGTACTAGGTTAACATTTGCCAATACTAAGTGCAGTTTAAGCGCAATACTGTCAGAGTATGCCATAATTGTGCAAAACAATGCAGGAGACCTATGAAATACTTGTTTCTTTAAAAGCGCAATAACCTCTTTTCTCATAATTGCTGTGCCCAATACAGACATAGACAAATTTCATTATTCTTCGAAATATAATTGTACTGTCCGTATTGTCTTCAGAAATTGCATGCCTATTTTCTCTATTTTGTACATACGTAAATCACTATAAACTCTACACTTAAATGGCTATAAAATAAACTTCATAGTTTAAAATGGTTGGCTTTAAAGTTACTAGAAATATTCCAAATGCTATTTAAATGTACTATAACAAACATACGTCTATACATTATATTTAGACAAAAATCTGATCAAAAAAGCAAATTATACCTGAACTCTTGTATTATATATAAGTATACATGAGAAGCAATCAACAGTCTGCAAATATCTGAATCGAAAACAAATACAGACCAGTTCCTTTTCCCGACCCGGCCCGACTTGGAAAACGTAAATCACAATTTAAATATCTATACTTCACACCTTATTCCTCGAAGAGAGGATAATTTTAACAGAATACCAATAGCGACATCATCGGAGTATTTCCACATTACATTTCATATTTCGATAAGTTTGTGATTTATCAAAATCCAACCCACATCAAAAACATTTACCTTATACTTCTGTTATCTAATTATAGTGTTTACAAACTTTCCTAGATACTTTAATATAGTTTCATAAACAAGTTTAATACATCATTACTGCGATAACAAGCCGGGACCGCGGCATGTTTCGATTTAGTTATAACTTTATCAGTTTCTAAATCATGATTTCTAATATTGTCATTTGAATAACCCATATTTCGTTTAGACTTTTGTAAATTTGTTAATAAGTTACCATTAAAATCTTTAAAAAATTTCAATCTTCTGAAATTAGGAAAACAAGATGTTATTGGTTAAAATATTAAAACGATGATAAATAAATTTCGCATTATACCTAAAATAGTATCTAATTATATTCCAAAAGCATTCAGCGCTCGTAAATTGAATATTAAACAAAGTCATTACTATTCTACTAGTGAGAAGACTAGTAAAGATTACAAAGAAATCTACTTACAGCAGACAATTCAATAAGTGAAGGTAATATAGACTGTTCGAGTAAAGAAAAGTAGGTTTCATAGAATAAAGTACTTATTTTTTAATTTTTAAACTACAATGATAACTAAGATGGAATAGTTATGAAAAATATGATATCGATATCGACATACAAGCTCCTGCAGGTGGGTTCAGACTTTTTATTCTTATTTCAAAATTTTAACAGTATTTAGAAAATTATCATGGTATAAGTAACGGTAATGTCACATAAAAAAAAATGTGTAAGCGGTTTCAATACACCCAGGCTGCTCAACCCCATCATGAAAATTTTCCTTAAGAAATTACCTATTCAACGCAACCAAATCCGTCGCGTGATCTAATTGTCAAAAGCCTACTCACGATGATACTAGGAATGACAGACGCAGAGACAAATTTATACTATAAGTAGCGTTAATATTGGTTACGGTATCGATATTACACAGCTGGAATGAGTATCGAAAAGAGGTCCCATTATTGCAAACCAGTTGCTAGCATGTAATTACGAAACTCGTCGGTGATGATACGTACCCACACTAGTACGTCCTACTTTTGCTTTCAATACCTCATTGATAATTTTCAAGAATAAACAACAAAACTTAGATGAAAAAAATCGAAATTAGATAATATAAGATGAAAAAAGAAGAAACAAACTACGCTTCACACATAGATCACACATAGATAAAGATAGACAAAAATACAAAATTATATCCGTATTTGTAGGCTACAGTTTTGGTATGTGTAGGCAGTTAAGAAATGTAAATCCGATATCAGTAAGGTGTAGCATTGCTCACTTATAGGGTAACTCATTAACATTTATAACAGCTGTCTATTATAATAATAATTTATAATAATAATAATTTATTTTCTTCCACAAATGCTCTTAAAAATTACATCAACAAGTGCCAAAGTAAACAGTCATGTGGAAGACTGGTGCCAGAAACTAAGCCTAAAATAAGGCTTGATGTTTTCAAGTCACCAGGCTTCTCCTCCGATATTACAATTTTTTCTAAATCGCACGTTTTTTTTTTTAAACTTAAATTAACAAATTAATCATGATTGTCATGCAGCTCACCAAACAATATTATTACTTTAGCCAAAACAAAACTATAGTAAATATTTTTTATATTTTAAAAATCAAAAATATGTATGTTGTAATTTATAATAAACATATATTAATTAATACATACTAAATACATAAAATGTATGATACTCGTTCATTAAATATCAGACAGCATCACCCATAAACATTGCTTAGATCTTACTGTGGTAGCTAAGGTATTCGTTTTATGGAATTTAGGCACGAGACAATGGCATCACCCTGAAACCAGCGTGCCACCAAATCGGCTGCAAACTCGTCAAACTTTACATTATACTTTATTTCAAGAGATTTTCAGTTTCCTCGTATGTTAATGCATTTAACCAGCAAGAGACAGTCTTTTTGCAATTTATGTTATTTTTGTAACTAACCTGTAATATTTTATTAATTTTATTATATAGACGTCCACCTTGGTAGCAAAAGATCTTTTAATAAATTTGGTGTTAAAAAAGTTAGTTTTACATACAGCGTATTGTTTACAAAGTCTAACAGTTGAGATGTCGTTGTTTTTAATATCTATCAATTTATGCTGTTTAAGTATTATTGTTAGAATATACAGTTGCCTTACGGTGAGCATGCCAGTCTCCTTATATAGTGTCAAAGTCGGATATAAAATAGGCCTGAAAAAGCTAACTTTAAGAACGTAACGTTGAGCTCTTTCCAATTCTATTAGGTTAGTTTTAGCGGCGCCTCCCCAGATTGAGATGCAGTATGTAAGTAACGATTGGCATAGTGATTGGTAGATATTTATCATCAACTTCTTATTGGCCACCCCCCGTAGATTGCGAAAAACAAAAGTTAATTTTCGAACAATAAGGGAAATCGGGTAAATTTTTTGGAATTTTCTCAGATAGAATAATACCTATGTTTGAGAAGTAAGTATTGACTTCATTAATAGAACTTAATTTGTTAAATTTAATTTTTAGGAGATCCTGTGCTTTTTCGTTTGGTGTTTTTTTAATATTTGCAATATTTTTAATAATAGACCATAATTTTTTGTTATCGTTTTTAGCTGCAAGCAATTGATTTCTTTCATAAGATTGTTTTACTTTTTTTATTATTTTTGTGCAGAAATTACGATAGAGATTATAGGTCAATCGAAGGGTAGCATTATTAGGTTGTTTTCTTAACTTTAGGTGTAGCATATCTCTGTTTTTAATACATTTCAAAAGTCCTTTTGTCATCCATGGTTTTTTCAATATTTGTTTTTGCGTGTGTTTTCTAAGTGATGTATTGTTTTCAAGTGTTGTTTTCAAAAAATAATGTAATTTATGAAAAGAATCATGAATATCCCCATTCATTCTCAACTGTTCAAGATCAAATTTTTTAATCTCAGATAGCACCTCTTTATAATTAATTGAGGGTATAAGTCGATCATTAATATTTCTGCTCTCATGGTGTTCATTGATACACAACAAAGTAGAAAAATGGTCAGTGATTGTAGAAGAGATGACAAATGTATAAGAGGGTAATTTTGTTCTTAATACCACATGATCCAAATTACTATCACCTCTGGTGGGGAAATTATGTGCTGGAAAATAACCCATAAAAGATAATATTTCCAAATAGGAATTAGTTGCGTGATTACAATCTAATAGATTTATATTTATATCGCCACTCAACACTACATTTTTGTAATGTGTTAAATTTTCTAGAATTGTTTGCATGGATGTCATAAAATTGTCAATATTTTTAAAAAAGGCTGGTCGATAAATAGCCATTACTACAATTTCCTTCCCTATCTTAACCAGTAAACAATTTGCATCGTTGCAGTTAGGCTCTTCTATTTCATAGGATAATGATTTGTTTACATAAATTACCACACCGTCGTTTTGATTAAAATCGTCATGCGACTTATAACAATTATAACCCTCCAAAGAGGGTAATAACGTTTCTTCATTAGTCCAGCACTCAGGCAATATAATTATATCACAAAATATATCTATACGTGTTAACAGTAATCTCAGTTCATTAAAATTTTTATTCAGACTCCGTATGTTTTGATGAAATATTTTAAGATAAGTTGTTTTATCCGGTATTAAAAGTTTGCATTGTTCCGGTTTACACGTTATTGCATCGGATACTTGTAGACAATCTAGTTCATTTATAAATTCTATAGTATTCAAAGTCATTAATAAAAAATAATATAACGAGTTATTAAATATTTAAGGGTCCATTTTTTATGGATGGAAAATAAAATATAGAATAATAAATTCACATATTGTAATTTAATGTAGTAGTAATTTATTGTATAAAACCTGATATCATGATAAATTGAAATGTAACTTCTTTGGCATCTAGGGAATTTTAGGCATTTTGCAATTTGTATAATAAGTAGGTAAAAATTATTGTATATTAATAATTTATTTTTTTCCAATATGTACGAGTAATTATTTATAACATTTATATTTAGTTTTCCCGTCGTATTGGCATAAAAGTACTTGTTAATAGTAACTGAATGACATGTATAAGTAATCCAAAGGTAATTCTGACATTTAAAATAACACACTAATACCTTTATTGAGATACTGTTAGAAAATTCGTAGGTTTTATCCTTGGAAGCTCTCGAATCACTGCCCGAAACAATAAGCCAGTTTAAGATTATAATAGATGCAACAATCATTAGAAGTACATAAGTAAATTGCACTCTGAACGAATGGTAATAAGTTATTAGGTATGAAGAGGTATAGTAATTCAGTAGATTACTTAGGTTTGTGTAAATACCATATTTCACAAGTGTATGGAGATGCATACTAATTAATAAGACATAGCTAGCAATATATATTTGATAAAATAAATAATAAACAATATATAGACAAATGCGTTTATATTTCATATATATTTGTGAGTTAAATATTTTATATACTGTATATTTTTGTAGGTGACAAGCTGACATGACATACATTTTCTTATAATAACATAAACAAGTTTTTTGTTTTAAAAAAATCAATTTAAAATTGTTGTACGGTAAGCTTAAAGAAATACACATATAACAGTAAAATTTTTCAGTCTTCTTGCTTATTAAGTTTCTGTAGATCATATTCGCTTTTAATCCAATGAAGAGGGTAGCCTTCTTTTTTTCGAATAAATATTTTCCCGTTTGTTGTCCAACAGTAATTATAATTATTGCTACTAGCAAAAACTCGGGCAAGATAAAACAGTCGCTTCATAGTTGTCGTTAGATTTTCTGATATAAAAATTGGTTTCGGTGGTCCTGATATCTTCAATTGCCCCGTACATAACCTATTATTTGATTTATTGTAACTCTTAAAGGCATTCAAAAACTTCTCCTTCGTAATAACGTTATTGAGCTCCATAATAATTGTTTTATTTTCCGGGTTCTTTGTGTTCACTCTAAAAATGTCTTTTATCTCCAATGGCTGTATAGTTAAACTAAGCACATCACCAATCTCGATCACTGTATTTAACAAAGAAACTTTTGTCTCAGATTTTTTTACCGGAATGTTTCTAATCTCTAAACATGTCGAACGGGAGCTTCTTTCATATTTTTCCAATTTATTTTCAAGTAATTCAACTTTTTTATTGCTATTATGGACTTGTTCTTTCAGCACATTTACCTGATTAAGAATGAAATCATACTGCTTCGATAGAAACTCAATAGATGATCTTATTTCACTGTTTTGAACTTTAACCTCCTCGACCACAGTACAAATCTTATTTAATTTGTCCTCCTGCTGCACTTTAAATTCGGTAAACAAGCTTTTCATCTCCACCATAAAGTTGTTTAATTGTGAATCTGTTGTATTTGTCCGCTTACGTTTTTGTCGATGCGGTACTTTAGCTGTTAGCTCAGCGTCATTAGTGTCCGATAAACCGAGCGAGTCACAATCAGACGCAGCCACAGGCTCACGTGGTGGAGTACGTCGTAGTGGCATAGTAGAAGCAATGCAAACTACCCAGAACTCAATAACAACAGCCGCACCACGGCTTTTCTCACAGGCACAAAGATTCTCTTATATTGGGCGGTCGCGACGATAATGAACAATAATAGCTATCGTTCACTTTACTGAGACCTCTTCTAACTTAATTGTGTATGTGTAAGCGAGATAAAACTTACTTGCTACTTCGCCGTATGGCCACGGCTTTGTATGGCTTTATAGACTCCTTGCGATTATGCGGTCTTATTATTGGCACCTTAATATTTTATACGATTCAAACTAATGTTTAAAATTGTTAGATAAAATGCACAGTAAAAAGCACACACGTCCGTTCACCACAGAGATCCGGAGGGGAGGGGACCTGGTATTATGGTTGGAATTGGCCATGAAAAATGGTAATATACAAAATTACCCTAGAAAAAACTAATATGGGCATACATTCTGAACCAAAGGTTAAACAGGCCGTCGATAAACTACTTAAGACTAGTTGTAGACCAGCCCCCTTACTCTCGAACGCAATCGCGACTAATCGAAATTGCAATTGTGCCCTTTCATACTCTTGATTGGGTACACTAGCGCCAGAGTATGATAGTGAACCAATCAAGAGTGCGAACTGGCACAATTTGCGTTTGAGAGTAAGGGGACAGATCGTTACATAGTCACAAAATGTAAGTTGTAAAGTTTATTTTCTCAGTGTTTTTAATATTTTATTCTGTAAAAAATTACATCGGACTTCGACGGTTATTTAAAAAATTAGCCATTTAATTCCAGCCATTCTCGAGTTTTGCGTTTAGCAACACATTCAGCAATTAATTTTATTTACATACTAAAGCGCGTATGTTTTGTCGCGACTTTGCACACTTAATAATATAGTCTATGTCACCCGCATAGGATGTGGCTTCCCATAGGTAAAAAAAAATCAAAAACGGTCCAGTAGCTTAGGAGTTCATTTATTCTCTTTATAATATTTATTACTATAAATGTACTGTATAGGCTAATTCCAATAACCTAATTGATACACTCCACCTAATAATAGTAATTTAAGAAATGAGAATATTTCTACTTTGTATTTAATTAATGTTAAGAATATAATTAAAAAGTGCTAATTTACCTAATTGCTTAATTCTCGTTTCTTATTTTTACCGGATTAGTCAGCCGAAACCTCTCAGGCGAGCATCATTAATTCAACTACTATAAAAGCATTTATATGGCATCCATCCGCCAGTTTTGATATAAACTTTTATAGCTAACATTTATTACTTTGCTAATTTTATTTGGATCTGGAACTTCAAATATTGCCTGTCGAAACGAAATTACCTCTCTAAATATGAAATTTGATGGATTTATCCAAAATAAATATGTAAAATTACCAAAAAATGCGAGACAAATATGTCAGTTAACTTATGACATAACCGAGTACAAAAGATTGACTAGGAAAAGAGTTTAATATCCACTGAAAATCTTATTAAATCACTAAAACCTTTAGACTTTATATCAAATTATTCCCACCATCAATTAGTATACAATTTAAGATACACAATTCTCCTAAATGTAGATTTTTAAATTCCACAAAAGATTTTCCATTGTGTATTTATCGTAACAAATCAAATACATCGGTCCAAAAAGTTAACGTATTCCAGCAGTACCGCGGCTGCCTGTAGCCGTTTAAATATATGAAGCTCATCTATCTAAGGGGACAAGGCGGAACGGTGAGCCGCAGCCAACAACAGATAAGAACATATGAACAAAACTGTTACAAATGAACCAAGCTAAAAGATCTCGACTCGAGCGATTTGTTGACACCACCATTATTCAACGAGAGAGTGCGTAATGTGTGCGATCTATTTACGTCTTACTCTTTGTCCGAGTCTTTATATTGAGTTTTTAGTTAAATTTTTTAATAATGATTATCAGAGGGCCTACACTATTTGTCCACGAAAGAAAATTTTTAAACGTTCTGAAACTGTTGAAATCACATTCGTGAAGTTTATCTATGTATTAGAGGTAGCGTCATTTCCTTCCTCCGTTGCATCTTAATTCTTAGAAGTCATAGTAGCGTTTCGTTATTTCGCTTTCGGAGAAACAGAGTAGTCCTTTTTTATATGTTTATTATCGGTCTTTATATATAGGACGTTCAAATGAGCAATTCAGCCTTTTTTAACCTACTTCAAAATTGAAAAATAGGAGGTTATATGTTCGACGGCGATGTATGTTGTTTATGTATGTTCCTATATTTTCGTCAATTGTTGATCGATTTTCAAAATTCTTTTTTTATTCGACAGCTTGATGGACCCATTTAAATTTTATTGAAAACGAAGAGGTGTTTTCCTTATATAACAAAACAAATTACACTAGTCAACAGTTATCACCTAAATATTAATATAATATGTTATGTTATGGCCCATTTCAGCTAAAAAACAAAAGATCGCGTATTTAGAATTCATTCAAAATCTGAAAGTAAGTTTTTCTATATTCAACGAGTATGTCTACTTTTACTCTTTGGTGTATATTTTTTATGATTCATAGATAATAGGTATCAGTGAGTAAAGTACTCGTATTAATATAAGCGTAGGTATGGTCATCGATTTCTTCTTGAATTGTAAACCAATTTCTATAAAACTAGCTGTTACCCCGCGTCTTCGCCTGTGTAAATTAAAGCCTATATTCGTCGCGTATTATGTAGCTTTCCGTAGGTGAAAAACTCATAAATCGGTCCAATAGTTTCGGGGCCTATCAAATGCAAAAAGACTAATAATTAGTCTTATCTCAAAAGCGACTTATTCAAGAAAATGACATTAAAATCGGGCGCCATCATTTAATTAATAACCTAATAAAAACCTCCACCCCTTTTTAAAACTACAGTTAAACAAATTAATCTGTCAAAATTCGCCACTTTTTTTTTGTTGTATTTAAAATTTATTTGTATTGAATATAATTTTAACAAGTTTTTTACAAAAACATTATTTTTATACGAAATACGTTAAAAAAAGTTATCGTCAAAAACACAAATTTCGTCACCCACATTTCTTTTAGACCTCTTCTACAATAAGCTGGTGTAAAATCGTTTATAATGGCGTGCAGCAGGTTATTCTATTCAGTTCCTATACTCACTTGCCGGACAGCACGAGCGAGAGGCTATCCACTTTGGTGACCTTCTCGTGGGCGTACAGCTCGTGACACTTGAGATGTCGCACGTTCCTCATGCACATCAGCACCCTCCTAAACTGCCGCCGCGACACGCGCAACGGCTTGAACAATGCTATGTACACCTGGAACAAACAAAAACAAGATTCGGTATATACATTTATGATTAATCATTTCAGAAATAAATATTTTCTGAATATAGTCTTCCGCCATTCTCTTTTACTTTAATCGGACTGAGTTCTCTATTTTTTTTTTATTTTGTCCCAGGTGACTGTACTATGCTCCGCTTACTGGTATGTAGATTCCACTAGAAAAAATCGTTGGCCCATTTAATCGATATTCAGTTAGTAATCAGAATGACGTTACAATAGTAGATTACAATCATATCATAATCATCAATAATGAAAGATCTCTACTCTTGTAAGTGGGGTATTTACCGTTCTGTAAACGGCTTATCCTCATAATTGTAACATTTTCCTTAATTTGTTTAAACTTTAAAGTGATTGCATTTGAATGTCCCATTGCTTTTTTCCTATGATAACAGTACAAGACAATTAATTACAAAACTGCTACGCATCCTCCACAGTTAATACTTCATGAAATAAGAATTTACAATGTAATATTACCAACGGGATGGGTGACCAAAAAATTATTATCTCGAGCTACTCCGTGCTTCGGAAGGCACGTAAAGCCGTTGGTCCCGGCTGCATTTGCAGTCGTTAATGCCCTCCAATCCGCATTGGGCCAGCGTGGAGGGTCATGGCCTATCCTCCTTAACCATCCATAAGGAAGGCCTGAGCCCCTGCAGTGGGGACGTAAAAGGGCTGGTGATGTGATGATTACCAACGTATCAAATTCATTTTGATTTGATGTCGTCAAATAGACTGTGCTAATATATGAATCTGATAGAATGAGTAATAAAAATCAACAACATAAATTATAGAGTGCGCTCACATATGATAACAGCAAAACACATTCTCTATTTATTGCCTGGAAATTACACGGTATCTAGTTAGTGCAATCAAAATGTTTCAGAGATTACATTTGTGTACACATCAGTGATGATAACAGATAACCGTGATTATTAGTTACGTCTGAAGTCTGTCTCATAATGAAAGCTTACTCCATTTCTTTATTGGTAGGCCTTGGATTTAGAATTATAGGAGCTGAAGAAAACTGATATTTTTCTATATAAACAGGATAAAATATTAAACAAAGTCACATACATTGCTGAGAAGGGTCTGAGCGTTGAACAGTAAAAAACCAATGGCTTTCATTTAATTTATATCACATAGAACGCACAGCCTGTTTACAGTCAGTACTGTAAGTAGCGTATTTCATAGAAAATATTTTAGAAGCTACCACATGAATGATCGCTTCTAATGTGACAATCTGTCAAAAATCTTACGGAATTATGTTTTAAGTACACGACTGATTCTCCGTCAAGCGTGCAAGGCTGTCATATCACATACTTGTCAGTTCGTCATAATGTGTTGTAGATGAACCGCTATTGACTTTCCGTTACGCTAACATTAGCAGAAATGCCCGGCTGATGTTTTGCAACCGAAGCGTACGCGACGCGGCGCGTACCTTCCGTCAGGTATAACTATTGGCGTGACTTTAACCCGTAAGGTTGAGAACCCAAAAAAAAAAAAAGAGCTTTTCTACATAACGATATACTCGTAGATGATGTTCACAATAATCATCAAATGGGTGTTTCTTCGGAAACTCAACTTCCGGTTCGGTACATTTTTTATCACAATCTTCATCCAATCAAAATTTTTTGCAAACGTAATTTATCTCGAGCAATGAAATGTTTAGGCGTGCTAATAATATCTTTTATTATCTTTCAAGTCCTAACTTTAAAAAAAATGTGTGTCCTGATGATTCTGCTGAACCAGAGGTGGTATGAATTCTATTGAAATCAGATTAGAAGTTATGTTTTTATATTAAAATCTCTGTTTTCCCGAGACTTTGCACACGCAAATGATAGCCTATTTCAGCCCCGTATGATGTACCTACCCGTAGGTGAAAGAATTTTTAAAATCGGTCCTGTAGTTCCAGAACCTATTCGATGAAAACAAGTAATCAAATCTTTTGTCTTTATAATATTAGTATAGATAACAAGAAGCCCTCTGCTAAATAACAAGAGAATAAACATTGACTGGTATTTTTTATTTTTAAAATCTATTTAGAATCCAATATCGTAGCAGTAATATAGTATCGTAGCACTATAGTAACGTTTTTTTTTTTTCAAATGTAAATCAGCTTTAATTAGTTTAAAAAACAATAATGAACGATGTGCCAAAGAGGAAGTTTAATTTCCGAAGAAACACCCAAATAATTTGAAACAGAGAATCACCCAACTAAATTCAATACGCAATTCCCCTATTATTAAATTAATGAAGAAATTGGAACAGGATTTCGAACTTAAAGAGATGAGGAAAGCTCTCGTTAATTGACGGGGATCAGAGGGACCAACCGGCACTGGTACGTTTGATGACACGATGGTTTCTTAATCGGATTACATAAATAATTACTAATTAAAAATGTATCCATTTTTCTATCAAATTATCTAAAGTCGTTACCTTCTCTTCTATATATATCTAAATACATATAACTCAAAGGTGCGTTGATAGATCACTGACATAGTGATCTATCAACGCACAGCCCAAACCACTGGACGGATCGGGCAGAAATTTGGCATGCAGGTAGATGTTATGACGTAGGCATCCGCTAAGAAAGGATTTTGATCAATTCTACCCCCAAGTTTGTATGAAACTTTGTCAATTTTAAATCGATAGGGCTGAGACTGCATGCATAAAGCTATTATGACTTAAGCATCCTCTAAGAAAGGATTTTGATCAATTCTACTCCTAAGGCAATAAAATAAGGGATAAAGTCTGCATGAAACTTTGTCAATTTTAAACTGATCGGGCTGAGACTCCGCATGCACAAAGCTACTATGACGTAGGCATCTCCTAAGAAAGGATTTTCATAAATTCCATCACTAAGGGGATCAAATAGGGGATGCAACTTTATTTCAGGTATTTTACACGATATAATGAATAAATCTTCGTTAGAAATGCTGCTCAAAGTAACTTGACCACGCGGACGAAGTCGCGGGCAAAAGCTAGTATAGTATAAAACAATGTCGCTTCCCGCTGTCTGTACGCTGCTATCTTATAAACTACACAACAGATTTTAATGTGGTTTCATCAATATACAATGATTCAAGAGTTCAAATGTATAATACAGGACCAAGCCAAAGTACAAGTTGTTCGAAAATTAGTTCTATTAAATTCGATAGAGCTATTGTATACACCATTATTATCTAAAACGAGAGTGAACTCATTTAACAATTATAGGTCTGAACTGTCTCGACGTACTGTTGATAATAACATTAATGCTACATCCTTTTCCTTCTTATCGTTTACAAAAAACTTCCAATCAATTAGCATTCGCTCACTGATCAAATCTTAATTTGAATTCTTCACTTTATGAATATATGGTTATTGTTAGATAAATGTATTCATTACATAGAAACACTTATCAATTATATTACAAATACTAAAGCTGATAAACCATTCATATACATTTTTTCTAAAGTCTTGAGACCTCGAAAATAAACGAATTTCTTCATGCCACTCATCATCGTTTCTATTTCATAACAAATAGATTTCATTGGGTTACATGTCCGGTCAAGGTTTCCTATACAGTCCTAGACTATAAGTATCGGTCAAATCGCATCGTATGCATTCGAATTGCTGTATATACATTCGTACTATTTAAATCGAGAATCTATTCGATATCGAACAAACTGCGTCGGGTGATGGAATGACAATCTAATTTTACATTATGTTCAAATTTTGTTACGGGTGTTCAATATGTTTCTAATAATTTACCTGTTATGTTGTTCATTAAACAATGTCAGTGCATATTTATCTGAAAGAATAAATTCTCAACTTCCTGAAGACGGTAGGCTAAATTTCACTGGACTCGCGGCAAAATATGGACTACAAACTGAAGAATTTGATGTGATAACTGAAGATAACTATATCCTCAAAATATTCCACATCCAAGGAGACAGAACAAAACCAATTTTGCTGGTTCCTGGTGCCACCGAATCCGCAGATGCATACATCATTAGAGGTAATACATCATTGAGTGTCGCTTTGGCTCGGGAAGGATATGATCTTTGGTTTATGAATGTCAGAGGTAAAAAATATAGCAGAAGACATCTAAACTTAGATCCACACGAAGATATGGCCTATTGGAATTTTAGTTTTCATGAAATCGGAATATACGATTTGGCTGCTAATATTGATTTTGTATTGAACAAGACAAGTCAGTCTCAAATAACGCTTATCGGTTTTTCCCAAGGCAATCAGGTATGGTATGTGTTGGGATCTATGAAACCCGAATACAATGGTAGAGTGAAAGCTGTTATTGCATTAGCTCCAGTGGCTTTTCAGAGCCATGCTCGGCTACCAGAGTCATGGTCACTGTTAAATAATTTTCTCAGGAGAACAGGTAACGAGGAGCTATTCCCAGAAAATTCTTCAATAGTAACGGTAGGAAAAGCTATTTGCTCTCAACTAATAGCTGGTGCAAATTATTGTCTAAACGCTTTTCTGTTTCCAATATCTGGTTACAATCCCAATGAGGTGGAGCCTGAATTTATGCCAGTTATTATCGGGCATAGTCCAAGGAGTGTAGCTAGAAAAGTCATAGATCATATGGTACAAGTAAGGAATAGTAGGAGATTCCAGTTATATGACTACGGGATGGCGGCTAATTTGAAAAAATATGGTTCGACGATGCCTCCAGAATACCCGTTAAAGGAAATCACAACTAAAGTTGAACTACTTGTAGGGCCTAATGATCAGCAAGCACATATTAAGGATGTCCAAATACTGAAACAGACGCTGTCCAATTCTTCATATCACGAAATCGATAAGAAGCTTTGGGGGCATGTTGATTTTGTTTGGGGGAAAAACATGAACAAACATTTGTTTCCACTAGTATTGAATTTATTGAAGATGTATAATTAAAACAAAGCAATGTTAGTATAATTATCAAATTATTAATATACCTTAATCCAACACAATTATACGAACATCAATTACTGTTAATTTTGTCAATTTTTATTATTAACAAACAAACAGCTGTTGATATTACTTAGAATAAGAAATTTAAATAGGTAATTCACAAGCCAAAAACACTTTCCAGTGCTAAATTATATCTAGAGTGGTGAAGACATTGTTAAAAAAAACCTCTATTATATTGACTTGTCATACCGACTAACTGTGGTTGTATTTTTTGAAGGAAATGAGGCACTGAACATCGCAGTCTTGTCCTCCGGATATAAGGAATATTGTAGAACTGGCTAGTTTTTATCCGCAACTTTATCCTAGTGGATTCAATATAAGTTAGTAAATATATATAACGACGTAGTAATTTTTTGCTTGAAGGTTTCAAAGTTTGTACCTTCCTAACAAATGTGATATTTAAGTATTATTTGGCTACAATGTTTACTACAAATACTAAACTATAGGATCTTTTTACTGAAAAATCACGTATTATCTATTAAATGAATCGCCGAAATATATATACCCTGCCTCATAAGTTCAGAATGTTGGTAGTCGCTTAGTCGAGCAAATAATAAATCTGTGGTAACGGGTACTAATTAAAAGTTTATACTGTCCGTGTTCTGTGCATACAATAAATAAAACGTTGATCCAATCAAAAGATTTTATCAATAGAAGCACTTAAGTAGTGGGGTTAGTTGTGTAATTTTATCGATTACAAAACAGAATGCCTGCACCAAATTAGATGATCAGTTTTATTTCTTCCTGATAAAAATTGGGGCATTTATTCACTTTCATTTTATTTCGAAATGTTTCAACATAGTAACTGACTTTCATTCAAGAACATAAGCATGTATCTGCCACGATATATAATTTTCGAAGGGGTCACAAAATAGTTTCAATGAAATTACTCAAATCAGCCGGCTTTCGTCGTATCGTGTATCCTTTAATTTTAGATTTCACGCAACCTTGGACAATACTTTTAATTTGTTATCTGGAACCTGCATTTTTTAATTTCATATTAATGCCGCTTTTAAATATTCTCACCACATACTTATTATTTATAAACTGAGCTCTATTTCTTCAATTTGCCTTAAAACTTAACACATTTGCCAGAATATCGGAACTGGTTTTATAACATATACGTAACGTTATATCCAGGATTAGCTAAAACAAACAGTCGAAAATGGAGCATATATTAGAGAAGGAAACTATATGTCGATAGAGGGTACGTAACTATGAGGAAGCCAACGCCAATGCAACCGTTTAAAGCCAAAACAATAGAATATTTTTAGCGAACGGCAAAAACCACACGCGGTATTGTTCCCGAGCTATTGTAGCAGATGGTATCTCCACAGAAAATACTCATCTAGAGCTAGAGGTTACGGCTCTGTTTACAAATACCAGGGAAAACATTTGAATTGCAGCAAGCGAGATGTTTTCGTGGAAGGATCATCTTGTGGAAATTGGATATGTAAATATTATATATTTATATTACATATGTAAATATTATATATTAACAAAGTCAATACAAGTTAATTCAAATAAACAAAGTACTTATGAATCGTCCAACTTTGTTGCCTTTGTTGCGTCTGATAAGAAGAACGATCAAGAAACTCACCATCTCTAATGGAAGTAACAACACTTACAAAAACCATGTCATAACCAGATCAATCACCATAGAAGTGGCTAGAACGCCCTATCAAGGTATCACCATCTGTGACGTCTCGGTTTCTATTCTCTATCTAGTCAACATAGAGAATGAAATTTTCTACATTATCTTAAATCTGGGTGTTGTGCTACTTTTGAGGTTTCGAATATTCCATAATACTCGGACTTTAGCTACTTGGAATCTGAGCAATTATTATTATTTATGCATATGTTGTTAACGTCCAAAATGTAGAGAAACATATTACTAGTATTCTCACTGCCTACGGGCACTCGAAACTTTTTCATCGACGACTAACAAAAATGGAGTAGCTATTGCGTCATTCATAAGAGCTTGCTCGTTAAAGTTTTATTTGCACAAAGAGTTCAGGTTTCAGATTCTACATTTTTTTTTTAAATATACCTTTTAAACCCATTGACTTTTTATAAGTTTTTTGTAATCTTTGCTAATAATTTAGAGTGGAAAGATTTGATTGTTTGTTTGCATTGGACTCCGTAGCTACCGGATTGATTTTAAAATTTCTTTCAGCTACGGGAAGCTACATCGACATGCATAGGCTATAATTTACACGGGAGAAGTAGCGGGAAATCGACTAGTCTATACATAAAGAAGTATTATCTGTATTTTTTTATTTTAAGGTCAGAATTTATATACAAATTTTGCGTATTAGAGATGCCACCATGTTCACATGACAGCTTCTTATTTACGTGTGACGTCACAATACCGGTACACAGAACCTGTTATTGGTTCCAACGACAACGAATTTACAGGCCGTTTTCGTCTTTCATTAAATTGGTAAAGTTGTTGCATTTTCTTTGCGTTATTTTATTAAAGCTAAACATATTTTGTCTGTAGATTCTAAAAAATAAACATTATTATCTAACAGGATGACCAGAGCACGCAGCTTATTTTTAATAGTGTCTAATATTATTACATTAAAAATAGCTCATAAACTAATGGCAGTTTTCCATCTACGGATGGATCTACTGCGAAGATTTTGTCATGCAGTCCATTTTTAGGTTTCCGTACCCAAAGGGTAAAACGGGAACTCTATCAATAAGACTTCGCCGTCTGTCTGTCGCCAGGTTGTGTCTCGTGAACCGTGTAAGTTAGACAGTTAAAATTTTCACAGATGATATATTTCTGTTGCCGCTTCAACATCCAAACTCGAATAAATATTTAAGGGTTCTCCCATACAACAAAAGTCATTTTTGGATCGTTTTCGGTACGGAACCCTTCATGCGCGAGTCGACTCACACTTGGGCGATTTTTCTATTGATTTTTATGGTGGCTAGGATCCAGGGACCCACTGGGCAATTCACTGCCGGGTGGGTACCCGAAGGAAAGTCCCACATCTTGCTAAGCTGGCTTCGAAAGCTAGCAAGCGATCTAGGGTCCACCGTGAGCAACGATAATTCTAAATTTGATTTAAAGAGTCTTAAAGTATTGTCGGTAAACGGTATCCTTAGTTAAGACAATATGGCAAATGACAGCCAGCTAATGTCACGAAAATAAGAATCTTGAGTAAAAATTTAAGGGGTTTATGTTGCTTACGAAATATGTCGAAAATGTTGAAGTCTAGCATGAGACATGCTGTGTGTGGGTAACTAGCACTTAATTTTTGCACATTGCATCTGAGAAGAACGACTTCAAAAGTATCTTTACATAAATACCGCTAGGATTTCTGTATATTATACTTTGGCAATACATATTAAGAAATTGTTCGTCGCGCTATAGAGTTATATGTGCAAGCAATAACTTGTTATTCACGGACCGGTAAACGTATGACATTACTATAATACAATAGATCCTGTGCTAAATCTTATTAATCGATAAATCCCAAACCATAGCACAGGTGTTAAAATTTTCACCTAATTTATTTATTTAGTAGATCATATTTACACCTGTGTAATGTCTAGCTAGAGTAATACCTCATTGTGTGATCTAGAAAAATGTTATTTACTACTCGTACGAATTAACATGACATCTGAAGGCCTATTCTATTTCTCCGAAAACAAGATGATAATACGATTCTAAAGAAACAAATTTTTTGATAACTTATAATATTTACCTTATCATTTTTAGTAACCGAATTGACAAAACCGTATACCGTAAGATTTATTTAGGTTAGGATATTTTTATATCAAATAATATAGATATTTTACGTAAAAAAATATAAGCATCTAGTGATTCTCTTAAGCCGCCTCCATCCCTGTTCACCTACGAGTTTTTATTTTATTATTAGAACTCTTCTATCGATTTTCTACTTACAAAACATCGAGGTCTACTTAAAACCTCGCAGAATATAATCATTATTCATTCCAAGTGTCTTCGGATAGTTCACCATGTCATCGATAAGGCAGGGCTGAAGAATAACGGAGGTAACTTCTAACGCATCTTAAAATTCTAAGAACGCATCTTAAAATATTATATACAAACTAGCTTTTGCCAGCGGCTTCGCCCGCGTGAACCCTAGGGAAATGTTAAGTGGGATAAAAAGTCCTATTATCTAAGTCAGCTAATACCCTATCTGTATACCAAATTTCATCAAAATCCGTTCAGTAGTTTCGGCGTGATTGACCGACAAACATTCAAACATCTAAACATCCAAACAAATAAACTTTCACATTTATAATATTAATAGGATGTAGGTATGTATTATTAAACGCTTTGAAATTGTGGTGGTTCAGTAATAAATATTATCTAAATTACAAGAATGAGAGAAGAGGCGAAACTAGAAAATGACTCTGTCCTTCTTTTGTATGTGATTTTGTTTTGACATGCAATTTCCATTTCGTCTAGCGTTATATGTTTCAATAATTTACAGTTGTATAATAGATGCCGTCACGACAAACCATTATCGGAGTAAGAATAAACTTTAAAATATAGTACTAAGTACAATTATACATGCTTACTAGTATAAATGGAACTTACTGAGCTATTAATACAATTGCGAGGAAAAAGATGAGAAATTTGCAACACACTTAAATCTGTTTCATCCCACCTACGAAAATTCACACCGAGGCCGTCAGTTGGTATGAATTATCCCTTCTACATGAATAGAAAAAGGTTGAAGTAGCATTCATTGAAGGCTAAGGACGGTGATGTGTAGTTTAAGGAACTAATCAATCAAAGTTGTTTAGAAATGTTCCTTATTACATCCGTCTTTTGTTGTAATGACTGATGGTATTCCGGAATCAGAGCTAACCTTGAACCTACGAAGCACTACTACTCAAAAAGACGAAGGATCTTCAATAAAAAAGATTACAATATTAGTAGATGCTGACGAACATGCACTGATATAATTAATATTTGATTCCGTTGTAGCAAAGCCATAAATAACTTTTTTAAATTAAGTACCAGCAAAGAATTGCAATTCAATGCAAATACATTCAGTTAACTGATTGTTTCCCGTGGCGACGGGATTTCTGTTAACAAAAGGTACTTTGGGATCAAGAACCAGGTAGAGAGACGCACCGGCGTTAAATAAAAAACCCCCTAACGATCTAACAATGTTGGAAGCAATAAATATTTTGAAACGACTTTAAAGCATTTTAAACGTATCATGGAACTAAATAATATTATCGCTAAAATAACTACAATGATGTATAGTTTTGTAACAAAGGATAAGCAGACTAAAATTACGAGTAGAAAGGTTCCTTAACTATAAAGCACGATAAAAATTATTCATCAAGTGTAAAACTGGCAATAACCTAAACCTAGGTGGTGTTATACCTCGTGTAGTAGTATGAAACGTGGCTGTATAACCATCTTAGGGTGTAACAACTTTGCATGAAATCAATATATGTGTATGTACGTTTCAAGAACCAGGAATCATGCTCTCCTGCACCTTACACCAAATTCAAATAAATATACTAAAACCCAACACTCTTATTACTAAAGCATAAAGAATTAAATAGTGTAGCATAAAAATAAATATAAGAGCAGTATTTTCAACCTTAATCTAAATTGTCAACCTTGATATCTTTGTGAAATGAGAACAAGATGAATAATTAAACGCAAAACGCATTAATTACGAGGCATCGAATCGTAAGACATTATATTACAGGATCGATCGACTATCCATACGTTTTAGTACCTTTAATTTTCCGTAGGAAGGTAACATTCAAAATCAAGAATAAATTTAAAAGTAGGACTTTTGACAGTAAAGTGATATCTACCTATATTACTTATTTATATAAATATCAGCTTAATATAATATAATGAATAGTTAACGTACAGTTAACTATACATTATGATATTAACTTCATAATTTTCACATAGATATTTTCAGATAAACACTCCCTTATTTATAAAGTTGATTACGCGAAGACATGAATACCAGTAATGTCTTAAAAGCAAGTTGCGAAATAGGAAAACGATGACGTCACATCAGAAAGGGCGTTCACACCGGTTTTGCCCCACTGACCCGCTCCTGCTGCCTTTTAACTAATCGCCTTTAAAGTGGGATACAGTACAACAACCACATTACATCCAGAGATTAAAATCAACCCAGAAAACTGGGACATGCTGAGGTTAAATCAACTGTTTTTTTTTTGCTAAGAGTGGATTGGAATCTTGTTTATTTGCTTCATCTATTTGAAGTCGTGATAGCAAGTAGACTTTTATTTTATTTTAAACTTAGGTGTCATTGTAAACTCATTCTGACTCAGTGAACTAGATTAATTATTCTTTTTGTCTCAACGCACAGTTGGCGTTTGGGACATTATCTCGACAGTAAATTATCTCTGTTCAGTTGCTCCGAAACTCGCACCTAATGGTATTCTTAATGACACTAGGACTCAATAACCTTTTAGCTGGACAACCAATAAGTATAGCTAAAAAAAACTCAAATGACTTATAGCAATAATCCAAGGTCTGACCGAAATAACCAGTTGTTAAACTGCAAGGTTGCTGTGCAGTTTTTGTATACATAAAAGGAAAACACACTAGTCCCAAAATGATTGGTTTGAGTTAAAATAATGTCATGGCCGAGCAACCAATGAAAATTTTAGACAGCAATGCACATATGCTTTTGTTGCAAGGTTATGTAATAGTGTATTCCAATGGAAAGGTGCATGCATGGTTATTCAGTTGTTCTGATAATATTTTAAGTGTTTTTTATGTATAAGTATGCAGACGACATTGCTGGCAAAAAGCTTGAACTAGTTTACTTGAATATTTCACTGATGATCGATTAATTTAAGATACGTATTATAATATAGTTCCATACGAGTTCAAAAAGCTTAAGCTGCATGTGATGTGAAGAATATTTTATAAGTTTCCAAATATTTGAAGTATCTTTGCAGAAGTCTCAAGCTTTCAAATTCCATGTACGAAAAATGCTTAGCACCATTTTTTGGCTACTTACTGGTAATTAGATTAAGAATCGATTTTGTTGAGATTGGTGTTTAATTGATAAGAAGAATAGACAAATGGGTCGATGCAACTCGGATGGAAGATAACTAAGACTGAGGCCGTTGTGAATGACAAACTACCGTGACCTGTTTCGCAGATATAACTACATATACGTCGCAAGTTCTTACTCTTAACAAAGATTTGATGCCACAAGTAAATGTGTTTATTTGTATCTGAAGCTAAACAGAATTATTATGCAATCTCTACTTGTACGCGACGGTTGGTGTTTGTGGTGCAAGGAGAATTTCTAAAGTAAACAGAAGTCTATGTTTCGACGGTCTTTCCAATAAAGTTATAGGCACTGCGCTTTAGTGGGCCATAAAGTAATATTGAAGCAAGATAGAATGAGGTTTTACAACTACACCACGATTGTAGTAAAGTCAAATAAAACATTTTACGTAAAAGAGTTTCAGTATTTGCTGTATTCAACTACACGAACTTCATATATCAGTAATTGATTACATATTTAATGCTCTTAAAGCTGAAGCATTGTGCCTACAATTGATAATGGTTAACGAATATCAGCTACCTGTAAATATTAACAATACCTGAAGATACTTATCGATGAATTTCGCAGTATACCCTCGGAATCGTATGGTTTCATTCAATTCTTATTACATCAACTGTGGCATATATCTTTGTTATTAAATGTGTCACAAAAATTTATTTCAATGATCAAGTAATACTAAAGTAAATTATTCATGGTGACTGCTTAGAGACGGCTTTATGCAGTCAATCTAGTCGAATGTCGACAAGGGGAAACATTGAGCCTCTGCGTCTAAGAAAGGCGTCACTCATCACGATTGCACGTATTGTCGTATGTTCGCTACGAACTCGTACGATTTTCAATATCCGTATTAATTTTAGGTAGTGTATATTTTTTTAGTATCGCTATTGACTTATTGAATAGACTTTAAAGCGCGAAAGAGCTTCGAAAGCAAGTTACGTGAAATTATTTGTAAACTGAAGTCCTTTTGTCAGAGGATTACTAAGACTCCGCTGTCCGTCTATCCGTCACTATTCTATATCTCATACATGAACTATGATATCTAGAGAGTTGAAATTTTCACAGACGATGTATTTCTATTGCCGCTATAACAACGAATGCTAAAAACAGAATAAAATAAATATTAAAAGCGGCTCCCATACAATTGATATTTGGCGTATTTTTTTTGCGAAACCTACATGCTTGAATCCGATTCGCACTTGGCATGTATTTCATGCGCATATGATGTAGCTTACTGTAGATGAAACAATTTTTAAGATCTTTCCAGTAGTTTCGGAACCCATTAGATGCAAATATTTCATTGAAACAATCAAATTTTACTTCTCTATAATTTAGTATATTCCATGATGAGCGTTGGGTTCAGTGCATATCTGTCACGTCTCGTCGGCCGTAGAACATCAGAACTGACAAATATACGACATAACATTCAAGCTTGCACACTCGACGGATAATCCGTCGCATATTATGCATACTACCATTAGGTCTTCGAATCTTCTGTTAAATTTGTACCATCCCTTATATAATAATAATAATTTCCATTATGCCTTCAGCTATACATTATTCCATATGACCCTACATAATTTGTTAAAAAAAGCTAATTTTTCTCTGTTACTTTAATATCACTACATGGTTGTGCAACTGGTGTTTAAAAATGCATCATATGAGCAGTTAGCACCAGTAATCAGCATAGTCAGGGCTCCATCTAAGAGGGAACAAGCAGGGTAATCACCCTGAGTGGCAAAATTGAGGTATTAAAAGGTTATAAGGAGATTAAGAGTTAGTGAAAAGAACCCAGAGTGAAAGGAACATAACCATTACCAATGATTTGTGAAGTAATGTAATGTTATATATAAAACGCCATTGTAATGTTACTATTACAATAATAATAGCAGAATTGAAGCCCAATTTCAATAATATTGTTGTGGTAATGAAACAGATAGGAAATGTAAACTTCAGCTGTTTTAACTAACTACCTATTACAGCATTTTTTGAATTTGCTAGAAGTCAAAATATTATTTTCCTGTTGAAATGTCACAGGCCTAACTACAATGTCTATAGTAACAACTCATTTACATTAGTGTTAGATAATTGATAATATAAAAATTAAATATGATTTATGATAGAAACAGTGTGTAACATTCTTTCCTGGTGATTCAGAATTAAAGATAGGGTGTTGTTGACAGTTAGCAAAGTTTTCTTGCTTATAAATTATCGTGATTACTTATAGAACAAGAATTGCAGCCAGATTTTTATCATTACTAACACTTTTGAGCAACATGTTGTATACTAACTGAATGATTTATAAACTGTTTATTTTGTAGCTTTATTTTAAAATATTTTACCTAGTAATTATTTCTCACAACAACAATATATATTTTTCACAACAAAAAATACTTTCTTTCAATTAGATTTTAATTAACTATAAGCTAGTTGCACAAACATCCATTAGTTTAAAGGGACATTACCCATACAAATTTGACATTCATCAGTATTTATTTAGATAAACGAAAAGTAACAGTAATAACATTGAAAATGGCTCAGAATTAATCAAAGATTTACAAAAGTTACATTTTTCATTTAAAACAATAATGTCATTATTATTTTAAATTTAAAAAAGGCATCAACATGTGACATTTTCTATTAAAATAAACTAAAAATAAAATTCAGACACTCACCTCTTCAATATCCTTGTGGAATTTGATGGGTCTTATCAAATAAAATTGCACAGAAAAGTAGACAAAGTTAATCACGACAAATGTTGCATTCCACAGCACTCCATCAAGGAAACACTCTATGCTCCATGCCCATACACCAGAGAAAGCGCATCCCAGCACTAGTCCAACACGCATCCAGACCAGCCCTGTTGGCGTGTGTGGCGCCAAAAACGATAGCAAAATAAACACATTAGCCACTTGAAAAAACACATTATCTATCGGCTTCCACTTCGGGCAGTGCTTTAAATACAAGTCCCACATTGACGGTTGCTCGTGTAAAGTTACGTTCACAAAGTCCCCGCCTTGAGAGCCCGACAACTTTGTCGTCTCCAACAACCCCATCGCGCTGCTGCTCGTTTCTGTCGCAGCTGCTTCTGTGACGTCACTGCCAGTGGTGCCCACCTCCGTGGTGACATTCTGCAGTCCAGTTATCATACCGATCGCTAAGGCACCGAGAAACAACATAGTCCCACCGCGCTCTCACGCTCTCCGGATCGAAATTTGTCATCGATGCTTCACAGACTTTAACCATTTAAGTGATAATCCGTACCGATCCTTTAAAATCGATAGGATTTAACATTTATCAACCACAAAACAAAATTTATATTTACATTAATGTTTATATTTATTTTGAAAAGAAAACTTAAATCATTGATCGCGCACTTTCAATACTACTGGCTCAAGCAAAGCAGTTAAGGAGCGTTAAATAAATTAACAGAAATTTAATTTAAATAAACTTTTATGAATTTAAAATATTGAGAAAAATACTAGTAAAGGAAACAATCGAAGCGCACAAAACACAAATGACAGACGGATAGGAACGACAAACGACCAAAACTCACTGACTGAACGAACCACAGACCAATAATATACAACAGAGAGAGGTAAACACAGAACGATAAAAGAGTTTCTACCTAGAATTAGTACTATATAACAGGCAGGACTTAGAACTCCGAAAAATTGTTATTATAAAAATGAACCTTATCACTATATATTAAAGTATATTTTTTATTACTCTTTGGACAAAGGCTTAGTCCCAGCCGAGAGAGATTGTCACAACGGAGGCCATGTGTCCCGTTCTTTCATCGTGCCGTTGTAAAAAAAAAAAGACCAATTATCAAAAATTTTAACTTGGTAATAGATAGCAAACTCAAACTTTAAATAGGTCACGATTACAGCGCCATCTATCCGCCAGCTAAAAAAAGTCGCACGTATGTGTGCGTGTATATGTGTGTAGCCAGCTACCACACTATCTTGATGGTGAAAGGTTTATTTGATCAGTTTTTTTTTTTGATAAGATAAATAGGTATATTTTTTCTTTTATATAGATTGATTCTAAAAATGTTTAATAGTTATTATTCATTTTGAGAATCAATACATATATAAAAAAAGCAAATGTACCTTTATAACTTATCGAAAAAAAAAACACTTGGCTAATTAAACCTTAAATATAAACATAATGTACCTAAGACCGCAGATTATTTTTCGTTTTATTTGTTATGATTAAACAAGTATATCAGGAGTCATATTTATATGGTTTATGTTCAATGCTAACTATTATAAATGTTTAGAGCGAGTAAAATAAATCAATTAGTTTATTTCAATGAAACACTTGTTATTTTTGTAGCTTTATTAACCATCTTATTTCAGACATTCATCAGTGATCCACACACAGTTTTTCTCTTCCTACCTTTATTTTTTGAAAAATGGTTATGAGCCTTTACCTTCATTTCATCATTTCTATCCCAAAATGAAATTTTGCCATTGATTAAATCATTGATATTTTTGCACCAATTATTAATAAAAAATACTGCACATTTTTCTGTTATGAATTCTTTTAGTTGAATTTGGTGTTCTGTGCATTGTAAAAAATTTAAATATAAATTAATCTTTATGATTAACTCTATATATGTCAAAATATTTTTTTTATTGCAATTTTCTTTTAAAACTTCTATTGTTTTCAGCATTGGCAACATAGTAAAATAGGTTTCGGGTAGGATACCACAACCAGCTTTTGTTTTCAAACTCTTTTAAAATTATATAAGAATGAAATATCTGCTTTTCTTTAGCTTCTATGTTGTTTTTACATAATAAACAGTTTATATAAAAAAAATTCTTTGCTAATTGTGCTATCCAGCCACTACAGTATCCAATTGCTGCGGATTTTTCTACTTATTAAACTTTCTGTATTGATTAAATCAATGCATAAATGAGCATTTTCAATTTCAACTTCACATTCAGTGGGTATATCATCTACGTCTTTAGTCAATAGTTCTTTTAGTGTTTGCAGATAAATGCTATCATCCATTTCGCAATTTGATCCCACTGAATGTGAAGAAGAAATATTGTCAATAAGCAATGTTTTAAAGGCTCCCTAATTTATGATGAGGCGATGTTGGTGTCACTGCTGTCCTATACATTTTCCCCACTTTTGGTTTGCTAAAGCTGCCATTGACACTGTCGAATAAGTCATCAAAAAACATCAACATGTCTGCAGTTTCAGTGCATTCTTTTTCAAGAACTCCAAACTCTGCAATGAAAATATAATGTTTGTTTAGGTTTGTAATGGAAAATATAAGTTTTTAGTATGTATGTACTATGTATACCAGAAATTTTTTCTATAATAAATCTGCTCTCAAATATATAATAAAACATATGGACTCTAAAATTTCATAAAAATAATAATCATCATCATCATCATCATCAGCCCTTTTACGTCCCCACTGCAGGGGCTCAGGCTTTCCTTGTGGATGGTTAAGGAGGATGGGCCAAGAACCTCCACGCTGGCCCAATGCGGATTGGAGTGAATTGACGACTGTAAATGCAGCCGGGACCAACGGCTTAACGTGCCTTCCGAAGCATGGAGTAGCTCGAGATAATAATTTTTTGGTCACCCATCCCATGACCGACCCTTGCGAAAGTTGCTTAACGACAACGATCGCGGGCCGAGGCGCTTATCTACTACGCCACCAAGCTACTCTCATAATAATATTTAAAAATATCACCTGTCATTACTCCAATAGCAGCTCCAACAGTTTAACACCTAAGTGAAGTGTTTCACTCTCATTTTTAGGAATAAATATAGCACTACATGATGAGCTGTCAACTTAGGTGCCATCTTCACTCCTTTGTAGCCTGGGCATCTTTCATATAATTGTAGAATGTGATTCCACTTAGCAGTAGATTCCTTTCCATTCATGTTGCAATATTTGATGTAGTTTGGTCACATACTGCTGCTACCACCGTAAGACCAGTTTCTGCAATTTTAATAATCATATTCTTTATTAAAGCTTTAAGCTCCAAAGCTTTAAGCTTTAAGTTCTTGTATTGCCACTGCAAAAATAATAGGCCAGTGGCTGTTTATATTTTTTAACAATGCCTCTCATTAAGAAAACAAGTACATGGTTACTGTACTATTTGCTTCATTGCTCCATTATCAACAAATCCTGTGATATTTTTTTTTTTTATTATTAAAGCTGATGCTTGGTGCTATTGCCATTTCGTCAAATACCAAGGTGCAGTATTTAAATTTATCTGGCATTCTCCTAACTCTGGATTTTTAGGTTGTCAAATAAAATTTCATTTATGCCTGCCTTTAACTGGACTTTATACAACAAAGTCTGCAATGTTTGTCTACTAGGTAAAATATAAAATTTTCTTAACAGACGATACGCCTTAGCTGTAGGTTTGTATAGCGATAGCGCTAAAATCTTTTCATCAATGGTAAATCAATGCCTTTGTTTTTTTGTTATTTCCATGTGACATTTGCATTCGGAAAAATAATTTTGCAGTAGGTGACATATTTTTGGAAATTATTTGGAAAGCAGAATTCAAGATTTAGCAAGAGCCAATTTTTGTTTAAAGCTCCTTTTTTGAGCTTCTAATTTTTTTAATTTCATCACAGTTATTTTATATTGATTATGGTCTTTCACAGAAACACCTGCAACAAATTTCATGAAATGTAAATTAAAGCCTCAAAAATAAATAGTTTCTTTTTTTGCATTATACACTGTACAAAACTGAATATTTTTCAGATTTGCAGATTGTTTCCAATTTCATGCAGCAATTTTCAAATTGGATAATTGAGATATAAATTTTAACATACCTTTTAATTTTCTTGGCAACTGTTGTTTGGCAACAGGTGTTTGTGTCTTTCCATGGTTTGTATGCTGACATGGAAATAATAACAAATATAGTTATTTCATGGATATCATTGGCTTATCAATCTCTGGCTCAAAATATTAAAGATTGGCCTATGTTACACAACATAGATTTGCAATTTTGAACAAAGGGACCTTCAATTTTTGTATAACTATATGTTGACTCATGAATTTTCCTTTATATAAAAAATAATATTATATTTAAGATGATTATTTAACTATTTTAATTTTCATCAGAAAAATGTTTACCAACCTGATGTGCAGGCATGTAGTTGAAAAGGTACAAAATGTGAGCTACATGGCAAATCCGCACTTGCAACTATGTGAGGTTCTCCAGTTGATTGCGCTGAACATGAAGAAAAAAACATTTTATAATATTTTAAAAATCAAAACATTAAAAATTAACATGGGAATTAGGAGCATTATTTGAACAATGGTGTAAGAAACTAGCTTTCGCCCACAAGGTCTTATATTGTACATATAAACCTTCCTCTTGTACCACTCTATACCTATATTGATGAAAACCACATTAAAATCCATAATGTTTTTTATAAGAACTCAGCTTATAGTAAACATATTCGTTTTCTACTATTTCATTTTTACTTTAAACTTTTTATAGTTTGAAAAATTATTCACTGGTCATTGTTAATCACATATGAAAGAATTTTAATGCATTTAATAAATAGATAGGTAGACATTCAATATGCAGTATTATTTATAAATAATAAATTACCTGACATATGAAGTGTAGGCATTGCTATGTTGCAGTCTATTCTTGGGATATTTATAAATATCTAGAAAATGTTTTCCAAAAATATGCATGTTATTATATATTTTGATTGGATCCAGATGAGTTATTTCTCCACCAAAAATGTCTATCCATTTTTAAAAATTTTCTGTTTTAGTTCTAGGGTCAGGAAACCGGTGCAAAGGGATACCTGAGTAACATAATAATATGTATTATTCTCTGCTATTCACACAACAAATTATTAGTCCTTAATTATTTGTAACTTGGATGAACAAATAACAATTCTTAAATTGTAGGCACATAATAAGTTTTTTAATGAATATTGTATTCTACGATAGCTCAAAGAAAAATACCTGAAAAACATTTGAATTATGAAACTCCACGTATAGGTATAAAAATCGGTTGAAAACTTTGACATTATAGTACAATTCATAAAGTATTTATTGTACAAACTAAAAAGCACTTACCGCTATCCTTAGTCACTGAACATTAAAGTACACAACAACGGTTTTGAGCCATGATTTTTTGAGCAAAGTTCAAATTAAAAACAAGTAACATTTCGGTACGGGATATTTCAAGACACAATACGATTGCTAACACAATATATTTCGATTACACGGAAGAACTTAATCAACTCAACGTGAATAGCAGAAAAAGTTACAGGAACTTGCAAAAACTAACAAGCACAAGGACATTCACTCAATTCATTTTCCATTTGCGAAGTTAGTTTTAAAGTTTACCCACTATACCAAACCATTACATACGCGCCATTTTCAATTGATATTGCCATAGTATATTTAATATTACCACTTAAATTAGAAACATTTCTAGTGACAATTCTATAATTACTATATTATTCTGTAACGAGATATATTATTTCAATAATATTAGGTATCATAAGGCTTTTAACTCAGTTTCAAGTAATAATAAACAAGATTTATTAATGATGCCTTTAAAAACTATCCCCAATTATAAACACATTTATTAATTGTGGCTACACCATGATTTCTATTTTAAAAGCTGGCACATAGATGGCACTGTAAAGTAAAAAAAAATCGAGTTCTAAGTTTGCATAGCAGAAACATTTGTTTTTAATGGCAATTATTTTAAAGTTTTAATTCATTTTAAAATCACATTAATGTCGTTAATATTAAATTGATACCAAAAGATATTATAGTAATAATTCATATCTTTGAAGTGTCATGGCGGTAACATATACATAATTTACGCATAGTAATCAATCAGTATTTTTAATTCTTTAGTTTCTTATGCACTCCAACTGTTAAGATGCTGAAAAATGTTGTGCTTATGTTTGTCCAAGTCGGACGAATCTTATAGTAGTTACAATACTTTTTTCACAATTAAGATAAAAACAACAACTTTGTAAATCTAACAACTATGATGTATATGGGGTCATTGCAAAGTATTACTACAGTTTTACGAAAAATGAGGTAATGCGACAAAAATATGCCAACAGTTGGGGGCAGATAAGTGAAGCATAAAATTTAGTTCTAAAGGGTTAAAAAATATTGAAACAAATAAAAAAATATAATTTCGACGGTCAAATTGGACTAAGAAACTTCATAAAACAATTTTTAATGATTATTAATTTAATATTGAATTTCAAAAGAAATTTATTATAATATTTTTATTGCATTGAACTTTTATTAAAGTACTGAATATATATTATGAATTAATAATTTAAATCAAATCAAATTATATCACACAAAATAAGAATTTATTTTAATAAAATATGTAAACAAAATTTTCTATTTTGTATATTATTTTTAAGGTATGAGACCTCCCCAACCTTCGCCTGTTTACTCATAGCTCAATGCTTATCGTTCGCAAGTAAACAAACATTTTTTTTTTAGCTTTATTGTACCAATTCAAATGTACAAATTGTGGACTTAATGCCATGCATGTGGGCATTCTCTATCAGTCAACCGGAGAGTTGTAGCATAGAACGCACGAAGAGCTTAGAAGAATCTAAAATAAATAATAAATGTATATTTATTGTAACAAAAAGTTTTAGAATATTATTGTGTACGATAATAGCCGCAGTAGTTGAAAAACTGAAACATATAAAAATTGTCACACTTACACTACACTTTGATCTTAGCCAAAAGGCCGAGAAGCGATATAAAAATTGTCACTTAACGAAAATGAAATTGTCACCCTATTTGAAAGGAACAAATAGTCTCTGAACTTGTTGATTTGTGATCTAGTGACAGAATGTTCGTCTAATTTGCCATAAATAGTGGCTACTAATAAACCTTATTTATATAGATAAATAAATAATCATCCAGAATATGACAATGAATTATTATTAAAAGTATTTGCGACTTTGTTTTATACTATGTAGTGAAATCATAGATAGAAACACTTTATCCAAGGTGGAAACTCATGGTTTAACGTTTATCCTTGACGATACCATTGCCATCTTTCATTCATTTCATTTTCATTTTTCATGTAGAAATTAATTTATTCACTTGCAGACAGAATGAGGAAGTATTTTAATAAAAAAAGAAAGCACTAGAAAGTACCTCACTAGATGGTGCAAAAGTTGTTTCTTGCAGGAAACGAATGGACCAAAGATAGTCATAGTCATTTCCGTTCCTTTTACCTAACATATTAAATTACTGAAATTTGCAAAGTTCGAAACTTATGAGTTGTTTATTGAGTTTTGAAATTTAATTTAATTTTATGCATGAAAGAAAAAGGAAAGGGTTATCATGAGAAATCAAGAAAGTACCGTGGCGACATCTAGTTTGATTTCACGAACGAATTTTTTTTTTAAATACTCATTGTGTGAAATGCGCCATTAATAAAAAAAGAAAGTTTACCTTACTTGTCGTTGTCACTGTCAGCTGTCAAGTAAGTCAAAGTCAAGAAAAAAAATAGAGTTTATGGTTAGGAAAATTATAATCATGCCTATTTTATTATTTAAAGTTTGATAAACAATATTTTAGAATTACTTGAAAATGTCGGTACCGTGTGATATGTTATTACATCCAGAGCTTTTAAGTAATAGTCAACTTATAGCTCTAATCAAAGAGGTATTAACTACTTATAGCTCTAACCAAAGAGGTATTTACTACTTTTATTATGGTCATTCTTGTAAACTTTTACTATTATTTTCCTTTTTCTTTACAGCGACGTCTTCATATCCCTGATGTGGAACGTATGCATAGAGATGAATTATTACAAGTTTTTCATAGTTACTGTGTTCCGTATGGTCAAAGAAAATACAGAGACACAGGGAGAGGGAAAATATTAAATCAAGCGCGAAATGTATCTTCAGAGCCTGCAGTGAAACTTAACGTATTTAACGATAGTCATCACAGAAAAATATCACATATGGATAATTGTGAAAGATTAAAACCTCCTCCTGATTTATTATCTGGGCATTTGAAGAGAATTAAATTAGATATTAAACCTGTGTCTGATGTTATCAGTTCTAAAAGAAAAATGTCTATTGATTCGGTAAGTGTTTTGCTTAAATATAAACTTAATAAAGTTTGAGGCATATTTTATAGAAACTTCTTAACATAAGTAATCAAACAAAGATGCTTTATATAGTAACCATTACTATAATCCAGGATTTGCTGATAAATATCAACAGATATATACATTGATATATATCAATTTATGTTGACAAGATTTATTGTTACTTAGAGTCAGCTAGAACATTTACTGACCTGATGTGACACTGTCAATATGTTCACATTACAAGGTTTATTATAGTAAATATAGGTAATAAGTTGGGTTTTCCCTTATTTCCCTATATGTTACTGGGAATCCTTGCAGGCATACTATTTTTAATATTTTTTTAATAAATAAGTATTAAATAAATCAACCTCATGCCTGTTTTCACTAACCTAGAACAAGGCATAAACTAAATAACAATCACTTAATATTAAGAATAGCATAAACAGATTTGTGGTTTCACAAAACTTGTAATGTTAGGTAATATCTTACAAAGCATTTGCTTAGATAGGCAACATTGTTCTATGATTTTGCATGCTACATTTCTACTTTTTTTATGTATGACCTATTTGCATCTACACAATTCTGCCATTGTCATATTAGTCACCTTTACACATAAAGAGATAATAAAATATTTATATATTTTGAGGTAATAACACAAAAAAAATGTGGTCTTATATTAACACAAGCACCCAAGTCACCAGTGTCCATGTATAAAGAGTCTGAAAATTTAAAAAATCTCATTATTTATATCTTAGTTCTAATATTCTAAACTCCCTGATTCCAACTGACTAAATTGATTTGATCCCTTGACGCATCTGTTATGGTCAAACAGTAAATGTATGTCACATTACACCAATAGTATAAAGAAGAAGGCACTGCACAATGCATGTCATTTCACATGTGATCTAAGAACTATGTATTATTATTTAATAATTGAAAACATTTTGGCAGCGACACATAATTAGTCCCAGGCCGTGAATGTTGGTACATTGCTTGGTACACTCACAGTTCAATGGGTAAAATCAAAATTTGGTCATGTTTGTACCAACATCGTTTTCTCGAAATTTTTTACACTATCTGTATACATTTCATATAAGTATAGTTCAGTTCACATGGTTTTTACAACAAAACCTTTTACTCAATTTAATATTTTTAGTATAATGCAGTGTGTAAAAAAGGAGTTAGCAGGAACTTGCAGTTAACATGCTAATAAACTCTTTTTGATGTTCTTCCCAAGGCTTCACCAATGGAAGATAGCTTAGCGAATTCATATTTGATAGCACCCCTATCTTGCAACAGCGCCGAAATATCGGAAAGTCGTGAAATATAAGGTATATGGTAGTAATCCTTACCAAATAAAGTTGTCAATCATTATAAAATATGTTCCTTTAGATTGACTACATTTGAAATCGACTGCATAATGTAAGACGACCCTGTGTGAAAGTTCGGTATTCCTTTCTACTGCTTAAAACAATTTTTATTTTTTATTTTTCATATAATAATGTGTCTGTAGCATTTATAACATTGTCAATTGATTGCATTATTGATAAATAGAAAGTTTATCAAGTATTGGTACATTTATAAATAATACAATTGGTTTTTCACTGGTTTCTGTTTACAAATTTCAATGTTAAGACATTGCACATTAAATTAGGTAATTTTCAAAACACTACTATATAATTCAGTTGCTGAATTCTATCAGAATTTCTTAAAATATATCATAAAGTAGTGTTTCGAAATCGAAAAAAAATGTTATCTAGTTTCAAAAGTTCTTTCGTTGTATGGGTGGATTGCCAGAACATTGATAAATAAGTTTACTAGTAACGAAAAGTAATAAATGCTTGAAAAATTCTTGAGTCCATTTAGATCCTGGGTAGCTCAGTGGTTAGAGCAGTCGCCTGTATTGCGAAAGGTCGTGGGTTCGAGCCCCATATCAGAGTACCTGGGTCTGGTGGAATTTTCAGCTTTTTACATTAAAAGTATATTGACATATTAATTATATATTTCGTACGCTGAGAACGATAGTGACACAATGCAGAAAATGCAATTTCAAATAATGAGCGTTTAAAGTTCAAGAAATTGTAATCAGCCCCTCTAAACAACGTATCGTCACTACGCCACCTAGCAGTTTCTATGCATACTACGTTCATAGGGATCTTTGCATTTTAAAGTTTATACTTAACAAAGAAAAATGTTGTCAAAAGTAAAAAATACGTCATTTTTGGTTAGTGACATTGTCATTCTCAACGTACGATATAATAAAACACGTTTTCTTTATATAACATATACTACACAGTTTATGTGAAGAAGCCGTTTATTGGTTTCCAGTGAGCGGTGCTAATTATTTAACCAATTTATGTATCTTTTTTGCACACTAACTAATAGTGAAAAATATACCCGGTCACTTTTTTATACTGATAGTTAAATACACTCGAAACTCAGAACCGTATATAATAATCTCAAGTACAATATGTCTTTCACTGCATCTTTTGAAATAATCCTATTATTATTACTATGGACATTTGTATTAGAATTTTGTTATGGTTTAAGGTATTTGTTGATCTAACAAGACAATAATAATTTTATTTACATTAAAATTATCGATTTTGTATTATTTCTTATCTACATTTTTATGTAATATAAGTTGTGCAAACTAACAAGTGTAATGAGTTGTTTAAATAAGTGAAAATGATTTTTACTTAGAATTGTATTATTTTCCATTTTTTACACTAATGTAAATATTTGAAAATCCACTCGTAGCCATAAAAAGTTGTAATTATATGAAATATTTTATATGAAATAATAAAAGGTCTCCATCAAATTCATACATCTAGTATAAGCCTCTGTAATCAAATGGTTTCTGCCCAATCGTGATAGAAGCTGATTTCAATCCTAGGTAAATTGTATTTTTTAACACTAGGTAGATTATCTAGGTATATTTATAATGGAACGGATTTTATGTTGCCATTTGGCAGATTGACTGAGATTAAGGCTTATATATTATATGTATGTATGATTGTTTAGGATGTCTGTAAATATAGATTGAAACGTCGTACCTAAGTAACAATAAGCATCTAATGGGTATTAATTTGTTAGTGTGTATGTAGCAGATCTCATTTCCAGCCAAAATGATCTAACTATTATTTTCCATTAAAAGTTGTGAGTTTGTCTATTAAGTAATTATTTTCAAAATAATATGAACACACTTTAATGTAATTTGACAGGGGACTCTACCGTTCTTAAGATAAGTGCAATAATTCTTAATTTTAGGCAAGCTGTCTTAAGATTATATTTTATTCTTATATTTTGTATTGACAGTAGTCTTGATATTTTTGTTGAGATATATTATTTTGATTGTCAAAGATATTAGCTCAAAAGTAGCCTTAACCAAGTTATTGCACTCTTCATAAGAACGGCAGTTGATTTGAGGTTTATTTACACTAAGCTTTTGTCGCTAGCTGGGTTCGAAAGGCTGACTCCTTTCAGGATCCGGTATCGTTTCCCCTCACATGAGACTAGGTAGGCTAACCACACTTCGACCACGTCCCTTTCGGGACAAGTCCTAGTGGTCAATAAGCTCTAATTTGTGGCATTAAAAAAAAGGAGGCCACAAGGGCTAAAGCCCGTGACTACAGGCTGTGAAGGGTGACGAAAATTTGGTACTGTTATTTCCTCCCGTGGTCTCCTTTTAGATTTTTCCTTTTAGTAGACAGTCTGATAGTAGATGATCTTGGGTACTAAGGATGGGTTCACACGGCATTGTCTGCACATTTTTTTTGTATTTGTATGAACTCCACATAGATTTCTATGGAGTTTCATATATTCGTACATTTTTAACCGAATATCAGCCTGTTGCACAAATGTCCATTAAAATATTCATTAATGTTAACCGACATTACCCATACAAATTTGATATTAATTAGAGCTTAAAAACGTCATTAAACCTTAATGGACGTTTGTGCAACTGACCGTATATCTTATATATCTATGATTGTTATTCAATATGTCTCATGATGTCATAAATAATATTCGTTATTGTAATCATAGATTTAACCTTTGAATAAATTTCAATAGATTTTATGACATGAAAGTGACATTTAAAAATAGAAATGTCAACAGCGAATGATTTAAAAGAGAATATTTATCTATTAATAAATATTTTTCAATTGTAACAAGTTTTTTAATTATCGAATTATTACGCGTCTAAAATTATGAAATCCAATAAAAGCAGATCCGAAACCGTAGAACTGAATGAAGAAAACACTAATGCTATGAGACAAATGGAGAATCCTAGTGTCTCAAAGGTGCATTCTCATTTCTTGGTGTCATCTGAGAAATTGGATAAAGTCACTAGGAGAGTGATAGCACCCTACGCGCAGATAGAGAGAAAAGGTCTCAAAGAAGAGGAGGCGAAGGAAGGCCGCTACTTGGACTTGAACAGGTTTAATGTTTTCTTGGAGGATACAGTGGATCTTGATTCTTTGTTGTACGAAACTGCTTTAGTATTAAAAACTATAACCAATAGTTCTGGTAAGTACCTCGACGTCAATAATATTGTAACGTTTATAATTTAATTCTAAGGTATTTAACCGACAGAAAAGATCTGGCACAAACATGTGTTTTGGTAACTCGTGATAATAACCGGGGCAAAAACTTCATATTGCTCCTTCCCCCCACGCTCTTAAGACCAGATTTTAAATGTATTACATATTTTGCAGTTTGACTTATTTATTTCCTTTAGGTTCTTTGAAAACATGTACGTCCCATCGTAGCCCATGATGAGTATGAAATTTAAAAAACCGTTTTCTACAACTCATTCATTTTTTAACCATATTATGTTATGATGATTTTGGCGCTCTCTAACACTAGCATCCGCGGCAAGTGCCCGATCAGAATGACGTCATGAATATGACGGCTTGAGTTTTGCGCGGATATAATAAAGTTTGAATTTCGATTTAATTTTAAGGCAAGAAAACGTGTATATTTTTCCAAAATATTTGTTTTATGGCTTTTTAAGCCATATAACGTCAGTCAGTTCTCTTCAGTCTCGTCCTCGTCTGAAATCCTACTGATCATTATATCAAGAGTCTCTTAAATATTTAGGTATTAATTATAAACTTAACTCCCATTACGCTATATTTTAGGAGTATTCTTATACATCGTAGATGATGTAAGAAACGAAATCATATTGATGCCTTGCAATCCAAAGATGGCGGAACGACACCAAGTCAACATACCGATTGGTTTGTATAATTCTAGCTATTTTGAAGTGTATTAATACACTCTCTCGACTACCATTTTTGTGCCACTTTTATACATCCCTTATTAGGCACTAACTGTATATTTTACACGACATTTATATTATCTTTACAATTATTTAAGCCCGTGTTCCACCAAACTTTAGTGGATATGTTCGGTCCTGAGGACACTAATTAATCGGCCCTCAGATTTCGTGCTCCTGATCAACAAAAATAAATAAATATTTAACAACATCACATACATTGCTCAGATTTCCAAGATGAGTAGCTAAAGCCCCCGTATTATGGAGTATCTGAGACAACGAAGGTACCACAACACCCAGACCCGAGTCAATATAGAAAAGTTCAATTTCTACATTGACCCGACCGGGAATCGAACCCGGGACCTCAGAGATGGCGACACCTTGAAACCGGCGTGCGAACCACTCGGCTACGGAGGTCGTCAAATAATACATGTCGTAAGATTTTCATTCCGCACAGGATAATCGATCTTAGTAATAATTTACGTAAAATGAAATTTTGTTACAAAGATGAGGGTAAAATAGCGGCGGCCCACGCGGCAGCCACAAAAGAGTTTCTTCTAATACAAGATGTGCAACGCGACCGTCGCTTCTGTGAAGGTCTAAAGTGGGTGGAAGCCAAGGTGGCGTTATGCATGCCTATCATAAAACCTGATGGCAACTGCCACGGGGTCCTCGAGTTATACAGGACGTTCGCTGAAGTTTACGATGATGTGAGTTCAGATAGCTGATATGATACACAGACCTTACTGAGTTTTTGGTTTAGCATAGTGATGTACAAGGTAGATATGACACATATTTTCTAAATAGAGATCTACCAAAAGTATAAGATATATAAAAGCCCAGGAAATACATTTTAAATCGCACTTTTCTTATTTTGCATGTCTTATAGTATCTATATGCTAGCTTATAAAAATCGGATATTTAAACTTTCGATAAAGGTGAAATTTTGTTTTAATTATTATATTGATCAAATTTTCAATAAAAATTTGTTCTATAATAATAGTGAAAAGTTAACAAGTGCTTGAAAAATCCTTAAGTCCTGTTAGGTCCTGGGAAACTCAATGGTTAGACCAGTCGCCAGGATTGCTAAAGGTCATCGGTCGAGTCCCATCTCAGAGCGCCAGGGACAATGTGGATTTTTTTAAACATTTTGCATTAAGAATAATAGTCCCTTTTATTATTTATTGGATAAGAATTCTGAGTTTCGTAGTCAGGATCATCAAACACGTAATTCTGACTACGTAAATAAGAGGGTGTACTATGTCAAACAGAACGTAATATATACAGCGGTGAGTGTGGCCTGTTGGGCGGGTGCAGCAGTACACCAAGCACAAGCCCGCATCACGCTACAGAAGACCACCCATCTCAACAACGAGCTCAGGACACTCCTGCACAGTTACTTTTGCGAGCTCGCCTCTATTGATACTATGCTCACTGATATGTTGGTACGTGTTTACAACTAAACACACGCATTACATGTATCTGAGAGATAGCCTAATTGTTGACTACACAGAGCATGTAATAATACACTTTAGCGCAGCTATTTCGAATCCTCATATAAGAAATCTTACAATTTAAGTCATCAAAAATGAAATGTTTCTTAATTTATTTTGTGAAACATCTGAAAACTATAGACGTACGATAAGCATACTTTTCTTGATTGATCTGTAGATAGTTAAATAGACTTTCTGATCAAATCATCAGGCAGTCGTGAAATCGTTCATGGGTGCTATGCGCAGTAGTTTCTACATCTTGGATAAAGACAATGTAGTGAGTGGCCAGCTGCAGGCTGATATGTGGGATGATGGTTGGTCCGCCGAGAAGACAGCCATGCCAAAGAAGAAGATCAAAGTCAAGTACGGTGCTAGCACTTAGAAATATTTTCCTAAAATAACGTCACTTTAACTACCTACGCCCAAATATCCTCTTCCACAATTTTTGCTATTTTAGAACAGTGTCATATTCAAAATAGTTTGTATTTTCTTGTCACTACTAGCAGCACTTTGCTTTTAATCGTATACTACCAGTTCGCTACATCAGATTCAAAATCGACATGTGTCACCAATTCCGGCTTTTGTAAATCCAATTTTAACAATAACGAATCAGTTTTCTACTAGCCTCAGTAACGAGCAGACTCCAGCGGGGTTGGTAGCGCGCACCGGTACACCTCTCAACGTCCACGACGCTTACAAGGATCCCAGATTTTTCAAAGACATCGATCCCACAACTGGCACTGTTGTCAGATCTTGCCTTGTTTCCCCCATTTTGGATAAAAATGGAGTCATTGGTAAGTTGATCACAAAATTAACAAAATTATTGAATTATTTCTTTCATCTCGTTACATTGCCATGAAAGAGTGAATGAAGGGTGCACTCAGTTTCTGGACCGGTGGAGGGGCAAATCAGAGTTCTAAACCCTCAATTACAAGCGTCAAAAAACAAACAGGAGAAACAGAACTATTCTGCCCAGCCCCCAGCTTTCAGTTTACACACCCATGGTGTGAATAATTTTTGTGACAAAGAACTTACCTTAATTATTAGGAAGCAGGTATATCATAAAAATATGACGCAGGAATTGTTCAACTGACCAACAAAAACAATGCTCGACCATTCAACGCGGAAGACGATAAGATTTTCGAAGTCTTCGTAAGCTACTGCTCTCTGATTGTCCACTTTCACAACATGCAGCTCAAGAAAATCTATCATGTTCGTAATTTTCCTTTATTATAGCTTTTTCATTCCAGTAGCATTTTGCGATATCCTTTTAAGCAAATTCAATCCAGTCAAGGGGATCTTGGGATCTATATAGGAGGTTTTTATATATTGGGTAAGAGTGTCGATAAGAACTATTTCTACCAAACTACCTTCGAGTTAGATATCTACATATGGTCCTTACTATCTTGTTTAATATAAAAGTACCTAAACAAAAATATTATTTGTTTTAGAATAATCTCAATAACGTGTATAGTGAGTTGATGAGCTTACATCTGAAGCCTTGTCGGCACGTTATTGATGAGCTGATGGAGTCCAATGGTATAGTGTTGCCGCCGAATAATTTCAAGAGGTTGTTACTAATTTTAGAGTGAAGTTAATCTGTTATGCTTTAAATTGTTTCGAATTCGATTTTATAAATTTTGTGCAATTAACAAATGTGAAACAAGCAAATCCAGAGCTTTACTAATTTCTTTATAATATCTTATAATACTTTATTATAAAAGACTGTCTAAATTCTCCACTCAATTTTAAACCTTAAAACTCAAGTTTAAAACAATCTGGAGAAATTTAACATACTGTGGTATCCTGATGTGCAGTCGTGTATGAACCTCAGATATCCATTTGGAATCCGATTAAATAAATCTTTCAGCTATGACTATCATATAAGCGAAGGCAACAAAGAGGATATGCCTGGACTAATATGTTACATGTATATGGAGACATTCGCTGATCGCAACTTCGAACGGAATCGGATTGCAGATTTCGCTCTTACTATTCTCAGGTGAGAATCGGGTCTACACTTAGATTATAAAATAATATATTTTTGAATAAGCATTGAAGAGAGAGTTCAACATTCAAATATAACGGTCTTATTAAAAATGGAAGACGGACTTTTTCTCCGTTCGTGAAGGTTAAAAATTCTGCCTTTTCAACAGCTGTTATCGAAACAACCCGTACCACAACGCCGAGCACGCGTTTTGCTTCACACATACGCTATACGTCGTGTTGACCAGCAATCCTGGCTATTTCGATTATGTTGAGGTGAGCACCTAGAAAGAAGAATATCTAATCCATAATAAAATATCTTATCGCAAAACTTGCAATTTTAGTCCAAATTCATATAATATAGAGAATAAGTTCTGCGGAAGTAAATATTAACCTCGTACTAGATGAACCTTTGCTAAGTCTCTGTTTAATAATATGAATTTTGATGAATACTAAGTCCAGTCTTAGCGTAAATGTACTCTAACGCTAAACCTTGATTATGAGTTACGCATACCTATATGCTTTGCTAATCTATTTCTACAAGACTTATTAATGAGTCTGTCTTCTTTGTATATGGAAGGATGATAGAAGTAGTAAATTCAAATGCACTGCTAGGATGAGTTAATTGGCTTTTACTTCCACAGACAGCCGCGTTGATGCTATCAGGTTTGTGTCACGACGTGGATCACCCGGGATTCAATAACAACTTCCTTGCTCTATGCAAGCATCCGCTCGCGCAAATGTATAAATCTTCAATATTAGAGAACCATCACTTTTTCCTAGCCAAGAAGATTATTGAGGTGAGCTTGCTTGATTTTATGCCTCTTTTGTGCCTCTCCTCCCCTCCCTCCCTAGATCAGGTCCTGGATATACATATAGAAGGCGAATTTGAAAATGTATCTTTTTGAGTGATATTCGCAAAGGTAAATTGTAAGTCAATGAGCTGGAAACCCACACACACCCAGTAAACCCACCATGTGCCATCACATTTATGAGGTGGTGCATGGAATTCAGCCCAAGGGTCCACATATCTTACCATTCACCCCATTAGCTGAATACTATTAAACAATAGACGCGTTTCACGTGTAGGACAAGAACATCTTAGGCAAGTTGCCAGCGATGGACCGCGAGCGTATCTTAGAGGAACTCAAATACAACATATTGTGCACGGACCTTGCAGTGTACTTCCAGATCAGAGCTCAGCTCACACCGCTCGTGGGAGACCACACGTTTGATTGGACGGATAGCGCTCACCGGAAGATGGTCAAGGTCGATACACGGACAGAGTCATTAGTAGAAACATATGTATTTTTCAGTGTGTTACTCTGATAGCAGATCATTCCACATTTTATATCCTACACCTCACAAATAAATGACACGTAATATTAGAATTATGACGATTCAGGTCGTCTCGGTGGTTCATATTTTTTCATATAAAGAATTCTTTCATTTCACCTCCATTTCCATTGATATGCTTCTACCTTGACAGAACTTACTTATTGAGTAGTTAGAGATATTGTAAGAGATACTCAGATTTATAAAAAAAATGTTGTGTATATAATGTACAGGTAGGTAATGTTAGAATAAAACTTATTCATACCTAGTGTAAGTATAAATTTTTCTTTCTTTACCCATTTCACATCATACCGGCTAACCATAGATTGTTTGTCTTTTCCCGCTTTGCAGCCCTTGGAGCAAAGAAGTATTTGACTTCTATATAATAACAACTTTATTGTAGGGTATTTTAATGACAACAAGCGACCTTTCCGGGTGCTGCAAACCATTTGGTGTTGCCAAGGCTATAGCGGAGACGGTCTATGAAGAATTCTACGCACAAGTAAGATTGTGTCAACGCTGGAAAGCAAACACGTAGTAGCCTGCAAAACCAAAATGTACATATATTTAAAGTGGAAAACCTTTATATTTAAAGAAAAAAAAACTTATTTCTCCATAAATTGACTAAGGAACCTTATTTGTTACCATGGACGTCTATAAGAATTATTTATCAAAAAAAATAAAAGTTTTTCTGCTCTGAAAACATTTTTAGTTTTGCGGGTGTTTTCTTTCCAGCGTCGATGTGTGAAAATCCATCGTTTCATCTAATTCATATATCAATTTTAACATCTTATAAATATATACTTGAATAACAAAACACGAAATAGAAACGTCTTTGCTGATTTTTAATATACACTACAGTTCGTTTATGTTATTATAGTGAAACTAGAAATATGAAAAAATTCCTCAGAAACTGGTACATTATAATTTATGACATCGGGATTACTCACGGTTAACCTTTTTGCCGACCCCGCAAGGAGTCCGTCATGAAGATAGATAATAGATTATTTTTGATTGCTCCTTTGTAGTTTATATGATTTAACACAATTATATTACTACATAGTATAAAACAAAGTCGTATTCTCTGTCCCTATATCCCTTTGTAAGCTAAATCTTTAAAACTACGCAACGGATTTTGTTGCGGTTTTTTTATAGATAGGGTGATTCAAAAGGAAGGTTTTTATGTATAATACAAGACCACGCGGGCCAAGGGGGCGTCCATAAATTACGTGAGATGTTTAAGGGGGGGAGGGGGTCGAGGCAAATCTCATCTAGTCTTACGTTTGAGAGAGGAGGGGTCTCAGCAAATATCACGCAATTTTTTTTCTGATTGAAACAAAAAAATATTTTTCGTCCATTTAATCCAGATTGTACATGCTTAAGATTTAATCTTAAGCGTAATCGTATACGATTGAAATCATTCACTAATTCGTTCAAAAGGAAATAATTTCATTCATACTTTGACGCTATACATCTACTGAATGTCAAACCACCATATTTGTAGGGTTCGAACGATACTTTCGATACCGAGTAGGTATCGATACTTTCGAAAGCGATACTCGATACTACAACAAGGCAAATACTCACAAGTACTCATCAAATTGCATTTTGAAAAATTTCACGTGAGATTGGGGGATGGGGGAGGGGGTTGAATAAAATCTCACGATATCTCACCAGAGGGGGAGGGAGGGACAGAAAATTTAAAAAACACCTCACGTAATTTATGGACGCCCCCCAAGCTGCTAGCGGAAAGCTAGTAAGCAAATAAATTTGTTTGGTTTAAACCATTTTTTTATAAATAAAGCACTATCAGAACAAAAAATTGTATGTATTTATTTGTGTTCCCCGCAAGGGTGACAAAGAGCGTTTGATGGGGTACACGCCCCTCAGCATGATGGACCGGCGGCGCAGCATCAACCAGCCCGCGGAGCAGATACAGTTCCTGTCGGTGGTGGTGCTGCCGTGCGTGCTGCTGCTGCAGAACGTGTTCCCCAACACCGCCCCCCTCACCGACAATTGCAGGTGCACTTTTATTATAAAACGCAGGGGAGACGCACCTTCAGCCTCAAACCAGGACTCTCCGACCAAGCGCCCCTCTTTATATATCAGTATCAATATTATCAGTGTAATGTCTTATAGAATAATAATATTGGATTTCAGGTCGCAAACCGATTTAAAAGTGTTCAATATTGAGGTCCCAGGTTGGATACCCGGTCGGATTAATGTAGAAAATGAGCTTTTCTATATTGTCTCAGATACTCCATAATACGGGCTTAGTTAACTCATCCTGGAATCTGAGCAATATATGTGATGCTGTTTAGGATTTATTTATATAACTTGATGTGTAGCCATGTAGGACAAGTACACATATGATTCGTTGGACAAACATCCATTAAGGTTTAATGATGTCTTTAAGCTATGTCAAATTTGTATGGGTAATGTCGCTTTAAACTAATGACTGTTTTAAATGACGTTAGTGCAACTTTACAATAATGATTATTGTTTTAAGGAAAACTCAAGATGCTTGGCGGGAAGAGATTGAAATCAGGGGACAGAGGCTGTGGAGGCAGGAGGACTCGCTTGGAAACTACTCACGCAGTAGATACTCTGCAAAGTCACGCACTGAACTAAGCTAGATTTATACATGTTTCTTTCTACGTATTAAATAAAGAATTGAGAATATTTTCATAAATGCATTTTCATTTTGTATATATTTTGTAAATTTGCATAAAGTTGAAGTCTTTATAAGTCTTAAGTTTTTGAACTGCATACATAATGATTTAATGTAATATTAATGGTTCCTGGGTAAAAAAAGAAATTCTATAGTTCTTGTTTCCATGGTTGTGACGTCACACCAATGTATCAGCTGTGTGACGTCATACCAATGTAGCAGCTGTGTGACGTCATACCAATGTGTCGACTGTCAGTATCATTGATAAAACATTATGAAGAAAGAGGTTTATGGACTACACGTCTATAAATATCGCTACCAAAATAAATATACAAAGGATTGACGTCATAATATAGCGTACATTAAAGGATGTTCGTATTGAAAATTTGAAACACCAACGCAATGATAGCAAATTTACTTTATTTAACTAATATGATCGACATAATACATATAATGTAATCAAACATTAACTTGTGTTAAAAACAAATATCCACAGTATTAAAGAATTTGCGTAACTAAACAGTCAATTCTATCACCTAGTGATGACAACACACTTAGTAATCCTAGGGACGATTAGGTATTTATAATAATCACCAATTTGTTTGTACACAGAAGGATATTTAGGTACCTAAATACACACATTGAAGCGACCAACAATCTCCGCTTCAGACAACTTTGTTCTCCACCAAATCCATTACTTTTAAATATCAGGTAAAACGGTTTTAGAAAACTATACATCTTGGAAACAAAAGGTAAAAAAAACCATTACATAATTTTATTATGTTACGTATCATGTACATAAAACATAGGCATGTATTTTGACTACTGTGTACAATTCCCGTATCGAATTTTTTTTATTCATTAAAGCATTGCGGGATTCCCAGTGTTTTTACCACAAAATCCAATATTCTAATAACTCATCTTAGTTTGACATATATCGATAATAAAAACCAAATGATATGCCCAGTTCTTCTTATTTACAGGTTTAGTAAAAGTTCTTGTGTTAGACAATGAAAAATATCCCTTACTGTTATGTAAATTAAGTAGGTAATCAATTATATTCAAACGCGGGGCTTGATCCAGACGACACTAGTTAAAATTAAGGCACAGTACCTCTTATTCTGTCCTTAAAAATAGAAATAAGGGTATTACCAAAATCAAATCACATATTATGGACGTTTGAAAGTCTTTGAACACACAGAAAAGGAGTTTTGAAAAAGCAGTGATTTTAGTTTGAAGGTAGGTGTTCTTTTTATATGTGACAGATATTTCAACCGTTTAAATTTCTGATAAAGTATTGCAAAACACTGAAATTTAAACAAGATTATACTAGGTATAGACACATGATGGGTCAAGCCATAGAATACATCTTAGGAACATAATGGCAATATTCCGTTTCAAGTTACTACATGTAGGTTACTTTTAATTACGACGAACGAATGTTATAGAATAATGACTACAGATTTGGCAGCAGTTTATTCACCGAAAAACATGTAGAAACGAAATATCATCATAACATCACCGAGATGTTATATTCTATGGCTTTTTTTGACCCATGGACCTCAATTCTACTAATGTTACCGTAATAATGGCATCTCAATGGTGTTTCATACGTGTAATTTTTCTGTTATGCCCATTGCCTATCTGGGACCAATATTATTAGCGCTGAAATAAAATGAAAATGAATGAATTCAAGTAAGCTTGTTACAAGCACTTTTGAATCGTCCAAAAATATTTTTTCCCCTTCCACTTGTTCAGGACGTCTTTTAGCTGACAAGAAGAACAAGCGAAAGAAACTTACCAGCTTTTCATCATAAGTTTTTTATCAGCTAAGTTATCTTCGTAAATCAATGGTGAAAGATGTGTTTCTTTTTTTGTAATATAATAACAAAAACTGTGTGAAAAATAGATGTTATTGAAGCACAAATGACTTGCTATAATTACTCTAACATTATCAGAACTAGGGCCCAGTACATAGGTATCTACGGCATATAATATATTTGTTGGTGACCGTACATCAAACTTAATTCAACAAGGTACAATCTCATATACTTTTGAATATTATAACTATCATAATTATATATTATGATATTAATCTTTATATCTATCTACACCCATTAAAATAAAACATAATAAATACACACCAATTTCTCAATGAAATTGAACAAATTAAAATTATTGAGATTTAAAACATACAATTTATATGCTGTTATAAAGTAGGCAATTATATTAGTTTTATAATGTAGAATTAACTTATACCTTAAATCAATATTTTTAACTGGCAATCCACACTATAAAGAATAGGATTTAATGAATGACATAAATAAGTTGCCAACAATTCAAATAATTATTGCTTAGTTATAAATAATCATATTGTCTAAAATAAATCTTTACAATCCAATTTTGTTCTATATGAATTTCAGCCGTTTTGAAACATGAGTAGTATTATAATGAAAAATTTCATCCAAACAAGGAAAACAATTTTAGAAAATATACTCTGTGGAATGCTGTGCTGTGTGAAAATAATTTCATTATGTCTATTAGGTTGTATTAAAGTGGTTATATTTAGAATGTCACTGCAAATTGTGATAAGATTACTGTGTGAAACAATGTCTTAAATATAACCAAACTGATTAACTAGTAAACCACAACATGCAGTAAGAATCTGATTTCTGAATTTTAAAACAATTCTCTGTTGCCATCTTTGAATTATCGAGTAGTTATAAACAATATTCATTAACGGTGGCTAGGTTAGAAAATTTTCATTAATATAACTTTATTGTGATATATATAAACACAAAATCTTGAGTGTCAATCAAATTATTTATAAATAACAGTAAATTAACAATAAGCTATAATCTACTCCCTTTATAAATGACTTCTGAATGAGAATTGTTTTAAATTTCTTTCCGAGGGTGTATTATACTTTTGTTTATTATGTGTTCCGAATCTTGCCTGGTACATAATTTTTATCAATTGTAGGTTCTTGTAGAAACATGTGAAGGCATCTCTCATTCTGTGCTAAAGGATGGCCAGCTATTTTGTTGATGAATACTTCTAAGCCTGAAATATTTACATTAAATTGAAAGTCTGACAATCACCACCATATTTGCAATACATCTATAATATACTATATAAATAAATAACATGGTAAAACTTTCGTGAAATAGAAGAAAAATCTAGCTATTATCTAAATAATTAGATGTTACATAATTCAATTAACTTGTATCATTAAATATTAATAATATAATACTAACAATAATTAACATTACTATGTTTTGTTTGTTTTACCACACCGAAGGTATATAAAGCTGTCCAATAGTGTTTGTTTCTGTGAATCATGGGAGCTGAGTTGAAAGATATATCCCATGAATGTGCAGGATTTTTATATAAACAATGATATTGTTTCTTAATCTTATATGTATGTTGTAATTCAATTAAAATGTTTAAGTGAAATATAAAATAGAACTCATTTTATCTTAGACAGTACTGTGTTTAAGTGACAATAAAAAAATACCTTTTCTACGATCTTCAATAAACTCTTCTTCAAATATACCATCATCGCCACGGAAGGGAAGTTGTCTCTTTAAAGCTTTACCTGGCAACGGTGGGACTACTATCTGTAAATTTGACACAAATAGAGATAGTTAAAATTAACTGCCTTAACCTAGAATAAACTTCTCATCTACAGCCTCAATATCACTGATAATACAAGGTTATTATGTTATATTCATAACATCCAAACATTATTATCATAACTAGTTCATGGATTTAATAATAATTTTATAAATATTTGAACACAAAATGATATCTATATCAATAAAACTTTGGTATTATAGTCTCTTAAAGCTCTTGATAACAAACAAAAACACTATCTGTATATTGAATGACTAATATTGTACTCGCCTTACTATCTCGTTCCAATTCATTTCTGAGCCACTCAAAGTCACTGTACCGTCGTCTTACACTCGAATCCTTAACTTTGAAAACGGGAAGATTGGTCTGTAACAATAGGATAAGTTCATAACTAAATTCAAACGGAAGAATAATTACAGACTAGTCGTAAGGCGGCACGGATGCCGAAAAATACGCCCACTTATTTGGTGATTGAACGGCGTCGTCTCGATGTTTAATTTAATTATATGACATCAATATTAACGCAATAACTTACCCTCATGCGAACTTCGTAATCCGTATAGCGTTTTTTTCCTACACCCATCGTTGTCACTGGATTTACTACATCGATCTCCAAGAAGTTTGCCGGCGCCGCGTAAGCGTCATCGAGGGTCTGTTTCTTAACGTTTAATCGCCTAGTCGCGTCGGCTGTTGTATCTTCAGCCATCATAACGCTTATTTAATAAAACAATCAATTACGAATAAAACGGCCCACTAATCAACAGGAAACGATAAATGACATGACTTCAATGTAACAACCGTTTGACGTTTCTATTGGAAAAAATGGCGATGTGTCAGACATCCAGTGTTGCCGCTTAATTAAAATAAATTCTGCCAGCGCTTTTAAACAAAAATCGGAAAGTACGAAGTTAAGAAAAAGACTATCTAATACTTTATGACTACTGAGAAGTAATTTATTCCAGTTCAGGGTACCAAATCCTGGAGTGGGAATACTCGCAACATACCAATAATTTTCTATCTTATTAGTACATTCAAAAATGACGTTTTGAGAAATGGAACTACCACATATAAGTTAGAAAATATACAGCGCCACAATGTTTCTAATTACCTCTATAAAAATTTACTTAAAATACTTTAATAATTTACAGCACCACAAAAACTTATTTATTTCTGAAAGAATATAGAAGAATCTATTTATTCCTATTTCGTAACGAACTAATAAATATGGGAAGGGACTGGATGGGGCAAAAATTCATTTTAAAATAAAAAATGGTGGCACTACCACACTTTACGCCTATTATACTCAAGATATTTTTTGTAATTATCTGTCGGACTAAATTTTACTTTATACTAGGCATCATCTCTTTTAAGTCAGGGGTTTGCTCACCGCTTTGCTAGCGGTACTCAAGGTTAATCTGGATGTGTGATGTGGTAGTAGTAAGGTAGTAAGGGTAGCGTAGGTAAAACGCGTAATATTAAGATGTTTGATCACAACGAAAACTATATCTATGATCATCATAATCTACCATGGACAAAGTGTACATACTGTTAATTCTTTTAGAGGTTTAGAACTTTTTATAATAGAGCCAACTTCATTTATTTCATATAACATCAAATCTTTTTCGTTTATTATATTATATTACATTATAGTTAAATACATTATAAAAATTGACTCATAGGATCTTCTTCGCGACGCCTCTTCATCATGTAGGCCTCCATTTCTTCCTCAGTGGGTGCCTTCACTTCCACCATGCTATTGTATGCACGTTTTCGCTCGTCTATCGTCAGTAGATATTTGGCATGACGCTGTTGCCTCTCTTCAGCTTCCAGAGCCTGTTAAATTGTGAATAAAAAAAAATGTTTATGAGATATGTGGTCTTATAGAAATACTAGTTTTCCACTGGTGCGGTGGCTTTAACTGTGTGGGTAACATACATAATCATTAAGACCCTATTTATCTCTCTTAGGTGTCGAATATTTCAATACTTTCTTAGCGAAATTCTAGGTCATAAATGTTAGTGTGCAAAATAATTGCCCAGCAGTTTGAGCTGCAAGTTGATTGATCAGTCAGTCAGTTGATTGGTTTTAGCTTTTTGTATAGTTAGATATATCATTGTTTTACGTGCGTTTGAGACAGATTTTAAGTAAATATTATAAAAATGTTAATCTCGTAAATATACCTTCTTGAGTTTATCCTCTTCCTTCTTTTCTTTTTTAAGATTTTTCTTCTTTTTCTTTTTAGCCTTCTTCTTACTTTTCTTCTTTTTGCTGGTCTTCTCTGTTTTACTTCTGTGATCCTTCTCTGAGTCAGAGGAACTACTGTCCGAACTGGATTCCGACGAAGATGACGATGATGAACTGTCACTCTTCTCTAATATAGAACATAAATAATAAATGAATAATGAAAAAATGAAAATGAAAAATGTTTATTTCGTTAAGCATGAGTTTTCAACAATAGTCAGAGGCTGACATGCCCCTATTAAATGTAAAATACATTTGTGCCAGGAGCAGCCACACTCCCATAACATGCATAGGTTTATTTTTTTTCATCCATATTTGTACGTATAAAATTTAAACCTTTGTGGGCTACAAGAATCGAATACTAATCATTTATTTCAACAGAATGAGTATTTTTGAAAAAGGCGGTATGCATTTTTAGATTTTCGCCTAGAGACAGCTTGTTATTATTTTAAACTACCCTTCCGCCAGCGGCTTATAAGAGAAAGATTTATTTTATTCACATAAATGTGTTATAACACTCGGTATATTGATGAAAACCGAATTAAAATCCGTTGTGTAGTATAAAAGATTTAAGCGTACAGACAGCGGCAAGGGACATTGTTTTATATCAGCCTTTTCTACGTTCTCACTGCAGGGGCTCCTTATGTATTGTTAAGGAGGACCCGATTGGAGGGTGGTAACGACTGTAAATGTAGCCGGGACCAGCGGTTTAACATGCCTTTTGATGCACGGGGTAGATCGAGTAAGTAATTTTTTGGTCACCCATCCCATAACGGACCCTTGCAAAAGTTGGTTAACAATAACCGTGTACTTTAATACAATAAAAATATACCTTTTTCATTTTTCTCTGAAACATCTTTGGTAATGGCAGCACTCGTGGTTGCCTTCTCTATGTCTTGTACTTCTATCACCACAGACTTGCCCGCTTCACCAACACAATAGGACATCTGTAATTATATGACGATACAAATGTAGACAGTAAACGAAAATAAATACATAATTTGATTTTTTTTTTTCTAGTAGTGTTTCATGTATTATTACCGATAAACACATTTTTATTCTTATTATATTGTAATAATATATAACAAATATTTTATATACTCGTTGTCACGGTCACACACAATGCGTGACGTCACGCCCCTCTACACGTATTTAGAACAGGGAAAATTAATCCTTATGCATACATAGAACGATATCAGTTTCAGGGGGCCGGGACGTCGTGCAGACGATGGCGTTTTCGCGGATAATTTTGAAATTTAAATACATTTTTTTAAATTATTACATGAATGACTTTTAATATGTTTTTTAGATATATTTCATGTAAACAAAAATAAAAATAAATATATATTTATATAAGTCGTCAAAATGAAAAAGGTGTTGTTCGCCTAAATTTACAAACATAACGGTCAGTTTTTTATGCACGTTTTACTTTGCACAAACGTCATTCTAGGTGTCATGGTAGTTTTTGGGATTAATATGTTACTATATGGGTATAATATTGATGTATGGCAATGTGTATAATTACCTTAATGAAGGAATGGCAACATTTGTAGCCCCACTGTCCGTCGTGCCAGTACGAGCCCCATACAGTAGTGTGGTTGTTGATTAACACGTCTTCTTCATATTTACTCCTGTCATAATACAAGAAAAATATATTTCCTATTCAATTAAGACCACGATTCAGCTCATATTCTGACAGGTCAAATTAATTGGTATATATAAACCTATCAAAAGCGATTACGAAATGGTTCCCTACCATTATCTACAAAAATGTAAAAACTGACTATTTTTGAAAAACAGTGCCAAATTATTCCTTATTACATAATGTACTTATTATTATTACATTAACATTTCGGGGAAATTTACTGTATTTATCAATAAAAATTTAAAGCGAGAAAAACGCTTACGCTTTAAATTTACGCCGTTACGCCGCGTATGATGTCACTCGCTAGTAAATAAACAAACCTCATCATAGTAAAATCGTCAACAGGAAGCCATATTTACTAGCATGTGACGTCATCGGAGTTGCAACATCTCAGTTATAATGACAAAAAAAAATATTTTGTGTGATCTGCAAAAAATATACACTATTTCATTTAAAATAAAGTGAAATATTTCTTATATATCTTTTATGTCGTAAAATACCCAATTGAGTTGATATTACTATATTAGTTAAGTGTACGACTAACTTGGCTAGCTGTTTCTCCGGTCCCTCGGCCAGTGTGCCGTCCCTGTTGTATCGCGTGAACACCTCGGTCTGCGCCAGTAGCAGTTCCCTCGGCGGCGCCTGCAGGTGTTCCTCACCACCATACTTCTCCAGGACCGATTGCTTCACCTGGATATTATTGGGAAATAAGATAACAGTAAATACGAGCTCTTGGCGGGGAGTTACAAGAGACTCTTAGGGCGCTTGTGCACTACACTGAATTTTCAGATCCGGCGGTCCGATTTTTTCCGGTCCGGAATGACATGAAAAACCCGGATGAGTAGCTTGTGCACTTGTCCGTTTTTTTCCTGATCGGAGCGGCGCAGTGTAGGACAGCTCTCTTTGAAGCTACACGTCACTAACGCTAGGTACGATGAGATTTTTGGAACATCGGTAATTCCGTTCGAAGACGTAGAAAGGTATCTAAATAATGATCTGATCGTTTTACATAAACCATAATAAATTATGGCAAGACGAAAGCATTTTTTTTACTACTATCGGATGACTACTATCAGATGTAAAAACTTATACCCTTACTCATTTAGGAACAGCATTATTCACATACAATAGCTAAAAATATCTGTGACATTAGAATAAAATTACTGATAATGGTCTAGTACTTGATGTTTAAATTTTTAAACGTGCTATTTTTTTCGAAGTTTTGTAAAAATAACTTTCAGCGATTACAGAGATAGACCAATCGGTAGCGCTATTTCGTATATAAATCGAAATTAGTGCCATGTAAGCGGAGAATTAATATGCTAAATGAACTTTACGAGATCAGTTGACTGTATTATATATAGGCATAATTTTATACGCGTGGTGTAGTTTCTTTGAGCAGAAATATTATTTCTTTAGAATACTTCTTTTTTTTAAATTTATTAATGACACAAATATACATTTAAAATTTTATTAAATGCGAAGAAGACTGAGTGTCACTTAATTACTTTTGTTAATCTTCTGTTTATTCTTTATTATTACTTCTGTTGTCAAATATTTATCTATACTTATCAATTGTCTAAAAAAAATTTGATAATGACAAATTTCCAGGCAAACTTTCATCCCCTATTTTTCGCGATAAAATGTAGCCTATATCCTTTCTTAAAGTTAAGTCTATTTACTATATTAATTTTCTATTTAATATATTAATTTCCATTTAGATGGGTTCAGTTGTTTAGGCGTCTAAGCGTAACAACACTTATTTATCTTACCTTAAGCTATCTAATATTAGTATAAATGGGTTATCTTCGGGAATACTGGTCCGGTTATGGAAATCATCTATGGAAAGCCACATTATACGAGGATAACACAGGCTATAGTTTATTCTGCTAATATTGTAAAAACAAAAGTGTCCGAGTGATATTAAGAAAATTAACAATAACCAATAATTCATGTAAAATTATTAATAAAATTCTCTACTAAAAAAAATATTAAAATTTGATACTACTTTAGGATTTGCGATTTGCTTACTGAATAGATATTTAATGTACAGTCGAGCAGAGTCGTCGTGTTATCACAAAAGTTAAAATTCTTCCAATCAAATTAATAGTGAGGTTCAAAAGTGCAGAATTTTGGCTTATCAAAGAGACCTTATGTTCTGCTATGCGACCCAAATAAGAATAGGTATTAGGTACCATTTTCACGGCTTAGTTGTCGTTTAAGTACTGACAGATTTAGATATTGTCACGACTTTTTCAAAATAAAAAAAATATATAGGTATTTTTTTATTCGAGGCTTTACTTTATTATTAAATATGAAGTTGGTTATTGTCCTAAACGCTTCGACTTCCACGATTTCGTATTGAATTACAAATGTCAGTGTGCCGTATACCGTTACGATAATTGAACCTTATGCATACATAGAACGATAATAGTTTCAGAGGTCCTGCAGAAGTGGCGTGTTCGCGGGAAATTTTAAAACTAATTTTTTTTTTTTGGATTTTAATTTATTATATTAATTATACTTTTATAAACATTTATTTTTATATATTTCTTGTAAAGTCATAAATAAAAGTTGTCTACACCCCTATTATAACCAGCCCTGCGATTCTGTAAAGATTTTGAGCCGAATTCGAAATCACGTCATTTAGTGTGGAAATTCTACTGAGTCCATAATTTTTATAAAAAAAAAAACAAAACAAAATTAATTGATTATACGCGTTTCAGATATTCTATTCCTATGTCATTTCGAAACTCACTTCACTTAGGGACCGTCCATTAATCACGTGATGATTTTTTCAACATTTTTTGACCCCCCCCCCTCTCTTGGTGATACATGGTGAGGTTTAAGACTACCCCCTGCCACCTTCAACCAAATCACGTGTATTTAAAAAAAAACCTCTATTTTTGACGTCGCTGTTCGGTTTAATAATCGCGCATCGAGGAAAAATAAATACACGTTATATATAACTACACCCCCCTCCCCCCTTGTGATATTTCACGAATCCCTCCCCCCCCCCTTTCGAATCCGGACACCTAAGTGAATTCTAATTCGGGTTTTGCATTTTCAGAATCGCAGGGCATATCTTCAGTTCGGTGTTTTCCTGTATCGTTAGGTACTGCAACGTCCGTGCACATTACTATAGGTAGGTTTACTCTTCGAACAATTTATGGTCAATGTCGGCCGTTAATATTTTGAATTATTACTTTTCCGTATTCGAATTCGCGTGTTCATGTTTCGCTAGTGGATATTCTTTTTTTCTGATGGAGACCGGCATAGAGTCAGAATCTTATCATTTAGTTGTAAATGATTTAATGTATAATATTCACAAATAAAATCAAGACTTTGAAGAATTATACCAGTATTTTATCGCGCCGTCCAGAGCTACTGCTGAATCCTACATTAGAGTACCTGTGTTTTGAAGTGGTCCTTCTTCTCCTGGTACTGTTTCTGCAGCATCTGCAGCTTGGTGGGTTCAGCCAGTAGATGTACATCCAGCCCTCTGGCTTGTGCTTCCCACGCGAACACTTGAGCGGCGGCGTGGTTGCGGGTGTCTCCAGTGAAACGGACGAAGTTCTCGCCCGCGTACTCAGATCTAAGTCGAGCGAAAAGACGATATGACACGACATCTTCATAATAATCAATCATCTTTATTGCGTGTTATTACACACACACACACACACACAGGCAGACTCGTCTAATCGCTAGTCGTATTAGTTTAATTATATATATTTGTTACGCATTATGTGTTATATATGTATGTATATATTTTTCGTTAATAAATCTTTATTATTATGCACCCGATACGTATTGGTTTTCCCATATAATTTTAAAGTTAAGTAGTAGAGAATGCCTAAGGTATAGTCCGCCATTGTACTTTAAATGTGCATAAAGTATTAAATAAATAAATACGGGACACATTACAAACAAAAAACTTCGAAAAACAGTACACAAATGGCAACCTTATTGCTTTGCAGCAATTTCTTCCAGGTAACCAATAGTGGTAAGAGGGAAATAAATAAATAAAGAGTAAAAAGGAAGGAGTGGGTGGCACAAAGGCAGGAATATAAATAGATATATCTAAAGAAGCAAAATATACGAGTGAAGAAAATGAATATATAATTATGAAGAATACGAGTTTTATGCAAGATTATAGAGAGTTCGCACAGAAAAGGAATATGATGGGAAATCGGTTAAATGTGATGGAATGTCAAGGGCAAGGTAAAGGATAAACGCAATATATACTGGGACCAAGTGGAGAGACTGCAAAAAGAAAATAGATTTTTGAGGTAATGCGGAAAAGAAGGCGGGAGAAGAATGGAACAGAGAAAGAATAAATAGCGATATTACGAGAATATTAAGTTTCATTTTACTACTATAATATATCCTTTGGTGGACTAACAACTAAGTTGGCAACACTGCTGTCAAATTCATAATCACCATTCGTTCGTTCGTTATTAAAGTATATATGAAAGTAGATAGATAGATAGAAGATAGAATATTCTTTATTGTACACACAAAGACAAAGATACATTTATATGACGAAAACAGGAGACGTACAATTGGCGGCCTTATCACTAAAAGTGATCTCTTCCAGGCAACCTTGGGATGGAGTTAAATATAAAAGATCTAATGATGGGGTAGTGGATGGTGTACATATAAACAATTTGTAAATATGCATAATTGACAATTGTTATTTACTTATTATAATTCAATTTTATAATAGACTTACATATACTATAATATAATATCTATTATCATATAAAATACAATACATATATAAATATATAATACCTATATACATACTTTCATGGACAGGTAGTGCTCTCTGACAAGTTTCCTAAATATATTAAGAGAATTAGCTTTTCTAATCGACAAAGGTAGCGCATTCCATAGTCGTACAGCATGGACGGTAAAAGATTTATCATAGTACTTAGTGGAATGCATTGGCATTTCCAGCCGCAGGTTTTCTGATGATCTCAAGAAGCGGGGGTGGGATTCTTTGACGAATTTGAAACGATCTTTGAGATAAGAAGGGGTAGTGGGATTAAAAAGTATACTAAATAACATATTTAAAATATGTGCATTCCGGCGAAATCGAATTGGCAACCACTTGAGTTTCTCGCGAAATACGGAAACGTGATCATATTTGCGTAGTCCAAATATAAATCTTATACAAAAATTTTGAAGGCACTCAAGCTTGTTCAGTTGCATTTCTGTAAGGTCTAGATAGCTGACGTCGGCGTAATCGAGAATGGGCATCAGAAGAGATTGTGTGAGCGCAATTTTAGTGGCAGTAGGCAAGAAATTGCGAAGCCTTCTTAAAGACCCAGCAGATGCAAAAAGTTTGCGACTCACTTCTTTGAGTTGCACATCCCAATTTAAATTTTTATCAATATATACACCTAAATTTCTAACATGATCACTAAATTGTAAGGAGATTCCATCAAAAACTATTTGCGGGGTCTGCTCAAACTTTACTTTAGCTCTAAGCCTTGAGCTGCCCACTATGACAACTTGAGTTTTGGTGGGATTCACCCAAAGCCCATGTTTGCGGCTCCATTCAGAAATCTGAGCTAAATCTTTATTAAGACTTTCAATGGCAGAACTTATATCCTCAGCGGGGACTTTCGTATAAATTTGCAAATCGTCTGCATAAAGATGGTAGGAAGAAAGTAACTGACAGGAAATTGTGTTAATATAAACAGCAAAAAGAAGAGGAGATAAAACGCCACCCTGCGGCACCCCGGCAGTTAAGTCACACCAACAAGAGAAAGAATCTTCAACGCGGACGCGCTGCCGGCGACCAGACAGGTAACTTCGAAACCAATCAACTGCTGATGGAGATATGTTAATAGAGCGTAATTTTTGAAGCAAAACGTCGAAATCAACAGTGTTGAACGCGTTGCTAAAGTCTAGTAGACACAAGATCGTGATGGTTCCAGTTTCCATTCCTAGCCTAATATCATCCGTTATGTTGATAAGGGCAGTAGTAGTGCTGTGACCTGGTCGGAAACCGGATTGGTAGGGATTCATGAGGTTGTTTTTAACTAGGAATACGCTAAGTTGGTTGTGAACAAGACGCTCAAGGACTTTAGATAGAAATGGGAGGATGGATATGGGACGAAAATCTGACAAGGAAACAGGGTTAGATTTCTTAGGAAGTGGAGTAACTTGAGCTTCTTTCCAGGATGACGGAAATTCACTAACAGATATGGAAAAGTTAAATATATGTGTTAGCACAGGAAGAATTTCATCGAGGATTGGCATTACCATTTTTCGGCTGACACAGTCATTGCCCACTGCATTGGATGTAATTGACAAGACGCTCTTTTTAACATCACATTCAGAGAATTGATTAATGAAGAAAGGATCATGATTAGGGCGGGGCAGAGATGAAATTGATTGAATGGTATTTGCTTTCGTACTCTCGTCAAAATGAGCCGAAGAGGAAAAATGTTGATTTAATAAATTTATGTCAATGCTACCAGGTATGGCCGTTTGTCGAGATTTCCCAATCCCTATAGAGTTAAGAAACTTCCAGACTTTTGCTGGGTCCCCGTTTTCGACGGAACTGTGGATGTAGTGGCGTTGTGCTTTCCTACATACTCTATTGCAGCGATTACGAATTGCAACGAATTTCTCCCAGTTTGCGCTAGTGGGCTTATGTTTGTATTTAGTTTTGGCCACAGCTTTAAGGTGACTTAATGCTTTAATATCTTCACTAAGCCACGGTGAAGGAGGATGTTTAATCTTTACGGAGCGTATCGGAGCATGCACATCATACAACTGAGTCAGTTGTGCAACTAGATAGTTAAGCTTTTTATCAACTGTGTTAGATGCATATAATTGAGTCCAATCAATGTTATGAGCGTCATGTTGGAGACTATTAATATCCATACCACTAAAATTGCGCTGACGAAGAATTTTTCTTTTTTCCCTCGGAGGCTTAACTTTATAAGAGACAAAGATAAGGTCGTGATAAGAGAAGGCATCAGCTGAACATTGACCATACTTAGCAACACGCTCTAAGGAAGAGACAAAAACAAGATCAAGAAGAGAAGGAGTACAGTTAGGGAAATGGTGAGTAGCATTTAAAGGTAGAATGAAAAGGTTACTAGACTCGATGATAGTGGACAATGCTGAAGAGCGAAAGTCTTTCTTGAGAAGGCAAGTGTTAAAGTCACCCATAATAATTGTTTGACTGTAAGAAGGGGTAAGAGATTGCAATATATTTTCAAAAGAAGAGAAAAAGTCCACGCGACATGATGGGCTGTAGTATACCCCAAGCAGGATTTTAGTATGCCGCAGTGTCACCTCTAGGAACAAGTGCTCACCTGCGTTAGGTGGCGGCGGCTGTGGTGACATGTTAAGTACATTGTATGGAATATGTGATCTCAGGTATATAGCAACTCCACCTCCACCACCAGAGGCGCGGTCATTTCTGATCAACTGGAAACCCGGTAAGGAGTATGAAGCTGAAGGAAGACATGGCTTTAGCCAGGATTCAGAAACAAGAATGGCGTGGATATCTTTACAGTCAAAACTAGTCAGCATATCTGTGAAATGGGCTGGAATGCTTTGGGCATTGATATGAATAACATTTAAGTTATTTGGAACATCAGAAAAGTGCGACATGATGACATCATTAAGTGATGGTAAGCTAGAAAAGCTATCATTGCTGCAAGCTGATAAAAAACTATCTGCATTATCACTGTCGTCCATATATAAAATACCTAATTAAATATTTATAAAAGTTAAATAACAATATATATGAAATATATACTATACCTATACACAATGTTTAAATAAAAAATAATAGGTTTATTTAAATCCACAACTTCCATCTGCCAGTTGCATGTAGAGGATCAAAATACTGTTCTAAACAAAACCAAAGTTGAGAAGAAAAAAAAAAAAAGAAAAGAAAAGAATAACGGTGCTAATGAACAACCAGTACCAGTGCAACATTTCTCATTAGGTATTTAAATGATATAATTTGTGAGTTGCCCTAGTATGGTCTAACCAACTCAAAGGGTATAAATAACAGTTAAAATAAAATAAATTACATTATAACACCACAGAATTAATTGCTACGAACAAGCAAGCAAAAAAAAAGAAAGTAAGTACATACAGCACACCGTATCTACAAATTGAGACATTTTATTCACATATTTTGTTTATAAGGCTGCATGTGCACAATTCCTCTTACGCTTAAAGACAACATGTTAGTGTCGTTCATAGTGATTTGACATTGACAATATTGACATAGTGACATTGACTTTGTTGATGTAATTGTAATTTCTTGTATAATTTTAATAACAAAAATAGAAATGTAATAAAATATGTACCTTCATAGTGATGATGACAGTTTGTTATTTAAAAACAAAGTAAAAGAAACTTATTTTTTTGTAGCTACCCGTCTAGACTTCGGTAATAACTTCGGCGTAACAGCAGCCGGCTTCGACAATGCTTGCTCGATTTTATGGAGTTCGCTCATGGTGGATATGCGATGCTTTGAATTATTTGGGCCGAGAATGTATATGTATCCTTCCCTGGTCCAACATTTGTTCAATCCAAAGCGCTCTCTTGCTGCCATAAATGTAGCATGACGCGTTCGCGTCAAGAATTCCGAGAGAGTGATGCCAGTTCCTTTAAGCTTCGTTTTGTCAAACCACAGCTTGTCCCGGAGCGTGACGTCATGAAACTTAACGATGATGGGTCTGGGTTTGTGAGCACTAGCTGACTGCCCCATTCTCTGGCAGCGCTTAACGTCACTCAGTTTGAAAGTGCTGTGCTTAAACTTATCATTCACAACCTGCACCACAATCTGAGCTGTATCCTCCGACTCACTCTCAGGCACACCGTGCAGCAATACCATTTTACGGCGACTTCTCATTTCTAACCGATCACTGTTGTGCGCCAGAACCTCCAGCTGTCGCTGTAAATTGTTGAGGACTTCAACAATAAAACTTTTAAAGGAACGAAATTCTACCTCAAGAGTTGAACTGGCTGAAGTTGGAGGTGTCTTCCGTAGCTCGGCTTCAAATGCAGACATTCTTTCATTAAACAGTGTCATTATGTCATAAACAGACTGTTTTGCTTGTTCCATGGTGTGTGTAAATTATGTGAGGAGATAACACTGGACAGGTGGGTATATTATCTTGACATTAAAATCTGCTGATGGTATTGATTTAAATTAATGTATTTGATTTTTAATTAAATTTAAATTTAAGCAAAATTTTTCAACTATATTTCAACTAAAGTAGTAAAACAAAACTGTGATGGAGTATAGATTTGGAAAGCAACTTAAATAAATTGCTGTCAGAATTATTAATTATGGGTCATTTTTATAAAGTCTTCTCTGTGAACAGTTCGACAGTAAAAGCCGGTTTTCTTATATCACTTAGTCAAAGTTAAAATTTCCAAACTTTAATTTCAGCATAAGGAGATATCTCTTAATTTTAGTACTGTTTTGTATATCACAATATTTTTTTGTTTCAGCTACCAGTCAGGATTTCTTCGACATGAATAGATGAAACCTATTTGTCATAATGTTTCCTCGCTTGCCTGTTAAGCCAGGTTTCCCTATGTAATCTAATTGAAATGGGGTAATTGACGATCACCCACCCACAACGAGGTTCCAGTACAGACTGATGAGCGATAAAACCTTCAAGCGGAACCCGAACCCGGGAACAACGGTTCAGGATTGCAATGCGGCTGAAGAGCTCGATCCAATACGGGCGTAGACAGTAAAAGAAATATAATGCTTCATATACTATTACCGAAAATCACACTTTTATGCTCATTACATTTATAATACTGCTTAAATTAATTATGAAAAAAAAATCAAATATTTTATACTAATTGTCACGTGACCGCAAGCAGCGCGTGACGTCACGCTCCTATTACTACCAGACCTTAGAGAATTAAATAGAAGGAATGTTGTTTTTCAATATCAATTGTAAATCACTTTATGTCAATCACTAGTGTCAAATAAAAGTGGCTTTTACACGTTTCCTACACACTCTAGATGTCTGTTACGGTTGAGTGTCATTGGTTATAGTTATAATGGAGCGTTCTGATTGGTATATTTAAAATGTAAGTGTGTGCATATCTTTTTTATAATTGGTCTAATATTTCATCTATACATCAGATGCGGACGAAAAGTGGGGCAAAACTGGCGATATCGTACAAAGGATGCATGATCATCTTTCTAGCCTCTTTTCTGTGTTTTGTGCATAGAACAATATAAGTATTATATATATAAAATTATTTCTTAATTAACGTATTAAAATTGTTTAACGTCTTGTTTTTGGTAAATCTATGTAGGAAGATAGAATTGGTAATTCAAAATTGTTGTTGAATGAATGTATTTAAATCGTTTAATGGTGTTCAATTTAAATTACTTATGAATGTGCACTGCGCCTGCTCTACAATGTAATACTTATAATAAGAAATTATTTAGTATAGTTCAACATAGGAAACTTACTCGGTAGCGATAGGATTGGGGTTGTCTCTCATAGATCGAGTCTTCGGGTCATAGTAAGCTGAATTAGGGTCCAGGTTGCGGAGATACTTCGCTGTGTCTTCTCTTATCCGCAAGTTTCGTACCGTGATACGCTGCTTCGAATCCACCTAGAATAAATAAATAAAATATTTATTTTATGAGATTCACGCCACAACAATTTGTTTTGTTATACGACTATGCTATCCTTGGGTCATCGCTATTATAATATAGCTATCGCTATAAATAAATTTCTTTTTCAAACTTTTTAGAGTGTGTTTTAGTTTTAGATTTTTTTTATTTATTTTATTAATTTTCGGGTGTATTTAAGCAAAATCGCAAGCAATAGCAACAATATTTGAAATGTCATAATTAAGCTCTTTTATTTGATACCCTACATGGAATGATTGAATATATTTTTTTTTAGTTTCTTAGTTTATGCTCTCTACAGGGTTCTGTTGCTAATTTAATGTAACGTCACTATAGCCTCTAGCACGCGGACAACTAAGACTTCTAATGATACCTCATTTATCCAGTTACGATAAGCAGTTTCGAAGTTATAAGGGAACAGATGAACATTCTTACATACATTACGACCAAAATCATAACCCTCCATTTTCGCTTCACCGTAGTCGGGTAAAAAAGAGGTCCCAACACCCTCGGGTAAAATAGATGGTGACTTAAAATCGCGTTTACTTAAGTATATTGATGAAAATACGCTTTGTATTACAAGAAAAAGTTACAAGTGTTTGAAAAATTCGTCAGTCGTGTTGGCACCAGGGTAGCTCTATGGTTAGAACAGTCGCCCGGATTGCGAAAGGTCATAGGTTCGAGTCAAAGTGGATTTTTTAACGCATTTTCATTAAGAATACATTACTCTATTTAAAGGCATTAACTATTGTCATATGTATTAATATTAATTTGAAATATTTTATCGACCTATTAACACCCCTATTATTGGGGACACAGACTTTGTCTATGGACTAAATGATGGGAAAATATTTAACATGTGTTGACTATAATTTGTAAGTTTGCCCACTTTAAATAAATAAATAAATAAAATAGATTATAACCCAAAATGGGAGCTGAGTAAGTAGATGTTGGTAATGATTCAAAACCCAATCAGGCAGTTATTATAAACAAGAAATACTCATTTAAATTAATATAACAAACCTTTGTTCCGGGCATGTCAACTTCGTCCACATACTTGTCTTCATCTTCACCACAGTTATCGTCATCTTCTGTTGCTGATGGATCTAAATGATACAAATTACAGTCAATATAAAATTATCAATATTTAACTAATATTTATTCACTTATTTAAAGCATATTAAAGGTGTTTTACTTAACAAGTATATCTAGTAAAAATATTATACTTTTAAAAACAATAAATTTGAATTATATCTGTTTCCCAAAGGGGATTTCTTTTTTCATGCCAAAGTAATATGTTATTACAAGAGTTTTCTTAACTTTAATAGATACACAACAGTCTATTGTGTGTACCAAACTAAAATAATCTACCATGTGATAAAAAATTCTTTGCATCAGTATTTTATAGAATTATATTGCTATCCTTTAAAAAATAATGAAATAAAACAAACCTTGCTCCAATTTCTTTGCACGCAACTCTCTCTTGGCCTCCTCCACCTTTTGGTATTCTTCAATTATAGCTTTATGTTGAGCGGGATCATACCCATTCCATCTGTCCCTTTTACCATCATAACTGAGATTCAAGTTTGGCTGGTCAAATTCATCTGGCGCTATGCCAACATTTGTGAATTTGGCTCCGATCTATAACAATTATGATGATGAACAAGTTTACTTAAGATCAGTTGCACAAATGTTCATTACAGTTTAATAACAACTTTAAGCTCTAATGAATTTCATATTTGTATCGGTAATGTTGCTTTCAACTAATGTCAATTTTAATGAATGTTTGTGCAACTGACTGTTAGTAGTATTTGTGAGAAGATTAACTGTTGTTATAAAAATATTTTTGTTTCACAAGTTAAATATTAATAAAACGAGTTCAACTGTTTTTTACCCCCTTGAATCCTATTGCAATTAAATAAATAATAATAACCTTTACACTTGTTCACACAGGCACTTTTGGTGCACAAATATGTGTCAACCATGATATGACAAACAAAATGTTTAAAAGATATCTCTAAATATCGACCTACTTGCTTCCTGCGGCTTTGCTCATGTAAGTTATAGCCTATGTCACTTGCATATGATGTAGCTTTCCATAGACGAAAGAATTTTCATAATCAGATAAATATAATAAGCAATATTCTTAAAAATTACGCACTACAAATAAAAGTAAGAAAATATACCTCTTTATAATATTACTATTGACCTATGAATGGAAACTATAGATAAAAACTCAATATCAAGTTTGCAAATCAATATCAATACCTTCCTAGGTCTATCCAAACAATCTTTCTTTTTGTGCGTCATTGCACCACAGTTTTCACAAGCTCCTTTTCTATATTTTGTTACCACTTTTGTCTGAAAATAGAATATACATCAAGTAAAATAATAGCTAAACCAATGGAAAAATTTGTTATAATATATATAAAAAGTGTTTTTTTTTTTTTTTTGGAAAATTGTATGTCTGTTTTTTTACATAAATAATAGTTAAATTGATGAAAGAACTTACTGCATCAACTCCTTTATTGTAGTATGTGTCTAATTTTGTAAACTGTGCTTCCCTGTCTTCTTGAGGCCGTTGGTGTTTTAAAGTAGGTCCACTTGTGCCATAATACCATGGTGCAGAGGAAATATACTGAGGAATATGTGGGTTTATATCCTTTCCTGAAAATTGAATTGATTTACACAGTATTTAAATTAGGTTTATATTATTGAAATTATTTATTTATATAAATAGAGTTACAGTGAAAATAGTAGTCTGTATTCATTTATCTAAGATTTAACCAGGCAAATACTAATTTCCCAAATGAATGAACTCAAACTCTGATTTAGTCGAGGAACTTTCACGGTTCAACATATTTTGAACTTTTGCAAACTTCTTTATTAGAGATAAAGTTATATACCTGTTTCATCGACAGCTGCAGGAGCTGTACCAGCTTTTCTAGCTTCTTCAAGCTCTTTAGCCTTCCGCCAGTCCTCTCTGGACTTCTTTTTCGGTTCATCTTCTTCTTCGCCTCCTTCATCTTTAGTGCGCAATATTTGAGAAACTGCTGCTCGCGTGTTAGTTGTCATTGCACTATTTTATGCTGTAATTCCACTGCAATAAATACATGAAACTATTGTTGGTATCATGTGATACCACTAAAAATACTGCAATTTAATGAAACAACCGTACGAAACAATTTGACATTATTTACACACGCATAATAATCACCAGTATAATATTGTAATCTTTGATCACCACAGAAGAATAATACTCTATCATTTGATAATCACAGAACACTAGGGATGTACATGATATGATATCGATGACTTAACTTGACGTATAGTCTGTGTAAATTTTACACAGACTACACTGTAAAATCTATATTTTGAAAAATACACGTTAAACATGTCAAACTGAAAAGGATTGCGATAGAATTTAAAATTAAAAAATGAGTCCACTGTGGGCCTACTTAAGTAATGCTCGCGAAATGATTTCGCTCCAGCCGAGTATTTGAAAAACACAGTTTAATTTAGTGTCTTTCGCAAATCCTTTCAAAGAAACAGTGATAATGATAGTTTTTTAGAGAATTGTGTAACTTTTAAAGTCGCAGTTGCTCTCGGATGATATGAATGATTAAGATACATAATAAAAACCTAGGTAAAACTCGTCGGAAAATTGCAGTTAGCATTAAATCTTTCGTTTGATATTTCTCAATAGCTTTCAATCATTATTCGCTTTACATCTTCTTCTTCGAACCACATCCACCCACTGCTGAGTATAGGTCTCCTTCAGAAAGAGTGGATCCATCTTTATAGGCACGATGGGCATGTCCCCAACCCTAATAGAGTTTTGACGTCATATTTTCATTGTCTACTGTGGCGTAGACTCATCGCACTAACATCGCGCCTACAGTCGATAGCGAGAAGACTAGCATCGTCACAGCAATGAATAGCTAGAAGAACGACATGAAGTTTCAACTCCTAGTAATGAGATGGCGCTGTACCACTACAAACATAGTAAATTTAGATACTACAAACGTGTCTTTGTGGGGCTGCTGGGATAAAGTCAATCTGGTAGTGCCAGAGATAGCAACTCTGTGATGAATTCCGTATTCAATAAGGGAATGTAAATAAACTTCGTGGAAAATTTATAATATCGTCAATATATTTGATAATAAATCAATACAATTTACAATAACAATTACAAGTTAATATTTAATCTAATAGATATTATCGCATTGGTCTACTTCATAAATGATTCACAATTTATTCATGCAGGAATAACAGGATCGGAACTGCTACATTATTTCTTTATATGATCGTATTTCCTATTACAGCTTGCGACGAGCCCTAGCGCGATGGTAGGAAGGTCGCGGCACGTATAGTCGTTCGCCGCTACCGATGGGTGCTTCGTCCTCGTCCAACGGTTCAGCCCTCGGTGTGAACAGCTTACGGCGGCTGCGTGTCACACTGCAATAAAATAGGAATTAAAAATCACAGAATTATTTATCTACCTTTTTTGTGTGAATATTTATCTATCCATTGAAAATATTATTTTTGACCTTTATCGTTCATGCCAGCTATATCATAATTAATCTATCATACATAACTAATAGGTATACATAATACATTTATTTTGTTTCAGAACATATTGTTTAAATCACACCATATTAGATTATCAATAATTTGTTTTATGTACATACTCAATACAAGTAGAACTATTAGGCCTTCACTTTCTCGCGATGCGGGATAAAAATTAAGAGCGGAAATACTTGTTTAATGTGCTCATCACTGTTTCTTTCTATTCTTATATCACTACGCTATTTTGTGAATTTGTAATATTTTTACCAGGACAATATTATTATATTGTTTAACTAACCTTTTAGCAGGACAGCTTTGTATGCCCATTAAAGGTGGAACATTCTCCTCTTCTTCAGGTTTTTCAGGAGATATTATGTCTTTAACTACTTTCGTAGGCGCGGGCACATCCAAACATACATCCGAAAACTCTTTCTGAAGATTCACTATGTCTTTAAGTTTCTCATTTTCGTGGTCAGATTTATCTTCAGATTCTGTCTGGTTCTTCCTTTTTCGCAATCGGAGACTCCTCTTAGTTGGCTTACTCCTGCTTTCGCATTTAGCATGGCTCTCTAACAATACTTCTTCTGTTTCTTCTTTATCTACTTTATCGGCGAATCTTAAGTCTTTAGCGTGTGGCTTATGCCTTAAGTTATATTTTGTTTCTTCAAATGAAGTTTTATCATCTTTGTTATCATTAATTTCTTGTGACACAAGTAAATCAAATTCTGTGGCTCTTGGAGCAGTAATATCTTTATAAATATTTTCGAATTCTTCTATAGTGTTATCTTGATTAGTTTCAGATTTAATTTCACTGTGTGAAACCACTTTCTCTATTATATCTATTTGTTCACCTTCTTTATCTTGAACTTTTTTGACTGTTGTCAAATCAGTTATTTTATCATCGATAGCACTTTTTAATGGCTCTTCGGGTATTACCAGTTGTCCTGATCGGACATCAGTTTTAGCACTAGTTTTGCTGGCAGATTTCTGATTCAAGACAAGTTTTTTAATTGATTGTCTTGCGTTTTCTATTATATCGTGAGATTCTGTAGTCGCAATATTAGCGTGAGGAGAATCGAATATATCAATAGATTCATGCTTTTTAAGCAACATACTATTCCTGTCTACAGACGAAATCACATCAGGTTGTCTTGTCAAACTCTCTCCTAATAATATTTTAAGCGTACTGGGTTTAAAATCGTCCACTATTTCGTCTTTTACAATAGAAGGTGATCTGGTGTCATCGTGTTTCTTTTTTTCGGTAAGAATTACGTTTTCTTTTTTGTTCCAGTTTTTGGCAACAATTAAATCTTTGTCATCAATATAGGTTTTCTTTTCTATATTCACTTTTGGACTTATTTCTAAGTTGTCACTTACGATATCCAAAGGTGCATCATCAAAATAAGTCTTTTTTTCTTTAAATATCTTTATGTGCCCAAAATCATCACTTCCGATTCTAGTTCCATCACAATCGATTGCGGCTTTTTCTAATTGTTCAAACTGAGTCAAAGAAGTATCATTCCCTTGTTTAGCTTTTATAGAACTTATTATTTTGTCAACTGTTGTTTCTGAAACTTTACCTGCATCATTGTCTAATTCCGCAGTGGCCTCAACTGTTAATTTGGTGTTATTTTCTTTCATATTGTCATTCCTTACAAAATAAGTAGCTCTTGTAGTGAATTTAGACATTTTAATTTCAACATCATCCTCTAACTTATCTGTAACATGTTCCAGTTTGTGTTCTGTCATGAAATTGACACCATTAACACTATCTTCATTTGTCAATGTTATGGGTACTTCTACTTTATTATCACACTCATTTGTATTATAATGTGAATTATTATCAAGTTTATCATCAATTTCAGTATCTGTATTAATTTGATTTGTTGCTTTCGCTACTGAAGCATTGCAAATAGCTTCATTATCGTGTACCAAATTATCATAATTAGTTGTATCATCTTTGTTTGTATCATAAAAAGAATCTTTCGTTGTTACTTCGTTAGATTTATCATGGTCTTTAAAAGTGGTAACACTGTCGTTTTCAATAAAATCTGTTGCATGTTCAATATTATCATGAAAACTCTGTCTCATAGAATGGTAGCGTAAACTATTTCGCTCGAGGCAAGTTTGTAGGAGACGAGATTTCTTAATGTCTTCTTTCTTAAAGGTCGGTTCAAGACTTTCATTTAGTGGATCATCATCTTCTTCATCACTATTGTGATCGCTATCAGACAAATCGATCACATCTTTCTCTCCAGAAGATTTTTCTGAAACAATTTGTTTAAATTTAAGATGGAAGCTTTTTTATTGATTATATATAAATATGAAGAATGAAATATACGACATTGAATGAAAAGAAATGTGCGAAGATGATGAGAAAGAGGCAAGATGATGATTGGAAGAGACATGTGTGAAGGAATATAAATACAAGTAGAGTGACAGTTGAAGACTATGTTTTCCTTATATTTTAATAATGTTTTTGAAATACGAAATATCAATGTGATGATCGCATTGGAACTGTAGTTAAAAAAGTGAATTTTATACAAATAATTAGCTCATAATCTAATCTCAATAATAAATGTGGACGTTACGAAACAGATTTGCAACTATGATGAAAGTAATTAGAAAACTCTTTCAAATCTTTTGGAGTATTTCTCTGTATTAAATTATTCACGATTAAATAACATTGAAATATCATACCATCTCGCTCTTCAATGCACGTTCTAAGGTATTGTATTTCTTCTTCAGCGGCAGCTCGAGCCAAACGCTCTGCTGTTAACTTTTCCTAAGAAAAATTAAATAATAATCGTATTATATGTCGTAAATGTGTGTGATTATTTTTACTTCTACCAGCTGTTTTCCCGCGACTCATAAGTCTATGACACAATTTCCTGTAGAAAAATAAATTTAAAAATTGGCTTAAGAGTTTTGGAGCTCATTCAAAGCTTACAAAGAAACATTCAAATATTTCCTTTTATATATTAAAATAATAATTTATTTATATTATAGCCAGATGTTTTAAACTAAAACTATGTAATAGATTAAAACTATGAAATATAATCAAATTACCTCCAAAATAGCAATCTCTGTCATCAACTGTGATATCTGCAAAAAGTATTTTAATTATATTATCCATTCAGATTTATAATAATAATAATAATATAATCTTTATTGCACACACAGACAGGAAAACAGAACGAAATTACACGGTAAAACACTACAGAGTACACAAAAGGCGGCCTTATCGCTAAGCAGCGATCTCTTCCAGGCAACCTATGGAGGAGAATAATAAAAGGAATGGGAAAAAATGCGGTATTGAGTGCAATAGTCAGAAGGATATGATAAGATATATCTTTACATATTAAATAAGAAAGTATAAGTAAATAACATTAGCATAGAGAAAGGAAATAGCTTTCAACTCGATCGCCGAAAGAATTTATCATATACTAGCTGTCTTCCTGCAACTTCGCTTGAGTGAACTATAGCCTACATCACTCGCGAATGACGTAGCTGTTTGTAGGTGAGAGAATTTTTTTAATCGGCCCTTGGAATTACATAGCATATTAAATGCAAACAAACAATCAAATCTTTCGTCTTTATTATACTAGCATTTTTCTCTACGTAAAATGGTTAGCGTTTGAACATGAATTTTATTTTAACATTTAAATTAATATATGACAGATTTTTATATATTTTTTAATAGATTTCAAAAATATCTATAACATAAATTTATGAAAAAATCGTCTACCCCCGTATTGTACCTTATTCTGAAGTGAACGGGATGGCGTTTCAACCGCTGTCGTCGCTTTATTTAGTTGACTTTCGTATTCTTCCTCCATATCTTCCATCTGAAACAAAAAAGCCTTAACCTTAATAAAAATACTTGGAAAATCAAACATCCAAAGCAATTTCAGATGGGACTAGGATTATTCTTTATTTTCACATATACTAGACATTAAGTACACAGAATAATAAACCTTATTAACATGCAGAATGTTTTATCCGAATAAGAAGTATACGCGAAGTATTCTTTGTAAGGCGACAGTTCAGATTTTAAATAGTTTCGGGGCACAGCCTGCAAAGTAGGCCAAGTGTGGAATTGTGGGTGTTACCGACTGCAGACACTGAAAGGACCAAATACGACGAATAATACATTTCAGTTACACAACCGATGACTAAAACGTATAATTCTCACCAGATCCTTATGAAAGTTTTTAACATTAACAAATTAGATTGCGATAAGAACATGTTATTTGTTAGTTAAAATGAATAGAAAATTATTATATATTCGATTATTGTAAATATTAAACGCATATTTTAGATAAGGTCTAAAAATTTGTATGCTATGACAATTTTGAAAAGCATAAGAACGTAAAGGAGCCTGAAAACTAAATTTTATCTCTATTATTTATTGTTGATGAAGAACTCGATGGCATAGCGATGCGGAAGTTGGCCGGTCTTGTCAAAGGATGGGTGACTAAGAATTTATTATCTCGTTGCTGCAGTAGCTACAGTCAACAGCACGTCAGGTTAAAGAAATCTGTCAAATTTCCCATTAAACCTTCATGTTATGTAGGTAGAGAGTTTAAAATCAAATGGAGAAATTTGACAAATCGTGTTAACCAGTCATTAACCTACTAATCCGCACTGGGCTCGCGTAGTAGGTTACGTCCCATCCTCCCTATTCGATTCCATCCCTAGATAAGGCTGTGACGGGTTCGATACTTTGGCCAATTAATGAAAGGCTGACTAGCTTGAGAATGGATTTATTTATTGTGTAAAGAATAAAGTAAAGAAACTGTAACAAACCAAAAATGAATATTAAAACATTTCGTATGTTAAACTAAATATAAAATTTAAATCACCAAATAAACAAAAACATACATATGATAAAAACTTGGAGGCTATTACAGGATATAATTTTGTAAATTCTATTTATAATTTTTATTTTAGACGCATATCTTCATGGCTATAATATTTATATTTTAAAATTTATACAATTTACATATTCATAGATAAAGAATTTTTTACGAACCGACATCCATAAAGAGTATATTTGATTAATCAAAATTTCTAATTACGAATGTTGAATAATAAAAAGAAATGATGTTAAATTTCAAAGACAAAAAGTTTGCATACTGAAATCTGGGACAAAATAAACGGTGGTACGGCACACCGTTACAAGGCCTAGGCCCAACAGTGGGCACATTAATATATACTGGTGACGATAATAATATATGTTAAGTGTACCTGTGACTTAAGCGATTGAATCTGAGCCTCGTAGTACTGACGCATCATGTCCTTAGCCTCTTCCACCAGTTCCCGCATTGTGTTCGCTGTCTCCTGACGTTTCTCCTCCATCAGCGCCATCAGTTCTTTGTTTCGAGATTGCGCCCTAAATAGTAATACGAGGTATTAGTTAAGTTCTAATTTGATGGTTTTTTATTAATGAAAATTCTTTATTCTTGTATCACACACAATGTTTTATTTAAGCTTTATTTTAGTTCGAAAATTGTTTTATATTTTTCAAATTAATAAATAATGAGTCAGCATAATAGCAGTTCAGCGATAAGGCCGACTATTGTACAACTGTAGTTAATTTTACTTATGTAATTATTTTTACTTTATTGACAATATACAACCCCTTTTTATTTAGATAAGAGGTTTACAAAGTATAATTTCACTTTTATTATCAGAAAGCATGTGCAAAACAAATTAACGGGTCAAAAATATAAAAAATATCTGCCACACTTTGAAAATATTGATTCTTCCTGACCCCAATAACCTTAAGTCTATTGAAAGAAGTATGACAGAATAGAAACTTTGTTGTTTTTGATGTTAGTGTTAACACTTACTCATCACATTAAAATACAATAAAATAAAAGACACTTTTATTAATAAAAAAAAAAAAAAAACCATTAAAAGAGGACTGGACAGCAATTAAATAAAAAAGTAAATTGTATGTAGTTATAAAATTCACAAAGTTTAAAGTTTTTACTAAATAACAATCTTTTTGAATTTTTAAATCAATAAAATATTGAGTATATCTTTAATAAAATAGTTAATATTATATATATATTTATAAATTTCCACTATTTGTAATCTGTGTCTCATGTCAAATTAAACACCCATTAGAGCACGTTACGTTATTCGTGGGTAAATTGGTATAAAAACTATTTGGGAAAAGCGCGGGAAACATTCAAAGTGCAAAATAATCATAATGATTTATTTGAGGTACAGTTGGGTAACAAGTTTTATTGTTTTATTTATTTGTGAGTTCAAATATAAGCACTGCAGACGATAATTCATTTTTTTTTTCACTGAAAATCTCTTTTCTTTACCTCATAAATGACGTCACATCCTCAGAGTCGCTGTTTACGCGGTTTTTTAAAAAAGTTAAATTTCATATGTAGTTTTGGGTACACAATGAGGTTTATTTGCATAAAATAGTATTTTTTTGGGAATAAGGTATGGGCCGTTATTCCCTATTAGTTAAAAACAGTTTACAGAAAATTATCTGATCCTCTATTATCAGCAGAGGTCGGAATTAGGTAGAGTTATTTACGTACTTGCATCGAAATGTTGATATAATGTGGACCTTCCCGGGATTTCTTTATTTCTTTCTTTCATTGATGTAAGTTTGGCAACGTCGTGCGTGCAGTAGTTTAAATTGTGTAAAAGTAAATAACTTTTTATTTAAAAAATCAAGGGATTTTTTCTGCTCTTTAAATTTAATCTCGGGATTTGAGGCATATCCACTTTATTCTTTCGCTGTATGAAATCAGTGTAAGTACATGAATAACTCTACCTAATTCCGACCACTGATTATCAGTTTAGTCAATCCAATACCCACATATTCATTATTATTTATGAAAAACAATAACAAGACAGAATCCTTTCCGTTACGAGTGTGTTTTGTATTCAAATAAATGTAGTGTGAATGAATACTAACTGCAGAAGTTCGAAGTGTAATCTTTCGTTGTCCGCCCTCAGTCGCAGTATGTCAACGCTGCAGTTGACAGTGGTGTTCTGAGTGCTGCTCTCTAGGGTACTCTCCGATATTGTGCTGTTCACCTCTGGTAAAATAATATTTTGCTTGTTTCATTATCGACCTTCATATACTTCAAGAGCGGTTCCAAGGATCCTCTAGTCTTAGGTGGACCACTAATTAAAACGAAGATAAGACCTGAAGCTATCTGATTTGCAGATAATTTATATGATTTGATTTAAATAAAATTATAAGAACAATTTGAGATTTTTTGAATTTTCTTAAATGGACAGAATTGACCCTTTAGTGTGAAAAATCGAAAAACACAGTTTTTCGATTTTTCACACTAAAGGGTATTGACACTTTACGGTATTGACACCTCATGTCGAATACCGTAATGAAATAAAAATTTATAAGTAATTATACCATATTGTTTTATATATACCTACCGACTTTTTATTCAATTCAAAGAAAAATATATTTATGAATCTATTTAGCCTCTAATAGCATATGTAATAAAATATTAGACAACACTACATATAAGTATAAGTAGCTCGGTGGCTTAGAGGATAAGCGCCGCGGCCCGCGATAGTTGTTGTTAAGCAGCTTTCGCAAGGGTCGGTCACGGGATGGGTGACCAAAAAATTATTAAGTGCTTCGGAAGGCACGTTACGGCGTTGGCCCCGGCTGCATTTGCAGTCGTTAATACCCTCAAATCCGCATCGGGCCAGCGTAGAGGGTCATGGCCTATGACTAGCTAGATATGTACCGCGGACAGTACACGTTGCACTCACGTATGTCCCTGGCGACGGTGGCCAGCCGCAGCACGTGCTCGGTCTGGTGGTGGTGCTGCGGCGCGGGGTTCAGCGTCACCACCATCGCCACGCCCTCGCCCCGCGCGCCGCTCAGCCCCGCGCCCAGCAGCCGGGTCAACTTGGACTCCCTGCACGACACCATATACATACATAAACAAATATATATGTAGATTACAACACACACCCACAACATACAACACAATACACACATTCACAACACAATACTCGCACATGTACTCATTCATTCATGATGTTGGTTCTTGTTAACATTAAAATATGTACTTGCCACAAGCTGGGGCGAAATGGTCCCAATACAAGTATTTTATATTACTTACTGGGATAATTTCAAGATTGTAATTGATGGAAATAATGTTAATAAAAAACATTTTTATTATTATAGCTCTTTTTTTTCTCGGCATAGTCGGTTATAATTCTCAATACGGGCCTAAACCAAGTAATGAGTATGTGATGTGTGACCTATTCTTCTATGTTATCTTCGCTATTTAATGATACTATATTATCCTCTATTTCCAAAAATTTCTTATTATTTTTATTGTTATCATACTATATCATGGACTAAGAATGTGACCAACGTGGAAGCTCAAGATTTAACAATTAAAAGTCTTTTGGGTTATGTTTCTACAACTTTATAATGATGGGCAAAATTCTTGGGAAGAGAAACATTGGAAAGAGGAAGGAATCATGGCTCTAAAGTAGACGGGAATAGCTAGCGCAGCCGAGCTGTATCGACTCGCCCGGTCTAGGGAGGGTTGTAAAAAGCTAATGGGCCACCTTCACTAGTTGGAGAGGCGCACTTTAAGAAAAAGACAATATCAAGGTCGTCAAATAGAAAAGGCATGTTGACTGGGTAGAAATAAAAATAAATTATATTTAGTCAGTGTTTAATGTGCTAGGGTCCTCAAGAGAAATCAAACCAAGGATACAGGAAAATTCAAAAAGCTCAATTTATTGGCGTTACTATTGAGTAGTGGTAAGGATATCTAACAAAAATCCTAGAGGTATAATATCTAAACATGAAACACATAACACTTGCGCGATGTAGGAAACTACAGCGCCATCTAGTTTAACAATGTGAACCAAACTCATCATAAACATAAATGATTTTTAATGGATATGTAATTGACATACCGCCCACCAAGGACATTTATGTCCTTCACTCACAAATACCGCCCACCATGAGGTCAAGGGGGTTACACACTAATAAAGGAGAAAAGAAAACACAAATTAAAGATTAATGTAATGTAACTTACTTATCTATAGGTAATATGCACAATTTGGATATTGGTCTTTTGAACACAGTATCATTACACTTTAACGTTACTACTCGTGTAACTCCGTCCAAACCAGGATGTTTTTGTAATACTCTACCTAACAACCATCGACCTGGTGGTAAATTATCTTCTTTTACTAGTACTATGTCCCCTATGATAGGTTCCGGTTCCTGATGTGTCCATTTGTATCGTTGCATCATACAAGTAAGATACTCATTAGACCAACGTTTCCAAAAAATTTGAGTCATACGCTGTAAAATTTGCCATCTTTTTAAATTACCTACATTGCTATTCTCATATCTACGATCTGGTACCAGAACCAGTGGTTCACCGATTAGAAAATGGCCAGGGGTGATAGGCATCGGTTCTTCTGGGTTAGATTTCAGTTGAGACAGAGGTCTGGAATTCAGACATGCCTCAATTTGTGTCAGCAAAGTTGTCATTTCCTCAAAAGTGAGGGTTGAGTCGCCAATAATGCGTTTCAAATGAAATTTGGTAGACTTGATTCCTGCTTCCCAGAGTCCGCCAAAATTGGGTGCTTGTGGTGGTATAAAATGCCATTTAACTCCATCATTACTAAGACACGTTCTAATTTCGGTAGCAATAGATGATTTCTCAGCAGCGACTAGTACTTGCAGTTCTTTGGATGCGCCAACGAAATTTCGTCCATTGTCGCTCCATACGTCGCTACAATGTCCTCTTCGTGCAACAAATCTTCGGAACCCAGCAATGAATGCTTGTGATGTTAAATCACTTATGGCTTCAAGGTGCACTGCCTTGGTTACCATACACACGAAGAGACAGATGTAACCTTTATATGATTTGTGGCCACGTCCTTTGGAAGTCCTAATATTAATAGGCCCTGCGAAGTCAACGCCACTGTGCAAAAATGTCCTTGCTGGAGTTACTCTACAAGAGGGCAATTGACCCATAAATGGGGTTTTAAATTTGGCGGAATGTCTGATACAAATAACACACTTGCGAATGTATGATTTTACCGCGATTTTACCCGAAATTATCCAGTATTTAGTGCGCAAGTAGTTCAACATTAGATTTGGACCACCATGTAATGTTTTCTTATGGGCCTCATCGACAAGCAACATAGTAAAATCACTACGTTGTGGAATAATAATGGGATGTTTCATATTTTCGGGTAAATGTGAATTTTCTATGCGTCCGCTAACCCTAAGAATTCCTCGGTCATCTAACATGGGGCATAGTGGTCTTAATTTACTTTTCTTGTGAACTCTGCCGTTTTTCTTAATGTTACATATCTCTTCTCCAAATTCCTGTAATTGACATTTTCTTATACATATTTCTAGTGCATTTTCGAGTTCTTCACTGCTTAAATAATGTCCTTTTTCTTTCTTAATCATTAAAAACCTTCTGCAATACGCTATTATTCTTATTAATTTCTGCAATGACGAATACTTCTTCCAAATGAAATCGTCTTGCTCTGTCGTAACGTGCATGTTTATGGTTTTAATATGACGTTTTTCTATATCTGTATGGATCGAGTTAGGCTTGCTGTATTCTATGGTCTTTTCTAATAACCATGACGGACCATGCTTCCACAAAGAAGATTGTGAGAGTTCGATGGGTGACATGCCTCGGGAGGCTATGTCTGCGGGATTATGCATGGACTGAACATGATGCCAATTAGAACACTCTACATAATTTAAGATTTCCGAAACTCTGTTACCAACAAAGGTCGACCAGCGACTGGGGTGATTGCTAATCCATGCCAATACGACAGTAGAGTCTGTCCAGCAATGAACAGATGATTTGGCTATACATAATATATTAGCAACTTCGGTGATAAGTTTAGCCAATAAAACAGCGCCCATCAACTCTAATCGGGGGATAGAAAGTTGTTTGATGGGGGCTACCTTGGTTTTTGCAGTAACTAAATTAACCTTGATACTATTATCAACGCTGATAACTCTTATATACACAGTTGCTGCATATGCCAAATTAGAAGCGTCGCTGAAACCATGTAATTCAACATACAAATCATTTTTTGACGTTTCGTACCATCGAGGGATAACAAATTGGTAAGTATATTTTAAATTATTATGATACGTATTCCACTCATCCAATAACTCTATGGGTAATTGATCATCCCAATCAATTCCTGATAACCACAATTTTTGAATCATTACCTTTGCAATAACCACATAGGGTGCCAACCAACCCAATGGATCGAAGAGTCGTGATATTTCTGATATTACTTGCCTTTTTGTTATAGTTGCACTTTGCTGTGGGATGGTCACCGAGTACTTGAAACTATCCGATTCCTTATCCCAAGAAAGGCCAAGGATTTTTACGATTTCATTTATCTTCAATTTTATTTCATTATTGTGATTTTCTTCCATTATTTCTCTTGCAAGTGTGGCATTGTTTGTCATCCACTTCTGTAGTTGAAATCCTCCTTTGGCCATTAATCCTTCCAACTCCTTATAAACCCTTTTTCCTTCTTCAACTGTTTGTACTCCTGTCATTAAATCATCTACGTAATAATCGTTTTCTACTCTTTCAGATGCCATGGGAAAACTAGCTCCTTCATCGTTAGCTAGTTGCTGCAGGGTCTTTATGGCTAGGTAAGGTGCGGATGCAGTACCAAAGGTAACTCTTACCAATTTATAATCCTTTATTTCAGATTCCGGATTACTACGCCACACTAGTCTTTGAAAATTCGTATCTTCCTGTGCCACGACTACCTGCCGATACATTTTAACTATATCTGCGCATAGAACAATTGGATGTGAACGCCATTTTATAATAAGATGACGTAACTCAGGTTGAATTGTAGGTCCGACCATTAACGTGTCATTGAGTGAGACGCCATTTGTACCTTTACAAGATGCGTCGAATACTACTCTGATTTTGGTAGAAGCCTTGTCTTCACGTATCACAGCGTGATGAGGAAGATAAACAGCTTCATTGTAGCTCACAACATCGTCAGTTGTTATTGCTTTCATATGTCCTAGATCAAAGTATTCTTCAATTACTTGTATATACTTATTTTTAAATTCAGGATCTTTCTTGAAACGACGTTCAAGAAGGTGTAATCTCTTGATAGCGATATCTCTGGTGTTACCATATTTGCAGAGGGGATTCGGGTCTCGAAATGGAAGTTTAACAACATACCTACCTGTTGACTCTCTGTGAGTTGTTTTTGCAAAGAGTTTTTCACATTGTTCTTCCTCTTCGGTGAGTATACGTTTGGTATCACTAATAATGCCTGATTCTATTTCCCAAAATTGTTTGAGCATATCGTTGTCATTTATGTGAGAATGCATGCAGATCAAAGCCTTGTCGCAATCTTGGGAATGGTGATCGCTCTCGGTGTGTGCCTGTCCGGACAAAATCCAACCCAGGGATGTGTTTTGTGCTACTAAAGGCCCTGGAGTGTATTTTTTCAGACCATCTCTTAGAACTTGACCATAAACCTCTGCTCCAAGTAAAATGTCAATTTTATTTGGTGTGTGGTACTCTGGATCTGCCAGAGTAATGTTTACAAGTTCAGGCCAGTTTGGTGTTGATATGTGATGTTCTGGTACAAATGACGTTATGGTATTTAGAACGTATGCTTGTACTAAAATGGGGAAGCTTGGATCATATCTAGAATTAATAGTAATGTAGACCATAAACCTAGACGTTAAACTTTTATCGCCTCCAATTCCAGTAATCATATTCTTAGCGGGTATTTTCTTAAGTCTGAGCAATTGTACTGCTGATTCTGTGATGAATGATGCTTGGGAACCTTGATCCAAGAGTGCCCGAAGCAGTTGTTTGTAACCATTTTCAGATTGCCCTTCAACAAGTGCAGTTGCTAATAAAACTCGTCCTGGACCATTAGCTTTTTTTGACATGTAAGTATTAATTGACGGTGGGTCTATTTCCTGTACCGATTCGACATTACTGTCTATTATAGATACTGCTGATTTGACTCCAGCAACCTCTTCATTATTACTGTAAGATGTTGCGTTTGACGACCCTTTTGGGTGTAATAAGGAATGATGTTTTCGATTGCAAATTTGACAACTAGATTTAGATCGACAGAATCGTATTGAATGTTTAGCTCCTAGACAATTGTAACATAATCCATTTGTTTGGACGAAATTATGCCGAGTTTCAAAATCTTCTTTACAAAATTCTTTGCAGTGGCACAACTTGTGCTGTTGTTTACAATAAGGACAAAAAATATTATTGGTCTCCATATTAACTGTATGAAGAACTTTAGCTTTATTTACAATTTGTCTTTGAGTGTTATTAGAATCTAAATACTCTAAAGCACGAAATCGTGATTCTAAAAATTCTTTGAACTCATCAAACTTTGGTAAATGCTCAGAAATACTAATTTTTGATTCCCATAGCTTGCGAGATTCATTGTCGAGTTTGCTAGAAATGATATAAATGATTATAACATCCCATGAATTTACATTTATACCTAATGTGCGTAAGCTATGTAAACAATCTACAGTGGTATCTAAAAGTCCTCTAATAGCGGTCGCTGACTCTATTGTGACATTGGGTTGGTTCATTAATCTTTTCAAAATACAATTCGACAAATATCGCTTATTGTCATAACGTCTTTTTAAAATAGACCAACATTCCTCATAATTTGCGGCCGTAATTGGGGTATGTCGTAATAATTGTTCGGCATCTCCTGCCAAATGACTTTTCAGATAATGTAATTTTTGAACGTTATCAATTGTTTCATTATTGTGGATTAACGATATAAATAAATCGCGGAATGATGTCCATTCCGTATAATTTCCTGTGAATGTTGGAATAGTCACTTTAGGCAATTTTATATTACTACAAAATTTTGTATCGGACTGTAACTCCGACTGTTTGCTAGAAGACAACCTTGAAATACAATTTTTTAATTCCGTTTTGTACACTATATAAAATTCTTCGGTATTATCATATACCTCATCGGTGAAATAACTATTTTTCTCGTCTGTTGCTAGTTCTATAATTCTTCTATGTGTTGTACTAAAATTTTGCCACTGTTCTTGGAGTGTTTCTAACCTAGTTTCTATGTAAGGTAACGTAATACGCTCTTTTGGAGACTTTTTGAAATTAATTTGGGCTTTTTCTATAATTTTTTTTGTATTTAATTGCAATTTTACTAGTGCCTCCATGTTATTTACGCACTAAATACAATTACCAAATTTTAATTTCAAATGTATAAATTTTGTAATTATTAAAACTAACAGAAAAACTATTCAAAGTTAATGAAAATTTTACAAGTGTTTGAATAAATTAATACTTTTAATAAATCGGGCATAGGTTCCCCGTATGTACACTTTTTACTTACTTATTCTAAGTCCTTAACTACTATTCTTAAATTATTTAAAGTCCAAATCAGCAATTTTTCTTCCAAGTCCAGAGGTATTTAGTTTCATTAATCAACAAAGAAGTGTAGTTTACTCACTGCGTGTGTTCCAAACCTTTGTCACTATTAGCGATTATCACTCAATATTATTTTGTCACTGTCTTGAATAGTTGCTTCAAAGGCGCCCTCTACCGGTGATTCGAAAAACTTGATTATGTCCGGTGACGTCTTTGGTTGATGATAATGTTGACAGATGCTTATCCAATGCGTCTCTTTTAAGTTAGACTGTTGAGCACTTCAATGGCGATCCACCAATGGTTTCTGTGCTGATTTACATCCGACTCCGTAGGACCATTTTGTTTAATGTGCTAGGGTCCTCAAGAGAAATCAAACCAAGGATACAGGAAAATTCAAAAAGCTCAATTTATTGGCGTTACTATTGAGTAGTGGTAAGGATATCTAACAAAAATCCTAGAGGTATAATATCTAAACATGAAACACATAACACTTGCGCGATGTAGGAAACTACAGCGCCATCTAGTTTAACAATGTGAACCAAACTCATCATAAACATAAATGATTTTTAATGGATATGTAATTGACAGTCAGTCAGTCAGATAAAATAAAAATATTTGATACATTTTTTTAGCTTCAATTTTACAAGACGTGGCATACACAACAGGCAATAAAGATAAGGAGTGGGGCCTCGAAATTTGTAGAAAATGTACAAAGATGTGACGTCATGTGGCATTTCAACTCGATGATGTATCACCGTAATTAAAATATGAAAAAATTGGCTAGATGCATCTGTGCGAGAGCAATATGTTTGCGCCCGAATAAAAGAGATATGTAGTACCGGCCAAGGGCGTCGCCAATAAGGGAAGGGGGGCCCAGGAGGGGCAGTTGGCCACTAAAAAACCGGGTGTACACCACTAAAGGACCACTCCCTTAGTAGTGTACATTCAAATCCCCAAAATACTTTTATTCTATTTTTATAATAAATGCAATAACTTATTTACAAGTTTTATTTATTCTACAGTCCGAGCGCGTTCTCCATAATCAACTTGCCCCCCCTTTGCGATCTGCTAACAAAGCCCCTGGTACCGGCCAACGGGTTATTATACGAAATTCTCTCTGTTCGGCGAACGTGCTATCGTTACTGAGTCTAAATTTAAAATGAATCGCAGTCCCTTTAATTTTGGCATATGAAAGATCGTAACACTATACGATTATTTGACATGTGAGAGCGATTGCAATCGCGACTTTTTTTAGGAAGATATTGAAAGAACGATATCGTCATGTTGACATCGATCGGAATTGTCTAGGGCGAGCGTTAGACATATAATTTGGAAAGCTCTTGAGAAATGTCAAACAAAAGAGTTGAATGCGAACTACGAGCTTTCGAATTTGATCTTGATTCTTCAAGTCCTGATCCTACAAAATAATTAATCATAAATAGCTTGCCTATCAATCAATGATTATGTTAAATCAAATCAAATTCTTTATTGGCCTTGTAACAGAGAATGTTACACTAGGTAAGTAGAGATGAATTAACTGATTATTATTATTATACTGACTGCTAACTGGACATAGTTTTCTTTTTTTTTAACTAATGACCTATTTGCGTTTACACTTTTCCGCCAATGTCACGTTGGTGGCCTTTAGACGTAAATAGACAAAAAACATAATAATAATGAATTTTGAGGTAATAGCTAAAACCTAAAATAACACATCTATCTATCTAATAACTTTGTTAAGGGTTAACAAAAGAAAATCATAATATAAGACTATTATTGATACCTAGGAATTTAGATAAAATTTTGTATGGAATGCGTTTTTACAGATTCATTTTAAACAAAATATTGATTAATCTTTTGATCTTTGAATTACGCATCACATATATTATTTGTTCGTCTATAGGCTAACTCGTGGATTGCTACAGCCCAAAACAAGTGTGCTGCATTGTAGGTAGATTATCGTACCTATAAGGTACACATGTGGCACTGGGCACGCGGTTCTTCTGTCTTCGTCGTAGAGTATGCAAACATCTTTCTAGCACGTGCAGCGAGGAGTTTATAGCTCGGGATTCCGCCATACGCGCCCCGGTGTTGCGAGTCTGACGAGCTCGCTCGCAACCCGCCAAGTCACACAGACGGACGCAAGATGTACGTACCCCTGTATCTAATGACGACAAACAGATATGACGTGGAAAAATATGTGTACAAATAAAATCTTGTACTAGAGTTTTTTTAAGACAAAAACGGTTGAGTAGTCCTACGGCGCGTTGGTAAGCGCGTTTGATTTTGCGGGTTATGATTGTAAAGCGAATTTTGCAATACTATAGTAGAATGGGCAACCAAAAAAATTATGTAAAGCTATTGGACTTGGCTGCATCTGCATTCGTTAGCACCCACTCCCCAATCCGCAATGGGTCTATGTGGAGGGTCATGGGCCATTTTCCCTAAAGTCCCTAAAAAGTTTTATTCTAACTATACCATTATTTTAACGAAATTTTTTTTCCAAAATTGATCTAATATAATAATGAGTTAATGACTTAATATTTTTATAAATCATTTTTGCCTAATATATCACAAAGCTGCATTTATAGAAAATGTAAATTGTTGTCAATAACGATGACAGTATCTCTTAGCTTGTTCAAATTTAATTTTCACTAAATATTTGACAGTAACATATCGACGCTGGAAAGCAAACACGTAGTAACCCGCAAAACCAAAATTGTTCTTCAGAGTAGAAAAGCTTTTATTTTTTACGATAAATAATTCCTATAAACGTCCATGGTAACAAATAAGGTGTTCCTTAGTCAATCTATACGGAAATAAGATATTTTTTTGGAAAAATATAAAGATATTCCACTTTAAATATCCATTATGGTTTTGCGCGTTACTACATGTTTGCTTTCTAGCGTCGATATAATTAATAAATTATCCTGTGGTGTCCAGTTGTTATACTAATTAAAGAACTTACCTGTCTCAGTAAGCATAGTGATCGTAAATATACAATGCGATCGGGAGGAGTGTGCGTGGACGCCGGTGGCCGCTACTTGTAGCTGATGTTTTCCCGCCGTCATCACGTCGTATGCTTCAGACCCTGAGCGCACAAATGCTTGACTTGCACCCTAAATCAAAGTAATATAATTGTTTATTAATCTAATCAGTAGAATACAATGTCTTTTACAGGAGTTTTAAATTTTATCATCTAGGATAAACTAAAATTTTCTGATACATAGATAGAGATAGCAAATTGCACAGCAGTACCCTTAAGATTAAAAGAAAATAGAAAAAATATATGCAATATCTCAGTGACTACAAATGTTACTACTTTATAATAAGTTCATCTACTCATTAATTTTCATAGCTTATTAGAACAATTACCTTAACATACACATGTCCATTTGAGTCCTCACGAATTTGAAGTTTAGAAGCATTGCTTCTGTCTGACGCTGACAATAAATCGTAGATGCCTTCATTGTAAATTTCCACAAATGATACCTAAAAATTTATATTTGTAGTACGACATGTAATAAAATATTATTGTCACAAAATGGCACATTTGTGGGACTCCATCTTTTTATATATCTTATTAACACATAAACTGTTGAAATTATTTCAATAAAAAAAAACTTGGAACATAAACCATATTTTGTAATTTTGACAGTTGTTGAAACAAACTTTTTTAATTTAAAATTAACCAGGCTAATTTTGTACAACAATAGTTGTAGTGAAATACACAACAATACTTGTAGTGTAATGCCATGTTTCTTATTGGATCATCATCTACTTAATTAATTTTATTATGTGGAATACATAAATACTGAGGAAATGAGTATAGCAAACAGTTACTTACCCAAACATAGTGTCTAGTTCTATTTGATAGATCTATTGAGCTAACGGTGAGATCGTTTGAAAGTGCTGCACTCATCCTGCGATACTTGTCCCTTAGAGGTGCTGAGGTGCGTCTTAGTCTATTTACCCACTGGAAGTGTTACATATTTTATTCATACTATTAGACTTTCATCTGCTAACTGATAGAACTGTTTATTTATTTATTCAAACACACTTGCTGGCTTACAGTCCATACCAAAGGACTAGCAAGGTAGTATAGTACATTTTATATGTCAACAATAATTAAATTAAATAGATAAATAAAAAATTACAGGCACATTATTTAAAATTAAAATTGATATTCACAATTGGAAATATGAATTTCAAGTCAAAACAATAATTTCCTATATTTAAAAACTATGTCATACTGAGATTTAATGGATTTATATGCTATCTATACTAATATTATAAAGAGAAAAGATTTGATTGTCTGTTGGTTCACAACAATTAAGCTCTGAAAATACTGGACCAATTAAAAAAAAACATGGGAAGCTATTATCATATACGGTAAACATAGGCTATGTTTTATTCTAACAAAAAAGGGATGAAACTGGAAGTTTGTATAGCAAATTAAAATGTTACCATAGTAAACATTTTATTATTGTAATGTGCTATAATTATCATTGTAACTAGAGAATAAAGGCTATTTTTATTAACATGATGACTGCTAATCAATCAACATATAGATTGAATAAGATAGTTAAAATTTGTCTTATCAGAGTTAAATCATACCTGTAACTCATATTCTTGTTGTACATTACTCAGCTTTTCAGCACCCCCGTCCGATGGTTTGAATATTGGTTGCTGAGCAGCATCAACAACATGAAATACATATTCTAAGGAGCGGGGCACCAGCCCAGGAGATGCTACTGTCCCCATTAAAGTGTAAGTCTTGCCTGATCCTGATGCACCATATGTTAAGAGAGTGAAACTGTGGCCATCTGGTAACTTCCTCAAGTTATCTTTGACAACTTTTTCAAAAATTTCCTTAAACACACAGATAAATTGAAAATTTTTGAACTATAGAAATTTGATCACTTTTTCAGAGAAAGTAACAATACTATACTTTTTGCGATGATTCTGGTCCAAAGATGTGTGAAAATGTATACATTTTTGAGACATTATGTTGTGTTCTTCTCCCGTGCCCAGCAGGAGCCGTATCAACTGAAGTAATCAGACACCTATCAGATTTCACTTCGTACAAATTATTAACTTCATGATAAGGCTTTAGTCGCAAATAAACTTGCACCAATTCTGGCTCTTCTATTTCAGAGTCCTCTTCGAATAATTCCAATAGGTTTGTACCCATCTGAGGACGAGGTCGCATGAAAGGATTCGATATCAGCGGCGGCCTAGGTTCTATGAACGAAGGTATATCTCTCTTGGTTTGGCTATCGTCCGAATATCGTTGATCAAGCATCTTGCTTTATAAAATTGTAGCACCAAAAGAATTCGAATAAAAACAAACATGAAATCTCGCAAAACATTCGGCAACGGTAGAATTTTTAAATATTTTTGAAATATATTTTTATTGAGAGCAAAGGGATTTAACTCAAACAATCTAGTCTAATGCCGGCTCCAGACGATCGACCAACAGTCGTACACTCCGACAGACAGTCGAAGATTCCAACAAATACAGTTGTTGAACTCGAATACAACAGACAATCAATTAAAAACATGCCCTCTACGGTCCAAATTATTTCATTCGTTATTTTATAATGAAACATCCACCATAAAGCACTTTTGAATCGTCTATTTTTTTAATCAATATTATATACTGTGGATTTGTAAAATTCCTTTGATAACGAGAATAATTTATTACCCACTATTTGATGAGTCAAAACAATATAATATTTGAGTAATATTATTCATGCACGAAATATCCCTCTACTATAATAATGTCATAGCCATGCTATGACATTGAAAGATAGGCCGTTGGACGATCGCTGGAGCCTGCATGAAATAATTAATTTCTTTTTTCAATATAAGATCTAGAAAAAGAGTTTAAAAATATAATACAAAATTTGGAATTCATCGAAAGTAAAATCAATTTTTAATTATGTAAATTATTCGGTTGTTATCGGATTAGGTTAGACACAATGGTCAATGCTGGTGAGAAATTAAAAAAAATAAACAGTCAAAAAATTACAAATGTCGGATTCTACTTGTGTATTATTTCGCCGTTGTTTATTTTTGTAATTTTTCATAAAATTATATTTTAAACTAGTGATTTTTAACAATTTAGATTCCTATAAAAAGACATTACCAATGGCCGGCATTTGTGGTAAATTAAGAGATATGTATCGTTGACAATACCCAGGAATTTCTGAAAATGTGATTATTTCTCGTATTTGGCTGCGTGCCACAGTTTTAATTGTAGTTTTATTGGAAACAAGCATCATGAAGTGGCTAGCCTTTGTTATTGTAACAATTTTGAGTTTGCAAATAGCTCAGGGTTACTGTCCATCTCTTTGTACTTGTAAGAACAAGTCTGGCGATGGGGCGTCTACTGAACCTCTACCTGGAGAATTACTTAGGTTAAAGTGTGGTGGTAGTCCAGCACAAATTACAGAACTCAAAGAAATTGACTTAAGCAAAATTTACAACAATGTGATAAGCTTGTAAGTATGATAAGCTTTTTAAATGTTTTCATTATCACAAGCTTGTTATGTTCCTACTGCACCCTTAAACTAGTTTCATAGGGGAAGCTAGTTGAAGGGGAATGGTTTATAATTAACCACAAAGGCTCTGTGGGTATTAATATCTTGTCGAGCTCAATAGCTGGGAACAGTGATTGAATGTGATTTCATAAACAATGAACTTAAATGATTATTTAGATTTATTTAAATTCTCATATTTATCCATACATTCACCGTTTCAGGAATTTTTCTGGCAATGCAATTTCAACATTATCACGTGAGCTACATTTACCAAATTTACAAAAACTGTAAGTTACAACTTTGTTGATTTTAGTTATAATAAACAGTTTTACTTTTTAATAATTAGTATAATCCTTATTTTCTAATAGCTAGTTTTTATTTCTGTGTAATTCAAATTATAAGTTTGTTGATGTGTTTAATCAGGATTATAGGATAAGCTTTGAGATGAAAAAAAAGTAAATGATTTATAATTCAAGTAATGATAAATTTTATTTAATTTATTATGGGAATGAATAATAAAAACACCTGTTTATTATTGCAGAGATCTTAGTAAAAACCAAATAAGCCTAATTGAGTCGGATGCATTCTATAACATGACATCACTGCAGAGGCTGGACTTGTCTTACAATCAAATCAGCAATGTTTATAAGGAAATGTTCAAAGGGCTCGTCAACTTGGAGAGACTGGTACTGGCACAGAATCACATATCGATGCTGGCTGTAGGCACATTTGAATACCTCGTAGGATTAAAACAGCTGTGAGTATTATTATAAAATAACTTTTTGTCTGCAGCTTTGCTATGGAATTCAACTATTGTAACCCTAAAAACTATCCTATGTCATTCGCTAAAGTCCACTGGTACCATAATTTGTAAAAAATTGATTTAGTGGTATAGGCGTGAAAACAATAGACACACACATACAGAGTTCTGTGTTTATAATAAGAGTATGAATAAACAACACATAAATTGCCATAATATTCCAAATGTGATGTTATATCATCTTATAAAATAATTAATAAAAGTTTATGTTTTAAAATAATACTTGAAGCTCATGTTAGTCATTAGTTAAATAATATATAAAACAGTTGTGGTACAAATAATTATATAATTATAATATATTGTTTATCAAAAGTGTTAAATTAAAATAGAAATGACTTCACAAATATATTTTTTATTGTCAATCTATCATTATATTGTAAACTACTACGTTTAAGAAAAAGTTCATACCATACCATACAGTTATACATTCTTTATTTTTTTTTTACAGAGATATTACTGACAACCCATTGATATGTGACTGTGAATTACTTTGGGTCGGAGTTTGGTCACATAATACATCAGTCAAACTTGTTAACAATCCCAAATGTGCATTCCCTGAAAACATGGCCAACAAGACGATTCGCAAATTGAAAACATATTTAGATCTGTCAGCATGTGGTAGTGTGTTGCCAACGAACTCATTAATTGTAAAACCAAATTATGACCAAGTTGTTTTCGAAGGGGACAGTCTAATGCTATCCTGTAATGCTCCCTTTGCTTCTTTGATAGTAAAATATGAATTAAAATGGGTACATCCAATGTTGGAGGTATGCGATGTAAATGTTACAAACAGTGAAATGTCTGAAGATCGTTTAGCTGAAACAACTGTTTATTTTCCTAATATAACTAACCATCACATGGGAAATTGGACTTGCATGTACTCAGACTCGAATCATATACGGCACAATCACACTATTCAAGTATTGGTATTGTCTAATAAGACAGAGTATTGTTTGACAAATCACACTTTAAATAATAAGGGGCTGTACTCTTGGCCTCAGTTGTTATTGAATCGAACAGCTGTAGTCCCTTGTCGGAGTGGAGAGGGGATGGCGTATAGGCATTGTCACGCAAACGGTACTTGGGGCGAGGCAAATACCACTGAGTGCTCATACATCAGCAATGTAACAAAATTACTGCAACAATTTGCTTTATTGAACGTAAGTTTGGTGCAGTATTCTGCATTAAACGCTACAGAGAGACTGGGAATGTTGATAAAGGAGAAAACATACCCTTTGGCAGAGATAACGGACCCTGATGATGTCATGTTTATTGCGCAGGCAGTACGGAATTATATGCAATATATAAGAGAAGAGAAAGATTTGGGTAAGTAGATCTTAAGATTATTGTGCTTTTCCTGCCTCTTTTTTTTTCAATTTATGAATTGAGTTGAAATGTAAGAAACAAAGTACTTGTAAATTGATAATTCAAATGGTATTTCATTATAGATAACTAAAACATATATTTTGAACTTTATAATACATACTAGAGCTGTATGAGGTAACCCAAGCATACACTCAGATAGCTTACTTCATTTAGTAACCAAGTTTAAGGCGATAAAACTGGCTTGATTTAATTTTAATGGATGATTTGTAAACATATGATTGTTGAAGCTTAACTGAATATGCATTAATTAAACTATTACTTGCTTGACAAACAGTCAGTTGCACAAATTTCATTATTTTAAAGTGACATTACCAATACTAATTTGTCATTCATTAGAGCTTAGAGACGTCATTAAACCTTAATGGATGTTTGTGCAACTGACCATAAGTATAAAATATGCTGACTATGTCGACCATCTAATCGTCGCCACAACCATCAGTCGTTTTACGTCCCCACTGCAGAGGCTCAGACCTTCCTTATGGATGGTAAGGAGGATGGGACTTGAACTTCCACACTAGTCCAATACGGATTCGAGGATATTGATGACTGCAAATGCAGCCGGGCCCAACGGCTTAACATGCCTTCCGAAGCACGGAATAATATTTTTTTGGTCACCCATCCCGTTACCGACCTTTACGAAAGTTGTTTAATAACAACGATATTGGGCCGCGGCGTTTATCCACTAAGCCACCGAGCTACTCGAGCATCTAATAACGTATAAATTCTTGGTCCATCTACAAAACTGATTGTTTGTTGTTTGTATCGTTGATAAAGGTTCAACGTTGCTGGATGTTATTAACTCGGCCATGAACATAACAATGTCTGTGATGACTCAAGCGGAGTTGCTGTACGGCTCTTGCACGGACATGGCGCGAGCTGTCGAAGAGATATCTGCGTACATCAGTAATGTTCAGGGACAAAAGGTTAGTGAAAGGATTTGTTTTAAGAAACATTTAACTTTATGCAATGAAACAGGGTATTAGGCTATAGTAACAAAACAATGGCATTATTTGTCGTAAAGTATAAATAGGGTAATAAAAAATAAAATTAGAAAAAAATATACATGATAGATAACTCTTTATTGTTAAACATGTATTAATTTTAATTAGATTGCATTACAATTGGAGGCCTAATCACTTAAAGCGATTTCTTCCTGGCAACCTGTGGATGGAGAAAGAAATAGCAGTGTTGTTCTGCCTTAGGGGTTACACCCCCATCTTCGTTGCTATGGCTATTTCTTTCTTTGTATACAGGATTGTAATAGATTTAAAATTAGACAATTAGCTTACTCCTTTATCACGGAATTGGCTTGTTATTAAAATTCAATATTCATTAATGTATAACAATATTTGGTTTGTCGGGTAGCGTAATCTAGCGGTGGAGCGATTCCCCGTGCGCGAGGGCTTCGGGGGGGTGACGTGCGTGTGGCACGACCGGCCCCCCGCGCTGCACTGCACCACCACCAACCGGACCGTGGCGCCGCTGCTGACCGTAGCCGACGCGACCGTACACGCCAGCGTACAGGTACAGTGACACCGCCATCGACCGGACCGTGGTGCTGCTGCTTACCGTAGCCGATATTTTAACGAGAATTTCATGTAACAGACCACTGCGCTAACATATTAGTTTTATACAAGACATCGCAATTATTAATTCTTTGCTCTGCAGTCTGTAACACTTGTATATTTGACTTAAAAAAATCGTGAAGAATAAACGAATATTGAAGGAATAGCAAACCCAGACTCCTTGGCCATCATTCGTATCATCAAAATGAACACAACTATCACTCATACAATAAAACATCACACCTGCGGACCTATTCTATTTGTTCTCGAAAGAAAATTCTGTAAAGGAGAATGGGCAATTTACTATGAGAGTTCGGCTATTTTTGCATAACTGTGCACCTTGTTGAAACAATGGTAAAAACTATAGAGAATTATTTCTAGAATGGGTAGGAAAAAAAATCATTTTAAATTTATGCCAGAGTTGTAGAATATCTGAATATTTAACAGGGATTTTGAGGTACTGTCGTAATAATATCTACATATATAAGAGCAATAAATTAATTATGTATTTAAAATAATTGATGACTAACAGATAGAAATATTTAACTGCGAAAAAGTACATACCTACCTATATTATAAAAAGGAAAGCTTTGATTTTTTATTGTAAAGGATAAACTCAAAAACTACTGGGCTGATTTAAAAAAATCTTTGACTAATATATATTCTAATACCAACATTACCAGAGCTAAAATACTTTATTTTAGTTAGTAGTAAGAAGTTCGCACGTCAAGCCAACTTATTACTTGAAACCTATTGGGTAGTCGTAGTCATTTTGTAGTAGATATTTAGCAATTGTTTTAAAAGAGTTAAATTTAAATGCCGCATAATTTTAAAATTGTATTTATATAGAAAAAAATAATAATTAAAGAGAAGATTTTTGATAAATAAATGCGTAGTGCGCAATATTGCGTAATTTTGGCCGACTTCTGCCCATTCTCCTTTCAAATTGTTTTTATAATTTCCTTAAAAATCCTATCCGTGAAGTTTATCTTTGCATCAGAAGTTGACATGTTACTGGCCCTTCCTCCGTTATGTTATAAATTATCGAAGAATGCGTTTCTTTTGAGTTGTCTTAGCATTTCGAAAATATACGAAATTTCATTTTTGGAGTAATAGAATAGGCTTTCAGGGACATGTTAATTAGTACGAGTGGTAAGTTATTTTTTTTATTTAGTGATACTTAAGTATTACATAAATGCAATTTGATGTCATTCAATAATAGGAACTGTAGTTCGAATTGTTTTCATTAACAAAAAAAATCTAGTTACATTTTCTGTCTATTGCAGATTCCCACATCGCTTCTATACAACCCTACAGATGCCGGTATGTTGCTGCCTACCAAATCTCACGATCTCATAGTGTCCTTATACGAGGACGCCTCACTATTCCCGCTCTTGCCAGCTGTCAACGAACACGACGGAATGTACCGCAGCCACAGATCGAAGGATTACTACGGTAGAAGCACCAAGAGGGAAGATATGAACATGGAGATCACATCACCTGTTGTTGGATTCCAATTGGGTGAGTGTTCTGATAAAAATTTTCTGCCACGTGAAATTGAGTGCGAAAAAATTTAGTATCTTGTAACCAATATTCTGATAACATTATAATTACCTCCTTTTAATATTAAGCTTATAGTACAGGATCCCACTGCTCGAACCTGCAGGTATTTGTTTTTTTGATGAAATTAATTTCAAATGAAAGTTAAGGAAGTATACAGATTAGCGATAGGTTGCCTATTAAAAATTAGCCGCAATTACCTGTAATTAATTTTTCTATAATTACTTTGGTAATGTTGCAGCTATATGTTTTTTTTTAATAAATTTTATGTAATTTCAAAGAAAATAATGTGGAGAATAGAAAAAGAAATGGTTGCCAGCTCTCAGTCAGCCGCTACGCCAAGGTTGCCAGGTGTAGTATATTAATGTTGTACTGTAACCACATCATTTTCTTCGAAATGACATAAAATTTATTAAAAAAAACATATAGCTGCAGGATCGAACAGTGGGATCTTAGACTGTTAGAATATTTGTAAATATTTGTAATAACTATAAATTATTCTATGAATTAAATACCATATTTTTAATGGTCAATTCTGGATGCTTTCCTTTAATTTCTTGTTGGCAATAAAGATAATCGGATAGATAATTCTGTACATTGTTAAAAGCTTTCATTGACTAATGACGGTTTGATCCCACTATACACATCTTATTGCGAGTTAACCCAGGTTTTGCTATAGTTTCTGAAGCCTGACAGATCTTTGACCGAAAATTTTTTATTGTCTACTTCTTATCACTAGTTAAAGATCTCTTCAAAAGTAATTTGTTTTTATTAAGACTCATTAAAGATTGGAAAGCGACTACACGGTTCATGTATCATCTAAATGTCGCGCTGTTTTTGATGTAGCTAGTTTTATTGAAATGGGTCAAATTAAATTGTGTGGCGGTTAATTTTATCTCGCGGTTAATGTCTGGCTTGAAATCGCTTTAACCAACTTTATGATGCCGTTATTGATACTGCATTAGGTCTATAAACGTCACATAGAAAGCTTATAAGTGCTACAATGTTATGAAGGGAATATGGGTGTATAGGATTTTTTCAAAGTTTTTATTTTATAGATATACTTGAAATATATTTAAAAAAATATTTATTTTATTTAAATATATTTGACATTTAGAACTTTTAGATTTATTTCAAACTTTAAAAAGCTTTAATTTAAATGCATTAGTTTTTAAAGTAGCTTCACGATTATCTCGAGTTTTGACTGTTGCTATAACCTCAAAATTATGAATTTCCCGGGCCTCCAGATGAAAAGATGCTAAGATATTACTCTATTTTAAGCAAAAATTAATTTAAATTATCACTAATGGGGGGGTAGACGCGACCATTAAAAAAATGTGATAGGTCAATTAATGTATGGAAAGTGAACATGATCTTTTGACACTGGCGATGTACGTTCTAGGTAACGTGTCGCTGTTGGGGTCGCTGCTGGAGCCGGTGATAGTGACGGTGCGCGGGGCGGGGGGCGCGGGGGGCGCGGGCGGGGGGCGCGCCGCCACGTGGGACCCGCGCACCAGGCGGTGGACGCACAACTCGTCAGGTCAGTCGCTGACGTCACGTCATCCGTACACTTATTTGTTTATTTAATATTGACAACCAATAGCATTTTTACTACAACATTCTTCAGCAAATTATAATTAGGTTTAATATCATTAAAAAAATGTTCATTCGGTCAAGGCTGTTACATAGCTCTTGGGAGACCTTGTACTGAGAAGAACCGGCAATAAACTCAGCACGAGCTGATGTTTCTCCGTGTTTTATTTCACACAGAGAAGTCTTATTGGATTTCATTAGATTATTTTAAATCTTATCATATATGAAATTTTAATCTTACATATACAACGTGTAACATAATTAACGCAAATCCTGAAAGTAGTTTGTTCAAAATATGACTGATTTGATTTCACCAACTTCTAATATAATAATAATAATCTTTATTTCCAGTAACAACAGTTTCCTAAATATACAAGTAGTATAAACTTAATAATAATATAGATTATTTTTTTGGCTTAATTTATTTGGAATCAAGTTAATTATGGTCACTATCGTTTTGGTCACTACCAGTCACTGTCGAAGTCAAAATAATCTCTATTCAAATGGATTTCTTAAAAGTACTTTTGAATCGTCCGAAATTTTTTTCCCTACCACTCTTTCAGGACGTCTTTTGGCTTTTAGTAGCTCGGTGGCGTAGTGGATAAGCGCCGCGGCCCGCGATCGTAGTCGTTAAGCAACTTTCGCAAGGGTCGGTCACGGGATGGGTGACCAAAAAATTATTATCTCGAGCTACTCCGTGCTTCGGAAGGCACGTTAAGCCGTTGGTCCCGGCTGAATTTGCAGTCATTAATACCCTCCAATTCGCATTGTGCCAGCGTGGAGGGTCATGGCCCATCCTCCTTAACCATCCATAAGGAAGGCCTGAGCCCCTGCAGTGGGGACGTAAAAGGGCTGGTGGTGGTGATCAAAATTTACACTAAATATAAATACCGAATAGTTACATACATACATACATTCATACAGATAACTTACAGAATGCGAACGATATAATCATAGTCCGAGATCGAAATATCGAAAAAATCGACTATATCGAAAATATAACTTACATTAACCGTTCTTTCCTCCTTAGACTGTAAAGTGTCCCACGTGATAGCAGAAATGGTCATAATAAGCTGCAACAAACTAGCCTACGTAGGACTCCTGCAGAATGTCGAGACCGGCATATATGGAGCCAGAACTGACGGAGCAAGGTAAATATTTTTTATTTTTTTATTATTTTGTTTTGATATATTTTACAAATATGTAACAATAAATGTCACCGAGATTTTGATTTCTAATTTTATCTCTCAATATAATATTTTATAAGTAGTGTAAACTTTAGTACCTTTTACTAAAGTGGAAACGTTTTAGGCTTTAGTTTCCATCTGGTCGTTTTAAAAAATAGAACCGATTTCAACTTTAAAAACGTGATAAATAATACTTATGTCATAAGCGACTTTTAAAGTCTGTACAATTTTTGAAAAAAAAAAAACAAAAAATATTGTTTTAAAGAAAAATGCTTAAAAAATTCTGGTCGTCAGAGATGGGATTCCATCTCAGAATACCAGGGACAAAGAGGATTTTTTAAGCATTTTAATTAAGAATATTTTCCAGTGAATGCAAAAAAGATCAAACATAATATTAAAAAAAATATTTCATGATTTTTAGTGATATTGTATTTTTTTTTAATATAAATTCCTCCGTCTGATCTTTTGTTTTGTCACTGTTATAAAAACGTCGTTTAAATATTGTTGCTTTTTTTTCTTTTTTTAATTATAAAAACAAAACTACCAATTCGATTTTGATAAAGTTTATATGGGACCACAACGGGCCCATAAGCTGCCTAATAAAAAGAAATGCTTCATCAACAACGAAATTATCCGCGAACAAACATAAAAAACCATATATACGGTCGAACGGAGAAACCTCTTTTTTTAAGTCGGTTAAAAATACTTATTTTATTTATTTACAGGTTCAAAGTGTCTCATCCGGCAGTGTACGTGGGAAGTCTAATACTGATAGGTTGCGTGAGTTGTGCCACACTTACATACATAATGTGTTATCCGGCCATACAAATGGCCAAGAAAACCAAACACGCCCTAGTCAACACCTGGGCAGCGATAGGACTCCTCTGTTTCTTGTACACTCTAGGCATATACCAAACGGAGGATGTCAAACTGTGCCAAATACTGGGACTGCTCATACACTATCTGTCCCTTTCCTGCTTACTGTGGATGTGCGTGTCAGCAAGCAATATGTACAAATGGGTGACAAAGACTCACAATCCCGTGAGGACACCCGAAGATGATATTCCACCTGATGTACCTATTCAGAAGCCTATATTGGGATTGTATTTAGTTGGATGGGGTATAGCTCTGATAATCTGTGGGATATCGGGAGCTGTCAATTTGAAAGATTACGCGGGTTATTCTCAATGTTTCTTGAGTACGGCGCCAGCTTTAAACTCTTTATTCGTGCCCGGTGGTATTCTGTTAATGTTCCTCATGGTGTTGTTTCTGTTGATACGATGTACTATAAGAAATATGAATGTGCAATTGTCTGAAGGCACTCAAGCGACGGAGAATGTCGATTTAGAGATGTGGGAACCGAATCAGACTCCAGACAGGGCTGAAAGACGCAGTATAAAGTCTAATGTCGATTCTGAAATAGAAGACGTGGAACACACCCCTATAATACAACTCAGAGCTCAAATTATCGTTCTGTGTCTTTACATGTCAGTTTGGACTTGTGGAGCGATAGCCGTGTACAGACCTCTGCCAGCATATTTACCTTACCAGGAGGATATTTGTAGCATTATATATGCTGTATGCGCGACGGTTTTAGGTACGTTCATATTGTTCTTCTACGGCATAGCGAGGAGTGATGTCAGAGCTCAATGGTCCATGATGCACTGTTATTTGCAGAAGAGCAAACAGTGCTGTAGGAATAGAAGTGTTTTCGATGCGAATCAACAGAATTTGCCTTCGATCAATGCAACCACGAGGCCTGTGGTTAACCCTATACCTCATGATAACAGATCACGTTCTGGCAGCAGAAGTTCGAATAGGACTAATTCTAAAACAAACAATAGCGGCACTTACAAATGTGGCGCAGAGTTGAATGGACAAACATTACAAAAAGACAAGGTCAAAAACACAAATGGGAAAACGCCTAACATCAATCTAGTTGTATTACACAGGCAGCAGTACCGTTCCAATAATTCTATGATGACATACCCCGATAACGCGACTGTCGGCCCAGAGGTATTCTACAATCCTAACCAAATGAACGTAGCGAAGAAATTCTTCAAGAAACAGCGTCAGCATATGAAGAGGAATTGTCTCGAGTTACCAACAAGACGAGACTTTGATAATGACTCGCATATATCTCTGCCGTTACCGACTAAAGAGGCCTACAATGGAGTAGCGAATATCATAAATGCTGGTTCGAAAGTGAACAATACTAATTTACATGTGGAAAGATCTAACAACGGAATCAAGGAGATTCGCAACACGTTGAATCCCAATTTACTCGAGGAAGAGTCTAAGGACTACAAGAAGTATTCTGCAGATAGGAAGTCGTGGAATAAAATGGATGATCCCAAGACGAATAGGGCACAGATAATGAATATTTACACAAATGTCCCAGAAACGCAGGTGCCACAGCATCAGGTCGTTAAGGCCAATGTGCCGAAAACCTTCAACGGGCAGAGAGGTAGCGTTTCCGAAGAATGTCTGCAGAGTCAGGCGGAACAGCCTGAAATGCGTACTATATCGCAACAGTGCAGCTTAGAATACAGTTCCGCATCGGAAATGCCCCACACTTGCTCCGATCAGACATTGAACACGCATTCTGAGATGACATCTTTTCAAGAGACACATAGTGCCTTATGTTCAACGAATGAGATAACAGACACAGAAAGCTTCGGTCAGTACATAGATTACCTGCAGCCCAATAAAAACCAGGACAGCAGGGATGCCATAGACAAATCGTTGCAGGATATCTCCGAAGAATGCACAATGAACAGCGAAGACATAAATAGATCGAGTACCCCTCAAAACTTAGATGTCGACTTGGGAGAGATGGATAACTTGTTACAGCATCCGGATCACGATATAGCTGGATCAAAAGAGAAATTGGACGAGGACAAAGATTCGTTTTTCATGGCGAAAACTATGTACGATTTCGAGACTTGCAGTACGAACGCTAGCGAGCAAGGGTTTGAAAACGAAAGCGACATCTATTGTCCAAATTATCAGGTTTCAGAAGTGAGCATACGCAGTCACGGGTTGTACGCTCCGTCACCGTCGTCTATGTGTCCGAACGAAATAAGTTTCAGTAACGAGGACGTGTCGACGATAGAGAGTCAGTACGTGAATTACGACCCCGGATGGCGTAAAACCATAAAGAGCAATCCGAAGTTAGGGAAATACGTGCCAACTCCGGCTTTGAGTTGTCCCGAAGTGAACAGAGACAGTAGTCCGGTTTCGTTCGCGAGCGAACTAGACGAGTTATATACGCAGATAACTGGCAGGGACAAAGAGAGAACGCATCGGAAGGAGGGTGGTTTGGATGTGACATTGAACAGTGACGTCACTCTTAAGCCTGACAGTGACAGTTGTGTGAGCGAGGCAGTTTCTGATGTGGATAACAACGGCGAGACAACGGTCTAGTGCGTGTTATATGGAAAGTCAAGTTTAAATTATTTCCTACGCTTAATGTCTCTGTTTTAATTTGAAATGGATGGCGCTTTGATTGATGCATTTATGAATTATATTATGGCTTTGCCATATTGTATATTGGACGATATCAGTTCACGCTTAGGTGATATATTTTAATAAATGAAAAATACCTTGTGCCACTAGATATTTATAATAAAAATAGTTGATTTTTTACGATTCGTTTTTATGATGATGAGAGAATATTGAAGATTCCAACTAAAAGACCTTCGGACTATTAGAATCTTTTATTTGTTAGTAAATTTATGTATCACTGGAAGCTGTGAACGAAAACTTACACTAAATTAGTGCCATTACATAAGTTGTATAATTTTAGATTCTAAGTTCTGATATAGTTATTTGTAAAGTTATTTATTTTAAAGTATCTTTTGGATCTAGACTTCTGATGGCTTAACAATGTCTCGTAAACGGAATGAGCTAATATTATTGTGCCAAATTCATGGATTGTTATCACTCATACATTAGTTTTATCTCTAGGACAAAAACAGATGATTTGTATTAGAAACTATAGAAAATATCTTATGTATTTCATAATACTTAAGCGGTTTGTCTATATAAAATCTTCCCATTAACTAACTACATTCGTTTTTATAAGGTTTTTGTCGATATAGTGTAGTGTGACTTGACTGATTTTTAAATATAAAACCGCCTTACTTCTAGTCTTCAGTATAATTTTGCCACTTTAAGCAAAGTTTGTAACGAAATATCTGCATTAAAAAAAGTATTTTTGGATAAAGTATTTGCTCAACACAGCTTGGTGTTGACACATCAAATGTTTTTAAATATCGATAATTGTAAATCTCTTTGTGACTTGGTATATTCTTTTTTTGATGTGGCAATATCTTGTTTTTTTTACAACTTAACTGTAGCATATGGGATTAAAAGTTAAAATGCCGTCGTTTTTATTGAATTAAATTTTTATCTCTACGTCGAATCTTCTCTGCTTACCTCATTAAGGGTCCGGCGTGATAGATATATTTTATTGAGATATTCACATTAATTTTAGATTTATCTAACCAGATGACTGTTAGAGTTTATATAAAATGGTATGACTATTATTTATTGCTTTGGCCTGTCGTCGCATTGAAGTGTTCGTGGCAAAATAATACTACTGCCTTAATTAATAAGTTCTAAATTTTATGAATGTTATAAAAAAATCCTATCGAAATGGATATTTGTATTTCGGACTTATGGATTGAATTTTGATGATTGAACTTAGTCATGTTGTCTCTTTCATTCACCATGATAGAAAAGAGGGTGGAATGCAAAGACTATGGAAATGTAATCTGAATGTGTATAAGTTGTATTTCAATGCGCCTTCAGATTTAATGTAGATACTTTTGTAGGTTAACTATTTAATGTGATATAAAGAAATATCTTCCTTTGATTTGTGCAGTTCTAATGCGCATCTTTACTGTAGACAGTTGGTAGACGATTTTGAAATCTATTGACAATTTTGTGAATATATTGATAGTGAAAATTTATAAATGGTTAGCTTTTTGTGGGCATATTGCGTATTAAAAGAAGCGTTTGCACTTGTTGACGAAGTTTTATTTGTAAAAACCTTTAAAAAAATATTAAATTAAGTATGCAACAATAATATAAGGCTGGAGTTCACAGACCTTTTGATCAACCGATTAAAGATATGTAATCAACTGATTAAAGATATTATCAGTCAGAGTTTAAATCATTATATTTTTTTATAATAGGGATGATGACTGGGTAAAAAAAATGCAATTCTATTTAGTCCGTCAGTCAGATAATAGTAAAATACTAAATTTACTTCAATTTAACAAGAAATAAATAGCTTAGATAACAGGCATTAAAGTTGAGGAGTGGAGGCTCGCTACGTCACAGCTGAGTAGAAAACGTGCCATAACGTGACGTCATGCAAAATTTCAATTCCATGTATCGCCGTTATTTTATGATTACGAAAAAAATAAAAAAATACGTGTTTAATTTTTTTAACACTCCACCTGACGGACAAACAAACAAAAATTAGTCGTCATCCCTATTATACTGAAAAGAAATCTATTACACTCAACATTTCTGTTCACCGACTACATGTTTGTACATTCATTTTTATTTATTTATCCTATCTGTATAACTTGATAATAATGTAAGAAAATCGCACACACACAATTAGGTTTATTAGTTTATGCGGCATATAGTAAATATTATGCAGAATTTCTTTAATAAAGTTTTAAAACCAAATACAGTCTGATTCGATTTGATTTTTGCCATTATGTTTGATTGTTAGTATTTGTATTGTTTTATGCTGCTACATTGAACTGGCAGTATAGACCGTGTCGTCTAAACATGGTAGAACTACATACGTAACTTATTAGCGTATTATCATTCATACATTAGTTCTTAATGATGGACAATCGGCTTATTTGGTAATCGTGACTACAATTTACCTGGTGAACATGATTTTTTTAAATGGCTGTTAAAACAACGGTTACAATTCATAATAATTATTTAACCGACAAACGGCAAACTCCAGCCTTAAATAAATAAAATAATTATTATTTAAAATATCCACATATAATAAAATATATATTCCAACCAATAATATTACAATAAAAAAAGGGTAGATAGGTTCATTGAATTTAAAAAGTGTCACCTTTAAATTATGCTAACTAGTATACCTGAGCGCAGTCTGGCGAAAGCGTTGTGTGCGTTAATGTACCATAATAATTTTAAAAATGCAATACTGTGTTTTGCAGAACTGTACAACATAAATAAGTCGTGTAAAGACCAAGGGGTCACATTTCATTCGTAAGTATACATTTTTAATTGATTTGCATTTTAATCAGAAAAACAAATAATGTGTCATAAAAACAAAGAGTAAATACTCCGGTTACAAATTGGGAAAAAAAAACTATCTAAGATTATGTAAGTAACAGAACGGAAAATTCGACTTTAGTGCCATGTGCGTGTGTATATGTTGAGGACAATATCTAACATAGTATTAGTACTGACATGACCTATCATATATCATCATCAGCCCTTTTACGTCCCGACTGCAGGGGCTCAGGCCTTCCTTATGGATGATTAAGGAGGATGGGCCATGACCCTCCACGCTGGCCCAATGCGGATTGGAGGGTATTAACGACTGAAAATGCAGTCGGGACCAACGGCTTAACGTGCCTTCCGAAGCACGGAGTAGCTCGAGATAATAATTTTTTGGTCACCCATCCCGTGACCGACCCTAGCGAAAGTTGCTTAACGATAACGATCGTGGGCCGCGGCGCTTATCCACTACGTCACCGAGCTACCTATCTACCTTTGATGACATGACCTATCTACCTTTTTTATTGTAATATCATTGATTCCAACTAATATTCCATGCAAAAATAAATAGGTAACTACACAATTCAGACTTTCAGATATTAAAGGTATGATATCTTTGGTCATTTACAAAGAATTATCTCTTATTAATAAATTATAATAATAAAACGAACGCTTTACACAATTAATTTTGATCTTGTTGACATAATATTCTCTATTATCTAAAATAGATAACATAGTCAGGTAATGTAAATTGATTTCCAACACACTTAATATAAATAATAACTTGATATTCTCGATAACAAAATAAAAATAATTCCATTAAACAGTTCAGGTGACGAGATACCCAGCACGTATTCAAGCTTATTGCATCATTACGCTTAATTCATGTAATTTACTCATCGAACGCGCCGAATGAAGCGAAGAAACGGATTTTTGAATTGTTTGTATGAAAGATAAACCGAATCGTCTGGACTCTAATGTGACCTGTCGTTCATTTGTGAGGTGTAAAGAAAATTCGTTTCTGTTTTCTTCGGCTAAACGGTTAATAGCTTTAGGAATTATAGTAAAGACGAAATAATAGCAGTGGTAAGTATCTAAAGTACAAGCAAATTATACTAAAGCTGGGTTTACATTTGCTATTAAGTATTTGTTGCTAATAAGCTATCTTTTTTAGCGTCCTTCAACAAAAAGTAAGCCGATTTAGATAAATTGTAAAATCCGATATATAGTATACAAAAAAAAAAAAAACACTCGCAAATAGTGGATAACATGGAATCTTTCACATTGCAAGCGGTTTGGATTTTATACAGGTAAGTAGACCTGAAAAATCAGGGTAAGTAAAAATGATTTTCTCACTGTATCCTCAATCTAACTGTAGAATGCAATAAAATAAAATAAATAAATAAGTGCAACGCCATTATTTTCAATTACGTTACTTTTTTATAATTAGCTTTTTAGTATGATTAGAAATAGCGTGCTATTTTTAAAAAAATTAGCTTCAGCCCAGCTTAAGGTTTCTATATAAACTATTTGTAATATAATTTCATAGAAATAGATTTAGAATTTCATAGAAATTATATTACAATTTCATAATAAAACTGAAGATAGAACAATTTCTTTTGCAAACATTTTTCAAGGTCTTACGATTGAATCTCATGAAATTGTTTCTTGGCGTTTCTTGTGATTCACTTCATGGTCTTCTGATTATCAAGTACATACGTAGTTTGTGATATATTTACGCCTGCGTGGGCAGCGCCAGCCTGGCGGTGAGATCTCGTCCGCGGCCCGCCACTGCCCCCAACATGCGGCCCACGAGACCGCGGGATACTACCTCCTCAACGGCTTTGTCTTTGTTTGAGCCTGGGAATAATAACAGGCGATAATTAAGTACCAATAAGTAAGGTTAATATTACGTACTTGCTCAGCTGTGAAAGATTAAAAGTAAAATCTGAAAACTAGTACCGAGAAGTATAATAAATATGTATATGATTATAGAGATGCGCCAGATAGTGGTCTTACCGAATGGCCGTAAATCGAATATTATTCGGTTTTACTTTGACCGAACTGGATATTCTGTCGAATGATTCGGTATACTATTTTACTGATTAGCCACGTCAAACGGTTTAAAAATAAATGGTGATTTTTTTTTAGCTTTATTAATCACATTCTTCATAGGATTGCTTTGACTTATAATATAACATAAATCTTACATAAGAAGTTTTTGTCTTTTAGTTATATACCGTGTCGTGTAGCCAAAATAGAAATACTCGAACAGAATATATATATCGGCACCAAAAACGAATAATTCGGCCGAATACAAATAGTGAAAAATATGCCGAATACGCCGGATACCAAACGAATATTCAGCGCATCTCTAATGTGCATTGGATAAGAAAATGTAAGTTCGAAAAAAAAATAAATGTAATGATGTAACAATAAAACGATCATAAATTAATTGATAAATAGCTTACTACTTAAATTAAGGTATTTTTGGGACCGATTTTGAACTAAACGTAAAAATATATATTAAGATTGAAACTGAAAAACTGTCAATTTTGTATCACTTAAATTGTAACTGAGAAAGATAATAAAGTCAAAATTATTAGATATAAAATATTTAATAACAAAAATATCCCACTCATAGACTTTAGAAATCAAGTGGATGAAACGTCAAACAGAAAAAAGGAAGTATCCATATATTTAATATTCTACAATATCCGATCAGGTTATTGTAGAATATTAAATATATAATTTTTGAATATTAAATAATCAATTAATTACGTCGATACATTGAGTTGAAATGTCGCGTGACGTCACGCTTTTGTACATTTTCTACAAAACTGTGACGTGGCGAGACCCCCTCCTCATCTTTAATGCCTATTATAAGCCATTTCTTGTTTAAGCAAACTGAATTTAAATTGAAGCAAGAAATCAAAAAAAATACCTATCTAATATTTTACTATTATCCGACTGACGGACTAAATAGGAGTTCTTTTTTTTATTGAAGTGTTATTTATCACGTATGCGGTTCTTTTTTTCCTTTTTCTTTTATTAAAGGCTTATCTGCATTTCGCACAATCCTGCCAATTTCAAGTAAATAAATTAATTTTTATATGTAAAATGAAAAAGTGCAGTTGTAAATTATAAAAACAATCTTGACAACTGCTTATCAATGCCAATCGCTATCGGTCAACCTGAGGCTATCTTGATGGGTAAAATTGTTTATTTTCAAAACGGACATGTTTGCTGCTACTATGATAGCCATAGTGGTGATAAGTAGCCTATTAGAATTGTGTCATCATCATCATCAGCCCTTTTACGTCTCTACTGCAGGCGCTCAGACCTTCCTTATGGATGGTTAATGAGGATGGGCCACGACCTTCCCCGCGCTGGCCCAATACGGATTGGAGGGTATTAACGACTGTAAATTTAGCCGGGACCAACGGCTTAACGTGCCTTCCGAAGCACGGAGTAGCTCAAGATAATAATTTTTGGTCACCCATCCCGTGACCGACCCTTGCGAAAGTTGCTTAACGACAACGATCGCGGGCCGCGGCGCTTATCCACTACGCCACCGAGCTACATAGAATTGTGTCCTACAAGTGAAAATACACGTTTTTTTATGTGTTCGGAAAATATTAACCATTTTATCTTATAAATAATTAACAAAATAAATTTTATGGCACTAATTTTAATAATATGACGATACGAAAACTTGAAAAAAGTAAGGTAAATATATTACAAAAATTTTCTTAAATACATATGGAATTAAGTTAGTTACCTACATAAAATGTTACAACTTTCATTATAACATATGTAAATATAAACGTACAAATAACAAAGATTGCCCAGATGCTCATGTCTTTCGGTACCATAGCACTGTGTCTCACTGTATGACGTCACTTTAGTGCCTTGAATTTGTAGGGAGCGTTTTCGGCCGTCTAGCAGTAGTTCCACAGACATAGCGCCCTATCTCGAAAATTATTAATCGCAGACATGCTGTTACTTCAACTTTATGTTTAGATATTAATGGACTTATTATTTATTAATTTATAATAAAAAAAAAATTGCCAACACCCTTTATAAGGTGAGTGCAGATAACATATAGGACATGTTAGATAAAATAGTTTTATGATATGTTTTTTATTAGTACTATTTATTCCTTGTGTTATTAATAAAAGTTATACCCATAAGTCCATAACATACTCAGGCTTATTATACAAACAGGCTACAGTTAGTACTTGGTCTAAACCATTTGTCTCCTAAATACCTATTTTTTGGTATACCTAATGATAAATTAGTCAATAGTTAATTATTATCACATATGATTTTATTATGAATTAATAATATGTGTTGCTAGTGCAATAATGGATTTTTTTAAAATATTAATTTAACTCAATTTTGTTTTTATTTTGAGTGAAGATTGGGAAAATTCCCAGTTGTCAACAGCTCGACGTGACTCCAAGATTTGGAAAAAATATTATCATGCGATGTGACTCGATGGCTTATATAGAGATTCGGTATACAAGCGTGATATTATGAATTTATCTCGGCACGGAAACGCAGCATGATCTGTTATCTACAAATTTCTGGCCATAAGAGGTTTGTTTTATTCTTTTAGACCCTCCGTGATGACTCCGAAGAGGTCATATCTTTATAATCGATTGACAAGGTTAATTTTGTGATTAATTATCGAGTTAAACGTTTTAAGGAATATTTATCAGTTAAGGGCGAATCATATTTATCAATTAAACTTCTAGTCTTCGGGTCTGTACAATCAAGGTCACGTATTGTTTACTTAGTTCCTGAGATAAGGTTTTTATCAGAGAATTTAGTCTATTGAATTTATTTCATGGTTGTGAACGCAATCGGGTTACCTTCGATTTATTCTAAATTCTAAGGTGACCACCATTTTTGTAGGTGTTTTTGTAAAAAAAATGTTTCTTTAAATTATGCTTTACATAAACAATATAAAAGTTATGTTACTCAAAAAGATATATCTTCTCATTTTTTGGGATTTTAACTGTGATAGAGAGATTTCTTAATTTAAAAGACTATTGAAGCAGGTTAAAGGGCTAAAATGCTGGGCATAACTTGGAGTCAGGTCAGGTCAGGTCAATGGAGGGAAAAATGAAATAAGGTAACTCTCAAAATCGGGGCGTTGCGGCCCAGCTTTGAAGTTAACTAGTGTATATACATCTGAGGAAGTTTCAAAAGCAACTTACATATAAGGAAGTCTAATATAACGGCGGGCAGCTCTATATCCGAGGGGTTTGGTTTGGTGACCAGCCTGAGGGTCGAGTTGGTGCAATAGTGAGCGCTGGACACGAGCTGAGCCGCGCTATCCTTAGCGCCCACGAGTAACGCCGGGGAATCTATACGATGGTTCTTTCTAATGCGCCACCATGCTGCGCCTATAGAAAATAAGTTGTTTAATACCTGCAAATTGCTAATGCGCTGGCCGCCATTTTGGTGACGTAATTGGATTCAACGATCAGTACCGTTAGCAAATTAGCAAGTGTTGAGGTCACATACAATTTTTGTTACGTTTCTGTTGTTTCTGATTGTCAGTGTTAAGTTTTGTTGTTACTTGTTATGGTTGACTAAAGTAGCAACTGCTATTAAGATTTTCACAACAAGTAAACTTCAGGACAAAAGTAATAAGTTTTGACTGTGTTTTAAAATATTGTCCTTTCCGTTTATTTTCGTGTTATTACAAAGTATATGTAATTATTTCATATTTTTTATTTGTTTTCCATATACCTCAACATTAATATATAAATTGACATTTACCAAAAAGTGATGCAATAAATTAACAAAATAAAAGTTATGATGTTATTTTAAAAATATTTTGGGGATTATTCATAAATATTTCAATACATAACTAATAAATATTTTATCTTGCATATAGTGCTATCTATACTTTCTCTTTTAAAATGACGTCACTCGGGTGTTACTTAGACAAGATTCCAGCACATTAGCAATTTACGGGACTTATATACTCAATATATCTGTCATGTGAATACATCCCAAGTAGAAAAATTCGGTACTATAGAAGTTTCATTAACGTTTTAACGCGTGCTAATTAGTTTTATAATAATGTTCTAAACCCCCAATAGGCTTTAGTTTAATCACTGTTTTGTTGTAAAACAAAACAAAAATGCTCTTTAATATTTGATTCTTAATAGATTTAATTCTATAATTAAATCTCTTTGTTGAAAACCGTTAAAATATAACCACATTAGTTTCACATTACATTAGTATCGTATACAAAATAATGTTACATGGGATGCTGTTGAAATCAAATAAACAATGATAGCCTGAATAAATACAAAATTTTATTGATGGAGGCGGACTAACCACGTCGGCCCGGGGCAGAAACTTGATATTACGTTATACCCCTCTGCCGCTCCTCCCTGCTAAGACGCCTACTAAACTATGAAACTGGACATAAGAAAGATAAAGCAGTACAACCCCAATTTATGATTCGATCAAAGGCACTTGCAGCCAGGACAAGAAGACCGTCCCCAACCCCCCCTTAGTCTACCACTGGCGGATACCTAGGACAAAATAAATGGTGTGGTGCGACGCACCGTTATAGTACCGTTATAGTAGTTATTTTTAATATTCTATCTATCTACTAACCTCTAACGTAGTTTAACGGCCCTGCCCAGTCGCAGGCGCGCGAGATCGCCCACCGCCGTTCCTCGTTGGCCTGCAACCTGCCCTCCGCCAGCCACCGCTCAGGGAAGTAAGGCCACTAGGAAGAACTTTCAACGTTACACCACCCGATCGAGGCGAGTAAGCTTGTCCTACAAGCTCCGTCAAATTTCTGCGGACTCGTGGTCAACTTGTCTAATTTTAAAATCTATCGCATACACTTTAAAAGGTAAAGCGATTTGATAGCGGTTTTTGGAATCATTTATAACGTTTAAAATAGCAATCGATTTTGAATCAAATGATGATTGAACGATAAAGAGATATAACAAAAAATTGTTAAGTTTCAATATTAAAAAAAAATATTGATTGTCAAAATTGCAATCGCTATCATATGTTAAATAATAATTGTAGTGTGAATTTCGTGAATATATTTCAAATGACAAATTGAAAGTGTGCGATCAATTTTGAAATAAGGCAATTAGGCTTCCAGAATTGAACCCGGGACCTATGATATGGTAATACCCTGGCACCGGCGTGCACTCGGCTGCGAAGGTCGTCGTGGTACAAACCAATAACCACAGAAATCACCCACCACCGACCAATTATAATCAGTCTATATTACGATAGGCAATTATTAATTTATTGCATTGCATTATTACATAAATAATTTCGGTGGCATTTTCCTGTTTGCAGTTGGCATATTTTATACTTATAGCACAGAACGAACCAACTTTTTCAGCAAGCAACGTCATGATAAAGTTGAATCCTACAATTTACTTTCGCAATAAGGAATTGTTTTCTCCTATCGCGTGCTACCGGCTGATTATTCGCTTATTAACTTAGTGCTGTTAATAATAGTGTCATTACTAATTAAGTCAATTATACATACAACTTATAGTTTACAATGACTGACAATTAGTGTGATTGATAGGTTATCCTTTGTTTAAATCAAATGCAGTGTTGGGAATGTAATTTTATTCAGATATTTTCAGTCAAAAGCATTCGACTGCGTTAGTCACGAAACACTGTTGGGGAAATTAGAGCATTATGGTGTGACGAAAAATTCACTTAATCTAATAAAATCACATTTTTCTGCAAGAATTAAAAAAGTAGTAATTAATGAAATCTGCAGTGACACCCATTACTATGGGCGTACCTCAGGGATCGGTATTAGGACCATTGCTTTTTCTAATTTACATTAATGATCTTCCTCACTTTACGAAAATGTATTATTTACAGATGACACCTCTTTAGTGTTTAAAGTTAAGAGGGGTGATTGTTTTGACGATGTTAATTATGCTCTCGACAATGTTCTACAGTGGTTTGATGATAATAATTTAAAACTTAATTCAAATAAAACGAAATGCATAAAGTTTGCATTACCTAATGTCAGGCATGTTAGTACACTTATAAATGCAAATAGTGAAAAAATTGAGTTGGTAGAATCGACAGTTCCTTGGTATTACACTAGATTCCCGACTGCAACGGGATCCTTATATTGATAACTTGTTATATTTTTTATATTGATAACTTGTCAAGTAGACTGAGTTCTGCAGCTTTTAAGAAAATTAGACGTGACTCATATTGAAACGGCAAGATTGATATATTTTAGTTATTTTCATAGTGTAATGACGTATGGACTATTGTTGTGAGGTTTTGCGGCTAGCATTCAAGATATTTTTATTCTACAAAAGAGAGATATCCGCGCTATATATAATTTACGGTCTAGGGAATCTCTCAGAGAAATATTTAAAGAAATAAATATTTTGACTGTTGCCTCTATTGTGAGGGCAACTGTATTGACATATGTAGAGATATACATTATTCAATGAATTTTTGCAGTAAATATATTTACCTATGTACCCTAGTACTTCAAAAAACATTACTCAGTATTCAATTATAATCATGTCAATCTAAAGATGTTTACCAAATTATTTATAAAAAAGTATCAAAATTGCCATTAGGTAAATGTAGGCAGGCATCCTTTTAGCCAATAATTAATCACGCACAAATAAATAAATTTTGATATTAGTTATTAATTAGTTTCGTATTATATATGTTTCGACGTTGTGATAGTGCTTCGATTAAATGAAATTAAAAGAATAGCCTTCTTCAAGTACAGTTGTGTTTAACTGTAACTCAGTAAGTAATAATCCTCACTTGTGTGAAATGTAGTGCTCGCTCGCAGAAAGGGGCAGGTGGATATTGCCAGTAGAGATTCGGATGTGGGGCGCCCACTACTGCAACCTTGCTGATCAGAGGTCCGTGGCAGTGTGCGAGGTACCTACACAATATAATATAGGGCATATTATAAAACCACTAACATGGTAAATTCTGTCTGAAACTCCAAACTGGGACAGTCACTCGATTAGTGAAACAACTGGTTTGAATTACTTTGATTTTAATATATTGATGTTGTTTTGGTTCAATTTAACGAATACAGTAGTAAATTACGAAACTGATTTATATACCCACAACACTAAAGTGTAAGGATGACAACCCTACCGGTTTTCCTTCATGAATAAAAGTAAATTAATTTTCAAAAATCAATAAACAACTAATATTCTACTTGTGCTTTTTCGCATTTGAATTGATATCTAAGTTTAGGACATTCAGTTTTTTCGGCAAATTTTAGTTTTTTAATATATTAGGTTAAAGGAACTGAAATGACTGTCTTTGGTCCATTCGTTTCCTGCAAAAATCAACTTTTGGTAGAGTCGCCATCTACAAAGGGCCTTTTTTAGTGCTTTCCTTTTTTTCTTGAAATATTTTCCTCATTATAATTAATAGTCAGTAGTCATTATAATCAGTGTGCGAGCGTTAAGTGTTATATTCATTTCGTGCCTTATGGCGCTTACTTATCTTTTGTATCTTGCAAGAGATCTGCAGTTGTCTGTACATAGTATAAAATAAAGTAGCTCCCGCTGTCTGTACGGTGAGATCTTTTAAAATACACGACAGATTTCAATGCGGTTTTCAGCAATATTATTATTGTGTAGATAGTAAATAGAAAATAAATAACTATTTTTTGTTTCTGTAAGTTTTTAATATATTATTACCGATAATTACACTTCTTTGCTTATTATATTTATAATCTTAAATTAATTATGAAAAAACAAATATTTTATATTCGTTGTCACGTGACCGCATAATAGCGCGTGACGTCACGCCCCTCTTATTCATATCAGAACTTAGAGAAGTAAACCTTATGCATAATATATATTTTTTAAATATTAGTTTCAGAGGGCCGTGACGTTATAGCGACGACATGACAGAAGTTGGCGTTTTCGCGGGAAATTTTAAAAGCTAAATTTCTTTTTAGATTTTAAAATTATTAAACGAATGATACTTTTTAAACTAATTTTTTTTAGATATATCTCATGTATATCTATCTATAAATTGAAAAGTTGTCTATATCCCCACCGGAGTGATTCAAGACTCACGCGGACGAAGTCGCTGACAGAAAGCCAAGTTCTGTTTTAAAAACTGCTTAGAACTCGATGTCAAGCACAAGCTCTGTCATGTTATAGTATTAAGGTTCAATCGTGACAGTGTTGGCCTCGTCATCAATTTCGAGGCTAACTTTATTACAGAATAGCATAACTGATCTAATGATTAATGGATATACGAGTGTACGAGGGAAGCAGCCGTCCGGGACGAGTGGCGTCTAAGAAGAAGTAGATAACTAATCTAAATAGTCAAACATAAAGAACGTTATGAAATACTGCATATAATTAGCTCGTTTGGAAAAAAGTGATGAAATATATGTAAGAATCCGTTAATTTGTAGATAGATAAAAAAAAACAAAAATAGATTAGGTAATCTTAAGCGTTATTACGATTTGTCATAAAAATCCAACCGGATACTTGAGCCGCTGTACTATTCATTTATAAGTAGCGTGATTCCTAAGATCAGGTTAACACCTTAGGAGATTTTAAGACAAATTTAAGATTAAATCATCACAGTAACAACTGGAACTGTAGCTGGAATGTTTTCAAGAGATGTTTTTATATTTCACAAATGTTTTATTATAAGAAAGTTGATTGACAATTGAACAAAAGCTGTATAATAAAACTGATAATTTGTATAAAGAGCAGACGTGCCAGAGACGTCGCGTGGCCCTGGACTATGAACTAACGTTACGCCTGAATACTGATAACAATAGGGCATTTGTTTACCAATAGCCCTATAGGCAGGACACGTGAGTACAGCCACAAGTTCTAAAGGTAAATTTGATAAGAACAATAGACGGAGAGCTCGTCACATAAATGAACGGCTGATACTTCAGTATGTGGAAGTACTAAGGGATACATCGTTCGGTAATTAGTGCGAGGGTCAAGGGGACAACCGCTTTACTCTCTAATCATGCCATGTTATGGTGATATTTTGATTATTTTACTACTTTGACATGTCTTTTGGTGGATAAATAAGTAACAACCAGTCGCACATTAAGGTTTAAAGACGTCTTTAAGCTGTAATGAATGTCAAAATTGTGTGGGTAATGTCACTTTAAACGGATTGAATTTTAATGGACGTTTGTGCAATTGACCGTTAGTTGGTAACACTGTTGTCAAATCCACATTCATCGTTAAAATATTTTCACATCATAGCTATTGTCATTAAAGTGGTAAACGAAAATAAACAGCGCTACAGCATCGCTTAAATGTTGTATCCTATGGCTAGTTATAGCTAGAGGGGTTAGGTGGTCGCTCTGCTGGTGGCAGTGCGATGATAGATTAAAATTTGTCGCATGAAGTTTGTATGATGTAATTTGTGAACGGAGCTTTAAATGGTTTTCACTGTGCAAGTTTATAAATTTAATCAGGCACTTGCCACTTAATTGATTCCTTTCTTCTTTATGTAGGTACACCAATGAGTACTGTTTAGGGCACTGACACTAAAAGGTACCATAAAGAGGAAAGATTTGATTGTTTTTTTTTTGTATTGAATAGGCTCCAAAACCACTGGAGTAATTTGTAAAATTCTTTCACTTTAGGGAAGTTACATCATATGTGGGTAATATTTACATAATATATTATTTATGTACTACACTGATGCAAATGTGATAAACATCCTTACCATGTTAACAAACCACCAACACCAAAACCTATAACAACGGCAGGGTTTCTCTCCGACACTCCTAATGCCTCCATTAATGTAGATAATTCTTCAACAGCTCTAGGCGGTGACAGGTCACTCCTACTTCCACCTTCGCTGCCACCAGTCCCTCTCAGGTCTAGAGTTATCACATGATAGCCGTTCTCAACTAACCGCTTCACAACTCTAGACCAAGTAGGGCCCCACAAGTCATCAGTCTCTGGTGCATTGCTCAATATAAGAACTATTGGACCTGATTTTGGACCACATTTTACGTAATGATATTTTACCCCCTGTGAAGTAATAAACTATTTTATGTATGAAGCATAGTTCAATGACAAGATGGCTTTCTAATTTATTATATGAAAATTTTGTGATTACTTTCAAATTATTGTTTTTGCATACAGCATTGGGAATGCAAATTTTCTTTATTGACTAATTTGTTTGTTGCATTTGATAAACTAATTTTCACAGACTGACAATTATTAGAGATTAATAGACTGATTTATTATTATTATTAAACAGTTATAAAAATAGTTAACAATTTATGTTAATCTACCTTCAACTTAAAGTTTTAAATACACATAAAATAATTTAGAGTAGGCTGAAACTGCAACTTAGGTATGTATTTAAGTAATATCAATTTTTGTTAGTACATGCCATTATTGTAATTATAATAATTAAGTAATTATATAATAATTAAGTATTATATATGTATTATTAATGTGATTACTATATGTTACTATCCACATAGATATATTAAACAAAAGTTTATAGCAAAGACTATCGTATCAATAATTCTAAATAAACTCACCATTATTTTTATTAAACAGTGTGTTCCTACTGATGAATCTTCAGTGAGTTCAAATGGTGGATAATTCTTGGATAATTTTCTACGGTGTCCTTTCCACAACCTCTTCACTGTTATTTGGATAATTTGCCAAATGCCTAATATCAAACACTTTAAGATAAGTTCCACTGCTTCCCAGCCTGATACAACTTCTAACACATTTTTAATTTTCGCACTCATTTTAACATATTTTTTATTTATAGATTTAAAACTTAAACAGGATGTACGACAACGCACGTCGAGCTCAAAGGTCTCCAGAGAGATGATAATATAATAATTTTGTTTTACATCGTTTACTCGAGCGTACTCTTATCGTTATCAACATAAGTAAACTTCAAAACAAAATGCAGTGTGGCGGTAGTTGTAAACTTCTTGTGGTCCGAATCGTATCTGTTTTATAGCAAAATATTTGATATTTAAATTTTCGATCCTTTCGTTATTTATTTGTTTTGTTTTTTAATTTAAAATAAATATTTTTAATAAGAAAACTTTATTACTAAAGAGGATTAATTATTGATTAAGAATTTGACGATATTTCAAAATGGTAACAAGACTATTTAATTCGGACAGTGCTTTGTAATGTCATAGTATCACGAATGTCAGTTTAATTTGACATTCGTGCATAGTATAGATAAAGTAGTGTAGTGCATATGCAATAGCGATTTACTTTTACTATTAGTACTAACATAAAAAGTCCAACTGTATCAATCGAAGATTTATATAACTATAGTCACTTCGTTTCCAGCTCACGAATCCTTTGTGTTCATATTAATATACTTGCTTATCCAATCTACTTCCGACATTGGCAGAATAGTCGACACTGGCTCTATTTATCATCAATAAAAAATAGAATAGAATACTTTTACTATCGACAATAAAATTAAGAAAAACAACAAGAAAACAATAAAATAAAAAATAGTTCTAGAAATAAAACTAGATATCGATTATGATATGAATTTCGGTTTTCTTTATGTAATAAAAGTGAATTGAGTTTGGATTAAAAAAGTACAACAATCAACGGTCATCAGGGGATATCCAAAAACATAGCAAATATCAAGAGTGCAATCACGCTAGGCAAGTCCAATTGACTTTAAATCTTAACGTGTTGAGAGTTAAGTTCAGAATTTATTGCATTGCAATAATTGTAATTTTGTGAAAACCTGTCGTGCTACTGAGTATATCACAGGAGTACGTACATAGATGTGTAAATAAATATTTTCCTTAGTTATATGTTATAGTATATGCATGTAATAATTAACATTTTTTTTTAAATTAATAAACTAACCAATGCTGATGATTATGTTGAACAAGGACATGATGAAAGTAGGTGTGCATATTTTGTGATTCGACTTACTGAGTTATTAGTTAATTTATTTACCTTAAAATTATTTATATCAATACATGAAATTTATTTGAATATAAGTCTCTTATGTATTACTCATGAAATGTTAGTATTAAAATAAATTTAAGAAACAGAATCATAAGAAAATATTTTAAGGGTTGTTGAGTGAGATAAAAACGCAGTTATCAACGACTAGGTACCACAATACGTGTAGAGTTTATTTAAAACACATTAAAGTCGAGTTGAGATGGGGCACTTGACTCTGAGAACATAATGGCCGACGACAAAATGCAGAAATGACTAGTCACCACGTATAACGATACACCCGATAAGGAATAAGTGACACAGTTGAGCTAGGCGGAGCAAAAGCTATATAGCTTAAAATAGCACTCTAAACGTTGAATATAACTAGGTAGATGTTAACTATGATGTATACAATAGGTAATCTGTCAATAAATAAAATAACATAAAACTGTAACGCTATCAAAACTGAAATAAAATTGTCTTGAATCTAATAGTAACTCAGCTTTAAAAAATGTACGTACTACATACTACGACGACATACCTACATATTAGTAATATAACTTTAACAACTTTTCGCCAACCATTACGAAATAGTAATAATATTTATGTACAGGTTAAAATACGAATTAATGGACCTTTAAAATTACGACTTTTATGGCCGAATATTACGGGTTACATGCCTGTCTCAAGGTTTTAGTATTGCTAAGGTGCCCGATTCCATTCCTGGGCGTCAAAATAGTAAACGATCTTTTTATATTGTCTTTGATTATTTATGGTATCAAAGGGGACTTTATCCGTCACAAGTACACTAATACCAAAAAAGAAAGTTTTATTTATATGTATTTACTACTGGTTTATAAGCCATATTTTTGACCGCATTGAAAAGTGTTAAAAATAATTCGCATATTTCTGTAAAACATGCATATTAGCCAAATAACGTTACATATACAACTGACCTTGTTTTCATAAACTGACAATGGTCTAAAGCTGAAAAGTATAAAATTATTATATGATGGTATTAAAAAGTTTTATTTTATTAAATAAAAAATAGTATATTGCGTTTTTATTAGAAACAGCATATCGGACGCTGAAATATGGAACTGTAAAGTGTCAATCTATCGACATTTATTCCTATATTTTATTCTTGGTTACAAAGAACCAAGACATGCCGGTCAACGGTTATGGTGCCTGTTCAATCGTTAAAAAATAATAGAAAAGCTCAGTTGAGTGAAGTATTGTGAAAATTCATTTCTTAAGTACGGCCATAAACGCATTTCTGTATAAATAATAAATGGGGTGATAATAAAAGTAATTAAATATCAATATAATACAGGGATGTTGTTTATAATTTTTTAGAATATCTCAAAATGCGCTTAAATTATGATAAAAATCTTGATGGTAGTAAAAAGTTAAATAAAAACTTGACCCGTTATGAGTCAATTTGTGTTGACGTAAGTTGGTATGAATCCCCGTACATTAAAAAAAGAAAAGGCATTTTTCTTTTAATGTGTGGCTAAGCAACTTACCTTGTAATCTGCCCCATATATTTGATTTTGTCTAATATTTATTTTATTTTTTATTAATATAGTATCGCTTGTATAAGGCTGATTTCTTAGAAACAGGAGTGCATTCTCGTTTAGCGTTTATTTCTGCTATATCGACAATCACGCTTACTTCACTAGAAGTCATCAATTGATTTTTGAAGTTGATATTGTTTATTTGTATAGTTGCTGATTTCTGTGACCAAGATGTTTCGAACAGGATAAATGTTTTTGTAATGAATAAGGGTATCGACGGCAATTTATTATCTACATTACTTAATAAGGAGTTGATACGTAAAAGACATTATATAATCTAAGACGTAAATCAGTACTTTCTTAATATCAACCATCGTGAAATCATAAGATATGTTTGAAATTATTAATTGATTTGTGATCACATATTGCAATCTTCTTAACTAAATTATATGATATCTAAGTAAATGTAATTACATTAAGTCGAAGTATAGTTTCATTTTTAAAAGTTATATTTACTACTACTGCTTACTTAGGTCTACTAACTTATTTAAAACATTATAGATGTATAGAGATATAAAACTTCACTTAACAATCGCCATTTATTTAACTGTGAAGAGATATATCTCGCTTCCCTTGCGTGAGGGTGTGACCTTCTGTACTGTAGAACGGCACGTCTCACTCTCCCCCACTCGATTTATATATATAAACCAAATATAAACCTATAATCTACACCTACAGGGATACGGAACTTAATAAGCTTCTTTTCGATGCAATGACATTAAAAAAAATAACGATAATTTAGAGTATACTGTAAGTGTAATATATTCGTGTAATGTTTTTTACAGCGCAATATTTATCTTAGATAATTTTCATTATAAATATGTCAATGAATATGAATAATTGTTAATTTAAATAAGTTTGTTACAAGCACTTTTAAATCGAAACATTTTTTTGCTGACAAGAAAGAACAAGTGAAAGTAACAAACCAGCCGTGCGATTCTGTAGGTATTAATTGAAACCCGAATGCGAATTCACTTATAAAGTGTTTGATTTCACTTCAAAAAGCGGTTCAACCTTGAATTTAGTGGCATCAGTGAAGTGAGTTTCGAAATGAGATAGGAATATAATATCTGAGACACGTATAATCAATCAATTTTGTTTTGTATTTTAATACAAAAAATGGAATCAGTAGAATTTCTTAACTAAATGACTGACACATGAGTGAATTCGAATTCGGGTTCGGATTTTCGCAGAATCTACCCGCAGCTCTTTATCAGAAGTAACGACATTAATTAATCATAAAATAATAGATAGATATGTTCTTTATTTGCATCATGCATACACAAATACATAGTACAATACCAATAAAAACATCTATCAAACTCGGAAAAAGATACAAGCTTACGTATTTTTTCTATTAAGTCTTTATATTTTTTGGGCGACATTATACAAAATTTTAGGCCGGTAAGTTAATACTGAGATCAACATTTTTACATAAGGCACCGACTTAACACTACGTAATTAGAGAGAGAGAGAGAACGCCTCCGTCTCATTTACATGACAATAAGTGAGGGCCGTGCCTATGTGCAGCACCCAACTGTGTCTGATAGGTACAATGTGCTCTTGTGTCGGATGTGCCCCGCTGTTGTATAAAATTGGTTTTAGACTGTAGTGGGTTAGTTAGTCGTAATAGCGACATTAATGTGTGTAGTTTTAATATATACTTATCTATACATATAAGGTGTAATTTTATTATATGCCTGGACTTCTTGGGGTGGACAAAAAAAATATACTGAACAACTTTTACTATGGAGCTACACCGAATTCATTAAAATTAACTTCTCTATCCCACGAAGTCCTGGTACATAATTATATTACACCTTATACAGCCACGCTGCTATTCCATTGAGATTGAGGGCAGAGGTTAAGGTGTTTTAGGTAACCAAGGTTCCTTGGTCAACTAAAATGCCTAAAACTCCGCTAATAAGTTTGTAGTGCATACCAAAGATGTAAGAGTATCTGAATTAATAATTGTTTTTGCGTATCGCAAAGACTTCTCTATAAGGAAGTCCGGGACACGTGAACCACTTTACATAAATTATCATATTTTTTTATAGATTCTTATGGAATTTTTTTATAGTTATGGAGCCACGATGGGTATGCCCACAACCCTAATAGACTGTATTTTTGGTTGTGGCATCACAGTTTCATGATCTACTGACATGTTGATTGTACACGAGGAACTATTTATAGACTATACTAAATGTTGATCAGGGTGTCGTATAAGTATTTTGGGA